CCAGTTTTCTTGCAATAATTGCATGTAGGACGAGATAAGGGACTATGACCTTTATGTTCATCAGATGACTTTGGTTTGGGAGTATTTGACTGACTAGATGAGCCAGATAAAATACCAGAACTGAACTTGGAATTAAAATGTGAGGGTGTGGACTTCCCTTTATTTATAAATGAGACTTTGTGGGTTAAAGAATAATCATCAGCTAGACGGGCAGCGTCTTCTAAAGTTTTTACCTGTTTTTCATCTAAGAAAGATTTAACATCAGAGTGAATGCAACGTTTAAACTCTTCAACTAACATGAGCTGTCTGAGCTTTTCATGATTTTTATTAATTTTCTTAGATAGACACCACCGATCAAAAAGTTGTTCTTTTTCCCTTGCAAATTCGACATGGGTTTGACCAATTTCTTTCTTAGAATTTCTGAATTTTTGCCTGTAGGCCTCTGGTACTAACTCATAACCTTTCAGAATTAATTCTTTTACATTATCATAATTAGAGCTTTGTTCAACAGTAAGTTGTGTATAGATTTCACGAGCTTTACCAATTAAGACACTCTGTAAAAGTAATGTCCAGTGCTCTCTTGGCCATTTTAAATTTTCAGCAACCTTTTCAAAATGAAGAAAATACTTATCAACTTCTTTTTCTTGGAAAGGGGGAACAAGCCTTATATTTTTAGTGACATCAAATTTTGAATTGATTCTATGTTCAAACTGATTTGCTCTCTCTCTTAATTTCTAATTCTCTCATTTTTAACTGAAATTCTCTCTCTTCTCTTTCTTTTTCAAACTGCCTTTCCCTTTCTTTTTCTTCCCTTTCTTTTTCTAACAGTCTTTCTTCCCTTTCTTTTTCTAACTGTAACTGCCTTTCTTCCCTTTCTTTTTCTAACTGTAACTGCCTTTCTTCCCTTTCTTTCTCTAATTTCATTTTTTCTAGTTCAAATTTAAATTGAAGTTCAAGCTCTTTTATCTTAATTTCTTGGTTTGTTTCAACAATCAGAGAAAGTGCATCTTGTCCAAAAATATCCTCATCCACAAAATAATGAATCAGAAGATTTTTAATTTCTTGTTTACGCATTGAAGATTTAATTTCTGATAAATTATACTTTTTTGCAAGATCGAGCAAATTAGTTTTCTTAGCCAAATCTAATACCTCCTGGGAAGGTTCAGCTACAAACTTTTCTAAATTAAAAAGACATGACTGCTTGTTGCTGGTTTTAAACTCAGAAAGTGATGTGTTTTCAAAAATTTCAAAATGAAAGGTACACTTAATAGAACAACTATGATATCAACTCAGATGAGTAAATACGGTAATAACAAAATGTAAAATAAACGGTAATAATTTCCAATAATGTAGCCAAAAAAGAAATATTCCGATCCCGGACGAGCCCCCAATTTCTGTTACGAGCCAGGCGTAACGAGAAAGAAAAGCCAGCAACAAACTTGTAACAATAACAAATTTATTACAGAAAAATTATTAAAGAAAAATAAAATAACAAATTATGTTTACAAATACCTGAAGTCCAAATAAAAATGTAAATTACAAATGTCTAGTCTGATCCTGGAATGATCCTTTTGAATAGCACAGTTAAATCCAAGTTAAATCCAAGAACACTTTAGAATAAATTCCCACAATAAAATCCACAAGAATAATTAATAATCCAAGCTCCAATAAATCACTTAATTTCCAAGTTGAATAATACTCCAAATATATTGATGACTTAAAAGATTACTGATGACTAAAAAGGTAACTGATGACTTAAAGATCACTGATGACTTAAAAGGTAACTGATGACTTAAAGATCAGATTAATGAAAAATGTCTCCTTATATATATTAACTAAGAAGTTTCCAGAAAGGTCTATTATGTTCTCAAGTAATCATAATCTAGCAACTTCAACAATAAAGATCATTCCAGAAGTTTCTATCTAAATATAATGCATGAGTTTTCTACAACAGTTAAGAACCTTCTAGTACATACATGTAGTTTATGTTCTAAAAATAGAACAATGATAATATTGGAAATACCAACTGGTCAGATATAAATTATATACATGTAATATGTTGCATACATAACAGTACTTTTTGGAATTTGAAAATCCCTTGCTATTTCAGTTTTAGTTTTACTCCCTTTCCCAATTTCTCATGAAATTTCATAGCTTGATTCTGAACTAAGTACCTTTTGTTTTTTTCCATGAATAAGAATAAACAAGATTTTTTATTTTTCCATCCTTTTATATTGAATACATGTATCTTCTATTATATTTTAAGGGTGACGCTTACTTATAAATGATATAGCTTTCTTTCTATTTCATCAAGCGTACTTTGTAGTTTTCAAAGGATTTTGCTTGCAAGCATGCGTGATTATGTTGAAAACCGATTATAAATGATCATAATTATTTTACTAAAGAATAGAAATAATAGAATTAAAGGAATAACTTTTTTTATCTTGGTGACATGAACTCATGCTAAAATATTCTAAAAAGAAAACTAGTACGTACTGCTATTCAAATTAATTTTAATAGATGTATTGAAGTACATGGAACAATAAACGGTACATCCGGCCGAGTTTAAATATGTGTCAATGAAAACAAAGTTGAAAATGCGGTATCTATTTACGGATAGCCGATATTTTTGAGTTCGTTATAAAAGTGTATTTTTTTGTACTTTTAACTAAATTGGAACTAAGAAATGAGTTCCTTATAAGCGATAATTCCTTATAACTGTGTTCGCTATAACCGTATATTTTTATATAAATAAAGAGCCAAAATAAATTGTTCCTTATAGACGGAAGTTGGCTAAAACCGTGTTCGTTATAAAAGAAGTTTACTGTATTTATGTCCGGACATTTACTGTAGAATGGTCAAACATGCAACCGTTAAGTTTGCAGTGATTTTTACAGCCGAATCAAGGCTGTTTTCCCTAGCTCAAAATAGGTATATTTTCCCCTAAAAAAACCCTAATATTTTCACCTGAAATGCCCTCCAGAGCCATGACTTAACAGCATCAGACTTATTATATCAGCTAGAAGACAGAAAGCTGTCCCTATAGCCTGTGCTATGTACCAAGCACGTTAATTTGAATTGAAATTGAATCTTCTATAAAATGTGTGGGTAAATTCCATTCTCAATTGTTGGAATTTGAGTTTCCCCTTTTCAGATTTATCGCGCTATGTTTTCCCCTTCAGAAAGCCACAGGTTGTTTTGAAAATTGGAAAAAAATCACTGGTTTGCCAAACACATAAATATTGAAAACGCTACGAAATGCAATTCATCGCACTATATATCAATTTAAGCAAGACCATGGTCCGGATACACCAGAAGGAGTATTCCTATTTTAGTAATCAAGGACATTTAACTGTCATAATTTGTGTTATCCCTAAACTAGCGAGACTAAAACAATGTTGGAGCACCATACAAGACCGTATGTCAGTATATATATACGTGACAAGGTCTGGAATTATTAAATTCTGTCACTGCTTTCAAGTGGCAGAACGCACCTTAAATAAGACGATTATTTCATCTTATATACAGATTCATATACAATTATAAATGAAAATTGTAAGAGTCCTCGAAAATAATGGTATCTTTCTACATGTGAAATCGTCTACAAGTACCTCTCCAACACTGTATCAAGTATAAAGCTGTCTCCGAGTAAATCATTCTTTCATTGCATGACATTATACATTATACTCACTATATGTAATATATGCAGGTTCAAAGTCAAGGTAAAGTGGCAGAGATATTAAGGTCAACATGGCATCTTTATTTCAGAGTAAACATCTCTATTTCAGCCAACTAGATAAAAGGATCAAACAAGATTACAAAAACACTGTGAAACATCGCAAATGAATATACAAGGAAGAGAAATATATGATTGGATAATTATAATGTAGTAAAAACTTTCCGTTTGAAGAATACTACGTATTTTATTTATTTGCCAGGTGTTTGTTTATGTGTAATTCAAATAAAAACACAATATTGGCTTACTTCTACATTTTAGTCATTTACCGAAATCGGCCTTTAACAATAACATGATTGCACTTTGACTATAACGGACATCTTGTTTATCATATGTTACCAGTGAACTGTTTTTTTTCATTATTATTATTATTCCTAAGGCAATAAAATGCTGTTTAAGTACGCAATGAAATCACTAAGCCAAATCAAAGTTTATCAACATTTGCCATGGGACGTTTTTTTTCAAACCTTAGAAGTAAACTTGTGTTCCATGTACAATTTTATTAAAATAAACTGTTACAAGCTTTTAATTATTCCCCTATAAAACGTAGTACTAGTATGTTACATGTAATTGTTTCTCGCGTTAAAGTAGTACAGACAAACCTTGTTAATTGTTCATATGTTTAGTACGGACTTCGTAATTATAATACATTACGCATTTAAACTCGGACAATTTACTCACACTGCACTAAAGTGAAGATCTGTTGTCTAAATATAAAACATAATTTCCTGTTTAATTGTCTCTTAATAACAATATAATATAAACATCAATATATATGTATAATCTATATGCAGCGTTGAACGATTTCTTTGTCATTGTTAGATAAAAAATCTAAATGCTGAACACAAAAGATAGACGTTTGATTGTTAATCTAAATAAGTAGAAACATCAAATATGGATAAAAATGCAAATGTTTTCATATCATCCATTGATTTGAACGATACTTATTCAGTCCCCCGTGTCGTCTTTGAATGAAGCCATACAGAATAGATCTTTTTCATAATTTGTTGACATTATTTTACAAATCCAGTTCTTCCTGTTACTTGAGTAGCTTACAGAAAACCCCCGAGAGCTTAGTTTTCTAAAATTATCCTTAAATTCGAATTTAAGGAAAAGAAGCACTCAAGATTTATCTTCCCTCTCAAATAGGTTTTTGAGTCATGAATTTATCAAATGAAGAAAGAATTTTGCAATCAAACCGTTTCGTGATTGTAGTTGTAACATTTATATAGCAAATATTAAATTGTCCTGCGACACAATATTATTGTTCCTATTTTATAGATGTTCATACTAAATCACTTGGAACGTTATCAACATTTCTTTTAAGGCAGTATTTTATACAAATTATTTCTAAAATTGATAGAACTTTAACATATTTGTTCAAGCTGTAAAACACTTGAACTACTTGTATGAACCACTTTCAAGTGAAGTAGTTACAGTTTTCCTTTTGCATTTTTGTACTTGTCTTGAGGAAACTTCTTATTATATAATCATTTCAAGTTCATAAACAATTAGGTCCTTCGGAATAGACGGGGATTTTTTAATCAGGACGCCAGAAGAGGAAAATAAACAGCATGATATAAGCACAATGTTTGTAGATGTTTTAAAAGCAGTGAAGCAGTACAATTCATGATTAATTCTGTCGGAAAATAAAAACTTCCGGATCACCATTTTATTCAAATGTCGCATGCAGTGTTTTTCATGCGCATGATGGATAGCAAAAGATTTGCGTGTTTATGTGTTGTCTTAGTTGCGATACACAATTCTGTTTGTAAGTCTTTGATTTGTCAATGTAATGATTGTAGCTAGATATTATATGTTTCCTAAACTGTGATAAAAAGTTATGACAAAACAGTAGATTTAACAAGTTTTTAATTAAATTTATTGATTTATTTAATTTTTTATTCATATTACTTTTTTCATTTCTTCTTTAAACCTCCAAATTACAAATCAACTTTATGTGAATCAAAAATGATATATATACTGTAACATAATGGTCAGATGATAGGAATTACAGCTTTGATTATTTATATTTGACAATATATGCCAAACAAAGAACTATTAGAGCATTCATTTTCTGTCGGAAAAATATTTATTTACGAAACAGGGGTTCAACCCACTAGGGAGCAAACCTTTCTTGTTCTATTTTTTCATATATTTTTCTATTTTTGTCAACTCAGATAATGATTTTCCAAAACCAAAATCATTATTTGATTGATTCTAAAATGAACAAAATGAACGTGTTCCTTGATAAGAAGAATCATTGAAAAATTACATTGTTGATAAATCTATATTTGAATATAAGGTTTATAATATGAAACTTTAAAAATGCTTTACGAATATTGTCTAATATTTGTTGCTACATATTATTTATTCTAAACAGATTGTTGCGATGAAAATGTCCGCCTTCTCGACAACTTAGAATTTCGGAGTTCTGATGTACCTCTCAACTTCATGGATAAAAGTCGCACGGTAAATGATGTCAGCCTTTCATCGAGATGGTATAGTGCAACGCTTTACGGTTGGCAGTACCTTATGGCTGACTCTACCAATAAACCAAGCTTCTTGGGATGTTCTACATACTGGCCTATCTATTTAAAAGGTGAACCATTCATTCCAAACGTAGAATATAATTCTTAATATCTTTATACGTTTTATATATAAAGTTAAAATATTAAACTAGATTTTATGATAGCGGTAGTATGTTGAAAAGTCTTAATTCTTTCTTATATAAAGCAGTTGTTAATTCCAGTGTATCAGTTAACGAATAATGGAGTTGTCAAAGATGATACATGTGTCATCAACATTCAGATCAAATAAAAAACTTCATGGTTTTAAATTATGTCATGATCAAACATCTGTGTCCTTGACCAAAACATTATGTTAAGTACATGAGGGATCCTGGCACGGATTACATGTTATAGCTTCCAGCTCAACCGAACAAAAAAGTATAAACAAGAAACGTATTATTATTGAAAAAGAGCACATTGCGAAGAGCCGGCAAAGTATTATGGCATTACAATGGTATTCATCTGAAATGTAAGTCTAGCAAAGTCCCTGGTCCTGAACAAAATTAGTATTCATATTTATTTAAAGTAATTCTTAAACTTTCAGAAAAACATGTTCCATTGAACGATCTTGGAGAGGATCCAACTGATGTTATTGCTTGTGTCCTTAGTGCCCTCGATGCCCTTGGCCTATGTAAAACAAAGTATAACATTCAAATAAGAAAATGCAACGATGAAATTCAATATAAATTGAAATCAACTACATGGCTGAGTGGCTTTTGTTTCGGTAAGTATGATACAATATGTTGTAGCAGAAAAACATTGTTTGAATACAAATTTAAGAACAGGCTGTGACTTTCTCGTAACCCCCCACTATTTTCTGATTCTTCTTGTAAGTCACTTAAAAATTTATTAATTTAAATAATCTTTAACGGTTGTTCAAGTGACAGTTCAGTGATGTCGTTCAATAGCCAGCAATTGTAACTGTGCTTTTGACATTTGTAAAAACAGTCACCAACGTGCCCCGTCTTAGGGAAAATTAACATGAAGCAAACAACTATACTATTCAAAATACAGTTATAAATGTATAATATAAATGAAATAAAATAACCTTTTCCTATCTTTTTTTTATATCTAATTCATTTTTTTCGCATGTGCGCACACACACACACGCGCGCGCCATGCACGCACGAACACACGCACACACATACGCGCGCGCATACAAAAATAAAATCCAGCAACATGTATAGCTGTACATATTTCGAATGGTAGCACTGAAATGTAATTGATAGAATCGAGTATTGACATATACGTTTTATTTTGTTCCATCTATTACAAAGGTAACATCGATCGCAAATAACGCATTTTTAACCTCAATATCATTTATGTTTATGCCCCCTTTTCATGGAGATGGGTTCGTTGAATATCATAAATATATTAATAAGTGGACATATTTGGCGTACACTTTTATATACCTTAAAACATCTGATACAAGCTTTGTTGGTCTTGATATAAAATATTTATTCTCAGTGTTATTGTAATGCCAAAATTAAAATAAATACAAAGCTTAACAAATAAAGTTATGATTAATTTTGCCAAAGGCTATTTTGCAATTCGTAGAAAACAAAACTGCCCTTTTATCCCTTTTTCCCATCTGTTCAAATACTTTAATAATCGTCCGTCTATTTTCTGTACAATTTCAATCCTTCATGAGCTCAGACTGATTTTGATAAGTTTAAACATATTTTATTCATAATCATACACAGTACATAATATACAATCATTTAATATATACAATGATGAAATGGATTAGAACGAAAGATATAAAATGTTATATAGTTCTCCTCCGACTCTATTTTGAATTAACATCAATCTACTGAGACAATGTGTATGAATTCATATACATATATTAGATATACATATGTTAGAGAAAAACAAAACGTTAAGGATACATACATATTAAGACATATATAATATATTGGGGGAATTAGTTGTAATTATAACGTTATCCTAGCACATTAAGAACTGACATGCTTTGGCTGGTTCTGGAGAATACAAATTTAATGGTAAAAAAAAACCGACTGTGATAATGAGTACAAGATGTTTCAATAAATCATGTTTCGAATCTCTTACTTAATTTGATATATTTATGAACTGCAGAAAATATAATCTAATTTGCTTCAATTGATTTGGATTCCGTTCCGAACAAGATGATCTCTAATGAAGGAGCTATAACATTTGATACTGTATTAAACAGAATACGTCTTATGTTATCAAATTTATAAAAATAGTGGTAGGTTGGCTCAATTTCACCACACTGACAAAGGGGCGATTGAACAATATTTTTTTAAAAAATAAAATTTTTGATTTGGGGGGAGAGCTAATTCTCCGGAAAAGTTTTTTTGGATTTTTCCCTTTCACCGAAAAATTTAAAATAAAGAATTGCTTTTGCTACTTCCCTGATTAGGAGAGATTTAAAAGGGTTGGGTTTAAATGATTTTTGGGGCATTTTTTAAGGGGGAAGTGGAAACCCTCTTTCCATTTTTTTTAAATTTTGGGAAAAAAGAAAAAAAAGGAATTGGGGCGTATAGAAGAAGTTCTTGTAGGTATAATTTGGAGATTTGTTGAGTTACGAAGATTATACTGACTTGTTTCACCTACTGTATTAGGAACAAGATTACACAGATATTCAGGAGAAATCCCATTTACCATCTTAAAGAATAAAATTAATTTATGTTTACGACGGCGCTCAGCAAGACTTTCCTTCCCAGCATATTTCGTGATAGAGCTCCGATATGGAAACAAGTTTGGTGCATCCACTTACAATTCTTGCAGCATCATGCTGTATCTTTTCGAGTTCTTCCTTTTCATAGTTTGAACAGTTGTCCCAAACTACATCAGAATATTCTAAAACTGGTCGAATAAAAGCCAAAATATATAACCTCCAATGATCTACGATCAAGCAAATACTTAAGACGTCTCATAACATTTATTCGTGGACCAAGGCTTGTTTTTAATGTAAGAAATAAGTTCATGCCAGGAAGCATCTTCTGAAAGAAAAACAGCCCAGATGTTTGTGAGATATAACCACAGGGATGCTTACATTAGACATAGACGATGGAGGATGGTGTGGTTTATTCATCTTTTTAGAAATTACCATTGACACAGATTTTATTAGGATTGAAGATTGATGAGTATGGATCAAAACCTTTTTCATTCTATTTACCATATTTTTTTTCCTATTATTTTATAATCAGCATTTAAAATACCTATTGGAAGCCAATGTTCTATTAAAAATAGAATATCCTGTTTCTTTTTGGTAACAGAGTTATAACACTTTGTGCCTGAAATTCAGATCAATATTCAATATCAAAAGATTGTTTGAGAGTTAATGAAGTAATCTTTAATTCCAACAGATTTTATAGAATTGTGAACTTTCTGATCCTGGTCTTTTTTGACATTCCTATATTTAAGAGCTGTTGTTAATTCATTTTCAGTAAGTTTTTTTATTAAGAGAATCTCCTCTGCTATATCGCTTAAAAAATATGTGTTTATTACGTATTTTTTAAACAATTTAGAAGGAATCGACATGACTTTATTCACTGTTGCAATATTCTTAAACATATCGATCTGAAAATATATATCGGAGTCTGACTTGAATGATTTTTGTGATATCAACCTTAAGTTTTTGTTCTTAATTAATTATCGAATAAATAAATCTGTTTCCCCTTTTTTTCACATATTTTTACCTTTACTTGCAAACTTGATAGTATCGTTTCTAAAATTTTCTTTCATTACTTCAAACATTGTAATATTAAATGCACTTGTATACATCACAGCGTTTTTTTTCTTCAATCACTTTTTGTATAATGTTCTATTGTTCATTTTTAAACAACAAACTGTCATTCATTTTGAAAATATCGTGTCCTTTTTTACGGATTAGTGTGTTAACTGATAGTGTAACTCTTGATTCACAAGGAGCCTAGACATGCCTTTATAGAGGAGTGGGTTCGAGTCCCACAAAACGCCATATGCGGGATTATCAGTAGCATGAGAAAGACGGTTTGTCAGGTTCTAGGTTCTCTCAACCAAAAAAACACCCCCCCCTCGTTTTATAAACCCAACATTTTTTAGCAAAAGTCGTAGCCCCGAATCCCTTGGGCCGGTGCCCCACGAGTTTTTTAGGCCCCGGGGCCACGGGTTCCTATCCCTCGGTGCCCCCGATTTATTGGGTTTGGGGACACGAATACTTATTTCTTTGGTTTCAGATTTTAAAAAAGTGTTATAACAAAATACCCAAAAGTCTTTGGAAAGAAAAGAAAGAAATGTGGGGGGGCCACGATTTTACTAAGGTCTTTTGGCCCAAACTTTATACTATATCTTTGGGCCCAGGGTTTTATTTTGTGTGGCCAGGGCCCCTAACCGCCCCCTTTGGCAACGAGTACCAAAAGTCGGGGCCCCTTAGAGATAGCTTAGTCGGGGGGCCAAGGAAAATAAAAAAACCCCAATCAGTTTTAAAAAAATGCCCAGTTTTTTTAAGGACACTATATACAATGTATTTCATTTTTGGGCCCCCCTATAATTGTTAAAGTTTTTTTTTTTAAACAACATTTTAAAAATCAAAATTTTTAAATTCTTTTGGGTATATTTGGGTTGAATTTTAAAATTTTTTTTTTTCTAAAACGTTAGGGTTTTTAAAAATATATAAAAAAAAATTCCTTTTTCCTCCCCTGCCTCCCCAGTAAAATTTATTTTTAAAAAGGGAAAAAAAGACCCCAAAAAAACTGGAATCCCCAAATTTAGTTCCCTTGCCCAAAAAAGGCTTTTTGGGATATAACTTTTTAATAGGCATTCTAAAGATAATCACTTTTAAATTTTCTTATATATTTCTTTTACACAGAAAAGCATAAGTTGCTCAACAGAACTAACACCGTTTCCAGCCCCAGAAAATGTTGACTTTGGAACAATTACAGTTCAAGACCGGATTTGAATTTTTTACGGAGCAACCTCCTAAATCAAATTGATTCAATGTTCAAACCATATTTTAAGATTTTGGTGTCAATTCGATGTGAAAACCGATTTATTTTATACAGTTACATGGTTAAGCATAATTTTATATTTCATTTTAAATCAATTTTATATTTTTCTGCACTAACGTTTTCCTTTGGTGAAAGCATCAATTTTAAATTAATACTTATATATACTTTTATTGTTCAATGGTTCTCATTCTTTGAAATAAAATGTTTTTTACCGTTTGATGCATAGATTCTTGACCAGCCTTAATTTAATTATCAGACTAGTGGATACAATTAAAATTTCACTACAATATATTTGTTAAGAAAATATCACATGTCAATGTTTGTGGTCAAATGTTTTGTTATTCAAATAAAAGGCCAGAGTAGGAATTTATCAATAGGTTTAGTTTTTGCTCATATAAAGCATCTTACAAAATGAAATATATATATATACTTTGCAAACTAGTTGGTTTTATACAGGTTTATAGATGAAACGCCCCTAAACGAGACGATGGGTCCAAGCAAAGATATGGCTGATCTCACCTTAAAAGAAGAACAACTGACATCAAGAAACATTTCTCTAGGAATTAATGTAAGGCATTTCTGTTTATTTTGTAATATTCATTTTAAGGTAAATCTCATTTGTTTAACGATTCATTGATATAACACGCACGAGAAACGATCCATACAAACATGCTTGCTCGTTTATCGTTTTTCATTTTCTTTAATTTTTTTCTGGACTAACCTTATAAAGTGTAATGTATAAATATAGCTCATGAGATATAATATTTTTAACTTTTCCTTTTTATTAGATAAGATGTGGAGTAAGCGCTTCTATTGGTGTAGATGGTATGCTTTCCGCTATAAAAAAGGGTGAAACGTTTTACGCAGGAATCAAGGCTGTTTTTTACTACAATATTTTAAGCATCATTTTTAAAGTAAATTGATAATAATAATTTGACATTCATAAACTGAAATAAAGCATGACTTTTAATAAGCAGTTTGTATGTATGTATAATGTGAATAGAAAAATGTAGGTAAAATATATTTTTACAAACATATCATACACAAAATGAAAATAAGATTACACTCACCATATAATATGTTTATTCTTTTTAATTAATAAATTTATAATACTGCGCATTTACTTTATTAAATTAATGATGGCAATTAGGGAAACTATTATAATATATATATCCTACAGCAGGCCTTTTATATAGACAACTTTGAAACAGTTTTACAAACTGTTAAATATTGTATAGCAATAAAATCGACACTGATGAGTCAACGATGTAATTTTATTACCCCCCCACCCCCCCCCCCCCCCCAAAAAAAAAAAACATAATAAAAATGATAATAACAAAAAAAAAAACATCTAACTGAATTTCTCGATCAATTCTTATTTTTAATAGATTCGTGATTCTAATATATATCTTGATAAAGAAAGAGAGGCAGTGGTACAAATGCAATCGACGGTTCCAATCGGTTGTCAGTATTTCAGAAACAAACAAGAAGGTAAAATAGATACAAAGGTGTATTGTACGTTAGGAATGAACATTTTCGTAAATGATGGTAAACCATTGCAATGTGAAAGGGAATCAGTACTTAACAAGGTACCTGAGGAACATGGAAATCATTTATGTGCACAAGACATAAAGGCAAGCACTACACTATTCCCTAAAATTTTACGGGCATGCATTACCCTTTTAATTTTGGGGAAATTTTTATTTTTAGAAAAACCTAATAAAATTTCCAGTTTTATGTAACTCTTATTTTTGTGACCAGTTTAAGTTACGTTACATTGGGGGGAGGGGGAATTTCCCCTTTTTACAAACATTTGTGACTTAAATTATTTCCCAAAATTTTTCCCTTTAATAAAAAATAGTTAAAGTTTACCCATCACAGATAATACGTATATGCCAAAGCGTGGTCAATTCTTTTCATGGGATGTATAAACTGCAAATAAAAAAATCCCTTTTTTAATTTGAAAAATTTTTTTCTGTAAAAACTTTATTCAATATATACAATAAATAAAATTAAAAGCCAAAAATTTCTTTTGCTTTTTAAATTTTTTCCGATACCATTTTCTTGTATAATTTAAAATATTGAAAAAAATTTGGGCAATAAAAAATATTTAAAAAAACCATGGCCTATGGAGAGAAAGGGGAAACCCTTCTACCCCCAATTAAAAACTTTACAATAGTAAATTTGGGGAAATCACAATTTTTCGATCCCAAAGCGACCTTTGCCTCCGCCCTTTTTGCTAATACATTAGACAAAAATCTGGAAAATCCCTTCTTCCCAGAAATAAAGGAAAGTTTTCTTTCGTTTACATCCCAAAACAAGAACCCTTATTGGTCCTTTCCCCCTTAAGTTTTTGTTTTGGAACCCCAATACGCCGGGGTTTCCTTTGGGTTTCACCCTTTTACTACCCTTTCGGGAAAATTTTCAAAGTTTCTTTTTAGAAGACCCCTGAGAAGGAAAGGGTGACTTTTTGGTGAAATGGAACTCCGCGGGGGGGTAAAAATAAAAATTGTCCCAGGGGATTTTTGGTTTATCACGGAAAAAAAAATTAAATTTTCCTTTTAACTGAAGATTTTTAAAATTTGATAAGCTCGAAATTTCCCCGTTTTTTTTTTCTGATTTTTACGGCAGACGGAATGTATCGTGAGCCCCTTTCGGGAACCTTTTTGGCGGCATTTTCCTTCTGGAGAGTTTTTGTTACTTTGGATAGCAAAATTTGTTCAACATCTCACCCCTTTTTTTGCCAAAAAAAACTTCTACAAAAAAGTAAAGCACCTTAGACACCCCAAACAATATGGGGAAAACTATTCAACTGGAAAGTTTTAGTTTTTTGGTAGAATGTGTTCTTCTCTGGGGAGGTTTCGCGCATTCCTGTTAAAAAGGGCCCAAAATTTACAATAGAGATTTTTTGGGAAAATTAAAAAAAAAAAAAAAACCCTTTTAAATTTTTCAAAACAAAAGACAAAAAAAAAATTTTAATTTTTCCGCCCAGGGCCCTCCCTTTCCCAATGTTTCCACAAGTCTGTCATGGGAAAAAACCACATTTCCCCTTTAGGGCCTAAAATGCTTAAAATAAACCCTTTCAAATTTGAAAAAAAAAAAAAAACTTTTTTTCCCTGATTAAAAATTTTAAGGACAGATGGGGATGTTTTAAATTTTTTTTTTAATTTTTTTTTTTTTAATTTTGACACTGAGGTTTTTTAAAACTTTCGGGTGGGCAAATGAATAATACAAAATTGATATATTTTAAAAAAAGGGCCGTATTTCCGCCAGTATTTAAAACAGCCCCCCCGTATGGCCACACACCCCCCCTTAATCACCCCCAAGTGCCCCTTTTAAAAATTCACACCCGTTGTCAAAAACAAAAACCATTTTTTTGAAAATAATAAGATTCTTTTTTAAAAACCTGTTTTCTTTTAAAACAAATCTGGAATTAAATAAAAATTCTTCAAAATCTTTGTTTGCTTGTTTGATCAATAAAAACGATCATTGCGATTACGATGATTTGATTATGGATGTTAACGAAAGACAATAAAAAGGAAAATCATCCCTTTCTGGTTTCCCTATAATCGTTTTTATAGTAATAAATGTATTTGAATCAGTAGATTTGGAACTCAATGAAACTCGTTTGTGTTTGCTCTTTTCTGAGAAAACACATGATTTAAACAAAAGCTCTCTATATTACAGCCACATTTGACTATATTGGACCAAAACAAAGATAATATTAAAATTCATTTTTCTATTGATAATAGTTGCTTGTGAGAAAAAACAAAAACTTAACCGTTGACATTATTCAAATTTTCATTGCCAATCACCGAATTTACTTTAATAAGGATTTATCAAAATAACAAAGGATCTTTACAGTTTTTAATAAAATTGATTCACAGAATTGTTAATTATTAATGCAGTGTCCTTTTATAGAAAGTCGTTTTCTTAACAATAAATTTTACTTTTTAGGTGTTTGTAAAGGGGAAGATACAGAAAAGTAATAAATCGAAAAATCTGCAAGTCCCGAAACGATCCAACATCATGACAAACTGCGAACGGATAGTATGTATTTTTATTTTCTGAAACTCAAGTCATTATATTATATTTGAAATTGTATTTATAAAACAACTTCATGACAATATTCCTTATTCATATGCGTCATATATCTGTTTTTTTTTTTCATTAAAGGCACATTATGCCTCAGAAAATCTTTTTTTAAAATTATTTAGATTCGTCAAACATTTGGTTGAATAATGTTTTTAAATAATGGGTTTAATAAACATGTAAAATGATTTTACAACTGAAAAAATAGCGCAGAATGTGCAGCTTATGTGTCGTAAAGGTAGCAAAATGTAAAATAATTTAGTATTTTGTTTTTTCCATACAAATACTAATTCCATTATTATTATTATTATTATTATTATTTATTTATTATTATTTATTTATTATTATTATTATATAATTATTTATTCCCAAATTTCTTAAGCCACCTTTTTTCATGCACATTGACACGTTCAAAAGTACTGTTCAGTATACCAAATAAAGGATACACTATTTAAAAAAAACAAATTACAAAACATCAATATTCTCAAGTTACAAATTCAAATTAAATGTAGTTTTAAAAGTAAAAAAAAGACCAACTTAATTAATTAAAAATTTTCAGGTTTGACTTAATTAATTTGGTAAAAAAGAAAAAAAGAAAAAGCGAAAACCTAAAAAGATAACCAAGTTCCAAATAAAAACCTTCTCAACAATAGTGAGTTTTTTAAGTGCTCTCTTATACACTGGTTAAGAGTTTCATGTTTTTTTAAGTTTTTTAGGTAGGGCATTCCAGAGTTTAGGGGGTTTCCGTCATTAACACGATTTACCCCTTTAAAACACAGTCCTACTTTCGCCGGGACAAACAAATTTTTAATAATTTTTTGGGAACCCCTTTTAAAAAAGGGGGGATGGGGGGTTATTAAAAAGGGCTAGGGATGTTTTATGTAAAGCCCCGGGGGCCCGTCCATGAATTTTCCCTTTAAAAAACAAAAATGTAAGGATTTTTACTCGACTCTGATTTTGCCCCAGGAAGCCAATGTAGCCCTTTTAAAACGTTTGGTTTAAAGTGGCCCGTTTTTGCGGTGTCCCAGGTAATAACACGAGGGAGCCCGTATTTTGAAATTTTTTTTTATAAAAGGAAATGTATTTTTGTTTCACATTTAAAAGAGCAGATTCTTTTGAAAAGGGAAAACCCGCTTTTAAACAGATGGGCGGGTTTCCATTTAAGGTCGATGTGGGAAATAGGTTTCTTTTAAATTTGGGAAATTTAACCCAATCTTTCTGGAAAGAATTTTGAGAAAAAACGGTAAATTAGATTGCAGGCCCCGGTTTGTTTTTTTTTAGACCTCTTGATCTTTACCTTGACCTTTTTTTTAAAGGTCTTTACAACTTTTTTAAAAGGGGTGGGTTTCTTAGGGTCTTTCAAGTTTAAGTGTTTATGATTTTTTTTGATTTAAAAGGTTTATCATGTGTTCATTTAAACAATCTTTCATCAGCAATATTGGAATGGGGCAAGTTCAAAATGGTTTGTTTTTGGGGAATTGCGAAAATTTTTTTGAAATTTCCATATTTAGAAGACTACTGAAACGTTTGGGAAAATTGGGTCTCCATTTGGGAAAAGTGCTTCAAGGGAAAAACATTGCTGTTTGTTTTTGGGGACTTGGGTCCTGGCTATACCATTACGTATGCCTTCAACCTTATCCACAAAGAAGTCACTAAAGTCTTGTGCTAGAACGTTTGCAGGTTTACCAGATGGCAGCATAAAAACATGGCAGCATGTTTTCACCCCTCAAATGCCGGGTCACTTTGGTAAGGTTTTTCATATATCGACCACATGACTCTACTTTCTCAGTGAAGTATTTGACTTAGGACCTTAGAAGCTTATTCGTAACAGCGCATTGGTTTCTATAAATTGAGCGATCAATTTTCAATCCTGTCAAGTGCCAATTTCGCTCTAACTGACGTCTTAAATTTTAAGCATCATGAAGTTCTTGGGAATACCACGGATTCATTGGTCTTAGAACAATGCTCTTGGACTTAAGGGGTGCGTGTTTGTCAAAGAGGCGAGAAAGGCCATTGTTGAAGGCATCAACTAGTTCATTGACATTGGGGCTTTCTTTAACACTTTTTAAAATATCTGATGTCAAAATATCTGTTTTAATCTCATTAACATCTATTGATTTTAATTTTCTGTAAGTCACAGTTATCGTACTGGTGGTGGTTTAAACACACTAGCATGAAATTCAACAGCGAAGTGATCACAAGACGTGTTTCCATTATTGACTGGTAGTCCAGGATCAGATATTTCTACATTTGATACCGTTGAGTCTGTATCTCTGGTAATGAGCACATTTATTATGTGGCCTGCTACATGTGTTGGTTCAGTGACGTGTTGTCGCATGCCACACGCTCCAAAGACACTTTTGAATTTTGCGGTGTTAGGGTTTGTAAGATTGTCCAGGTAAAAATTTACCCTAGCCCACAAAATTTATAAATTGTTCTTTTAGCAGTTGTAAAGTTTGCAAAAAAAGTGCGCCATTCATCCATCAAAAATTTTAACTTAAGCCCATTTTTTTTGTTTGGAAGGGGGGCCTATATACCACAGCTAAAACGTTTGGGGTTTCTTTAACATGATTTTTTGCAGTCCATATTTTTCAAACCCAGTTTTTACCATTAGTATTGGGAAAAATGGGTGCAAGCATGTTGTTTTAGGGGTTTCCTTGTAAATAAGGGTTCTCCACCACCCCCGACCTTTTGGGGAGGAACATGGACAATTTTTTGTTTCCCCTTGGACAATTTTTCCGGCAAAAACACGATGTTGTTTACCAAAGGGCCCCTTAAAGTCAGGGGATCTGTCACAGCGGAAAGATGTTTAGGAAATTATTGAAATGATGTAATAAGAAAAAGGGATAATCTTTTTTTTTCTTTTGATCTTGAATTGTTTAAAAACATAAATTTTTTTTAAACTTAGTTTTGCCCTTTATAAAACCCCCATGGTTCAAATGTTTAATTTTTTCAAAAATTTTTCCAGGATTTAAAACTTTTTAATAAATTTGGGTTTTTGTCTATTGGGTTTTAAAATTTTTAATTTTTTGTTGAAATTTATTCTTTAGGTAAATTATAAATTTATGGAGGTTTAAAAACCGTAATTTTTTTCCCATATTTTGTCTTTCAATGACACACCCCATTAGTACCCCTCCTTTCTTTTGTATTCTAGCGGTTTTAATGTTTTTAGTACACAAGGATCAAGTTTTGGTGGTTGGGTTTAAATTGCCTTTTTTTTATGTAGGCTACACCTTTTATTTGGGGTAATCCCCGGAAACAGACAGGGTTAAAATTTGGGGGTCAGGCCCGATACAATATTTTAAAAATTCAATTTAAAAAAAACAGTTTTAAAAATTTATTAAATTCCCAAAAATTTTTACAAAATGCAAAACAATTTCCCTTTCCCAAAAAATTTTAATTTATTCAATCATTAACAAACCCTTTCAACCAAAAACGGGATGACAAATTTCAGGGGAAACATTTTTTAAATGTTTTTTTTTGTTGAAAAAATTTAAAAGTTTAATTTTTAATGAGAAATGCTATTTTTCCACCCTTTAAAGCCCGAAAAGGAAAAACATTTTCGGGCGAATAATTTGCTACCCCCCCAAAGAATTGCAATTTTGGGCCCTTTCCTTTTTTATTTGAAGAAAGAATTTCCCTTTTCGTTTTATCCTTTTTACTTACTTTACCAAATACTTTTAAAAATTTACCATTTCCCTTTTTTCATTTTTTTTGAATTCAAAGACACCCCTTTTTTAATTTTATTTTTAAAAACAAATACCCTTTTTGTTTTAGGGTTTCTTTTTTAAAGCTTTTTATTTGAAAACAAATGCTGTTTTCACGTTTTTGTCAATACAAGCTGATTTTACTTAAAAACCTTTTCCCCTTTGGGTTTTTTACTGTAAACTATTTTTATGTTTAAAATTTTGTCAAATCTCGTTAAATTTATTTTTTTTGTATCATAGTTTTTTTTATTTCCAAACCATTTTATTATTTAAATTTTTTTTTTTGGGAAACCTTTTTTAAATACTCGAAAAATATAAAAAATTAAAAAGCTAAAAAATCTGGTTTTTCCCTTTGTCGTTGATTTTTCGGCCTTTTGTAATTTGCCGGGACCATACCCCCAATTCACTTTTTAAAATGGGGGTATCTTTTTGGCCTAAAAAACAGCCTACAGGGGCCGCTTTAAAAGGAAAAAAATAACCTTTTTTAAGCATTGTCAATTTAAAAAAATAAATTATTTTTTACTGTAAACTATTTTTATTTTGGATATCTGATAAATTTTATATTATATTCGTATATTACATGTACATTTATTGAAGTCGAGGTTGAATTAAATAAAATAATGCTGGCCAGAGGCTCGCACATCAATTAGTTTTTTTCAACTCTGTCGATAAATTCAGTATTTAACATCATTCAATATCCTCTATTTTTGCAATGTATTTTTTTCCACTCCAGTCGTTATGAGAATCACGTAGAGGGAACATACATGCTCTATATCAATAATGAATACAACATTGAAGTGAGTAAAATAAAATTGTTTTATATAGAATTACGATTTAAAAGAAAATAGAATATTTTGAAAACAATGCAAAAATACATTGACTTTCTAAATATGAATATTATTAAAGAAATTTCTGTCATTGTAAAAGTTAATAAAAGTATATTTCAGTTTATAGGATTTTGGTATAATAGTATAATAGAAAATAGAATTTTGTTTGCAAAGAGAGAATTAAAAAATATTTCACAGCAAAAATCGGCATATTAGTTTGAGAAAATTACAAATTATCTCTGATAAGTGTATATGTTTCGATAAATAACAATGGATGAACAATTAAAACGTTTAAATCGGCTTATTGAGATGACAACAGTCAAATAACCTGTAACTAATAAATAAATGAGGGTGCGATGCCGAAAAAATTCAGCTTAATTTTCAAAAGTAAAGAAATAATTTACCCTACGTTTTGCTCTGTTACATTGTATGTGTATAAACGGTTAAAGTGTATATTTTGCAAAGGCCTATTTAAAACAAGGCCAAAAAGCATGTCATAGCATGTTATTATTGTCATTGTAATCTGCTAAATATTTGATACCAACATTATGGTTATTGTGTAGACCTTGCCGGTTTGCACCATTTGCCAACTACAGACATACATTTAATGTAAATCTCATTTTTATAATTGTATCTTTATTGATAGAAATACTTAAAATGATTCGCTTCTACTATAAGCTGGCACGTGTAAAGTATTTGATACGTTAGAATATAACAACGAAATTCGATGTTGATTGCAAAAGTCGTTTAATTTGAACTTTAGGATATTTATATATACGATATGTACTTGATATTAATAGACCTTTCTAACTTTGTAAACGGACTTCGTAATGAGGAATAAATATAAGATTTTTTCAAAACATAAATGATTAACATATCAATATGATAAAACTGTAACACATCGGTTATTTACATATATATGCCAGCGATATTATTTCTATGAACAATCATTATAATAAAGATGGAGACAATATTATCATAATTTATGTAAGACACAATTAACAAAAATAAAAATACACGTTTTTTTTTCATTCATATACTCTTTTGTAGTGTTATTTTTTCATCCGATTACCAATGTATATAAGTTTATTTATAATGGCCGACGGAATAATCATATGACTCAGATTATCTGCTCACTTGCTGATCCGATCATAGAGCCCACATCAGCGGCGACTTGTCATGCAGAGCGTTCCCGGAACCTGCTCTTCGCTCCTTGGTAGTTGAAGGTGACGAAAATACTATCCAAGGCATCAGCTTTAAGACGGCATCTCTAACAAAAACGACCCTTGTTAGCGCCACCCTCCAGAGTTAGTCATGACAGGTCAGCCATTCATTTCTGGTACTTGAGATGACTTGACCTTGACCTGCCGTGTGCTTCTCAAACGTGCACGCCCCTTGAGGGATTTTTGAGCAGACAGTGAGCAAGAAGCGATGATTCATGATGTGAAGGCAGGACTAACGTCAATGTCATCATTACTATAACTTATATGTAAATTATGTAGTGAGGCTTCAGTTGCACGAAATATCGAACGTTAGAATTATACAAATGCCGCCATCTGAATATACAAAGCCTTGTGTGTTGATAGCGAGGAAGTGACAGTATCTATAACACAATTGTTTTCGTGGCTTGTCTATTGGTCGCAATATTTCATGTTATATATATTGCACAAACTGCGCGATAGAGTTAACCCCAGTCGCCACGTTTACTAAGCCATTGATCTACCAGTTAGATTAAAGAAAGTGTACATATTTTCTGAGAAAATTTGAAAACATGTTTTTTTTTTCATATATAATCGAAACATTTGAAAATAAACGGTTGCGAATATCTAGAACAGAGTCTAGAGGTTGCATCATTACGGCAACTAAACATGACCGTGCACGGTTGATATCTGGCGGGGATTAAACTTAAGCAGGAAGTGATGCTAAAAGTAGCCTTCGCCTGCTAGCGTTCATTCTGAAAATCTAAATACAAACAGGATAGTGTTACAGTTAAAAATAGCACAATTGTTGTCAAACATAACAAAATTATTAACGACACATGTATGAAAGCAATTAACAGGTTTTCCCACTCAAAGGTATTATTGTGAGAAAATTGGCTTTTGAGGACCTAGGGTTTAATGTATGCCTGTATAGCATATGCACTATTATTGTATAATTCTTACGCTCGAGAATTTCATGCAATTTCACACTTAAGCGTTACTTTATCTTACACATACTTTAATAAAGTAATATTTATACAAATATACATACGACGATGAAATTGCGGGAGGTAGCAGAGCTCCATAGCCCACAGACAGTCTACGTCAGAATGAATTACATGTTGACAACAACAACGATGACAGAGCAGTTCCAGACCAAGTTCAGCATCCAGTGCAGTCTGTTTCTAATGTTGCAGCAGGTAAACGCAGTCAAGCGGCTCGTCGCGGGAGGAATAGGCGCTCCTTTGTTAATCAGTGGTTGAAAAATTAGCACTACAATATAGTATATAAATTAAAAAAAACTTGCTTTTTTTGGTCGTTATATAAATTATGGTTACAGTGTCTCCATCTTTAATATGTTGATAGAAATACTATTACAAGCATTTACATGTACACAAACCGCTGTATTACAGTTTTAAGGTACTGATCAGTTTATCTTATTTTCCGTGCATGTATGCTTTGAGAAAATCCTTCAAATTATTCCGTATTACAAAATCAGTTAACGAAGCCCATTTGATAGAAAGGTCTATTAAGGGAAGTAAATTGTCTTAATTAAACTATATTGTTTTCCGACAATGTTATGATTTTCATATTAAAACCACATTTTAAATCATAAAATGACATTATCTGTCTAACTACAACATAGCTATTTAAAATTTATAAAACGCATCATTTTAACTTGCACATTTACTTAAATAAATATATTTTAAAGTTGTAAGTACCTTTAGGTGTTTCGCATAAAGCTGTAAACAAGACGATATCCTTGCATATTACATGCGACTTCAATAATAAACGCTTTTGTGACATCTTTATTTATAATCTTTTTTTCTTCTTATGTGTTACAACATTGTTTGCACAATGATAACGTGTTATCATCATTTAAGAAGTTGTAAACTGCAGATTGATTTATTAAATAACGTCATGATATTATCCTACTGATAATTCATTTTATAGTTTTAAAAAATAAAGGTACAACAAATTATAAAACCGTGTGCAGGATTGCCAAATGCAAAATGTACATGTGCGGTAGCAATAAGTGCTGGACAAGATGTTTTTATGATAAATCGATGTGCACAAACTCCATTTTTTGGGTTTACACAATGTGGAGATGGAGGGATTTTAGATGTCCAAAGAATAGATGACCTATTTTATAAGGTAACTACATTTATCTTCCAAAACAATGATATTGAAACTTACAGTTACTTTAAATAATTAATAGCAACGTTGCATTTTTATCTCTTGTTATGGAATTAAGATACTATTAAGTAAAAGTTAAAATTGTACGGTGTTCCGTTTGGACAATCGTTATTTTTTATTAAGTCTGTATCCGCGATGCGCGATGGTGAAAACGCGATGGCACGATGGTACGATGGTGAAATCGCGATGGTTCGACCGCACAATGGTTAAAACGCGATCTGACATCGCTTTTTTACCATCGAACAATCGCGATTTCACCATCGTACCATCGCGTTTGCGCCATCGTACCATCGCGCCATCGTGTTTTCATCATTGTACCATCGCGATTTCATCATCGTGCCATATCGCCATTGTACCACCGCCTTACGGTCAGTATGACCAGTACACGTACAGAAAGTCAGAGTCTACGATTCTCGCGATGGTATGATGGTGAAAACGCAATGGCACGATGATGAAAACGCGATGGTATGATGTGAAAACGCGATGGTACGATGTGAAAGCGCAAAGGTACGATGGTGAAAACGCGATGGCACGATGATGAAAACGCGATGGTACGATGGTGAAAACACGATGGCGCGATAGTGAAAACACGATGGCGCGATGGTACGATGGTGAAAACGCGATGTTATCGCACCATCGTGTTTTCACCATCATGCCATCGTGTTTTCATCATTGTGTCATCGTACTATCGCGTTTTCACCATCGTACCATCGTGCATCGTTGGTAGGGAAGAAATTAAATAAAACACGATTGTCGAAACGGAACACGGTAACATTGCTATTTCTTTTTTACTTTGCTATTTCGAAAACGAAATGTTTTATAATCGAAACTTGCATTGAAATCAAGGATTTTTTTTTGTCAATGCTGTGATAAGTTACTACCTATGTTCTTTTATGATCGTAGGTTTTTACGCCAATAGGCACACGGATAAGCATAAATCTCAACTCCAATAGCATATGGTTTAACGTAGATATAACCATGGCACCAAAAGACATGGGAACTGTATATGGGCTATGCGGACGTGTTGATGGTGACAAGTCTAATGATTTGACACATAGACACAGCAAAGCGTTCACGCCTCTAGGAAAAGATACATACAATTACCATCTTGAATTTAGTAAATCTTGGAGGTAATTATGAAAAAAGTGTGAAATAGATCATTGAATTTCTTACTAGTGTTGAAAAATTATCTCATATGTTTCAGCAAGAAATTGAGGTATTTGGTGTGTTTGATGATTGGCCTTTGTTATAATGTCAAGTAGCACACTTTTATATTCTTTCAATATTCAATAAAAACTATTTTTACTTAAGATCCTTACAAAATCAAATCGTATTAAATGTGTCTGAAATGTCACTTTTATTTGTTCTGATGTTTCCTGTTTTTGTATTATAATTTTATTGTTTTTCTTTATTAACATATTTCTTTCTTAAAATGTCTTTTTTTACAATTGAGCGTTACTTTTACATATTACAATGCATTGAATGTTCAACAGGATAGAGGATAATTCTGACGAAAACCTTTTTCAACCAACACTTAGATTTTTAACTCCTTGGGTTCAAAAGAATGGCTTATATTGTGTATGTAACCATGATAAAATGGTCAACGAAGCGTTATGCTCACCGACTCAGTACCTTAATTGTAAAAAAACAGGGTCTATTACGAAAACTAAATGTCACATTAAGGGCCGACGGAAAAGACAAGTTGGAAACCATTCAAGTAAAGAAATTCAGCGTATTCTCTCAAAAATTGCAGTTCAGTTTGGTAGTAGGAAAAAGGTAGGTTTTCTCTCTTTGTGTCAAGTGTGTAGTTTCCAAAATTGATTCATTGCCGTGAGTTTGATTTTATGTTTTATTCATTAAATCAAATCTAATCTTGAGTTGAAAGTGCGACTATTTGTCGGGTTTTAAGTGCCGTTTCATGTATTCCGTACAAAGATTTTATCAAGTTTTACAATTATGCAGGGTTTTGAATATCGTTGCATACGTGTGAATTTTAAAAGTATTTCTTTATACTTTCTGTATATAAATTCGTGGTGTTTCAATTTTTACCTCATGTTTGATTTAGGATTTTCGTATGATATTTATATTAATATGATAAGTCATTTTCGTTTACATTCAGCGTGATGTTGTGGAGGAGATTGTGATAACAGAGGAATCTAAAAAAATTTGTAGCAACAAAATATCTGGTATACAAGCATTTACAGACTTTTCGAACGTGGGCTCAAACGACGATGAGCATATTATTATACAACAGTGTGAATTTGACCTTTCTGTAATTATACCGATTTCATTCAGAGACATCTATTTACATTGTTTTTATTAATGAGAATAGTACGACTGCACTTACTAACTTACTTATACACTTTACTAAAATTAAAAGAACATTTCTCTAAGATTAATTTTTACACATTCGGAAAAGTGCTGCTGTAATAAAATTATTATAAGGATACACAGAAGAAAAAATAATACATTTTTGATGTTACTGATTATGTTTTCTTTCTGAAAGGTCGTTAAGGATACATCTTGGGCTGATGTACATGTCGAAGCTGTAAATAATGGGGTAAAAAATATGTTAGATCTCCAACCAACAGTTGTTGAGAACAACTCAGAAAAAGTGAAAACATTCTATGTGAACACATGTCCAATGAATTGCAGTAACCAGGGCGAATGCGTGGAATCGGGTATAACTTTATGAATTACTACTTTTATTTTCGTTGGAAACTATCATATAGGAGATTTTGATTCACGAAATAAAATACTGATGTCTTATAAGTATACCTTTTAAAGTATAACATAACTGATGTGATAGTTTTGTCTTTATGTTAACTTGACTGGAAAAACAAATTAACGAGCTTTGGAACCTGTGATTCTGTTCTGTGATGTTATCCATGCAATGTTAAATATTATTTCAATATATTTAAGGAATTTGCTCCTGTTTTACATACTATATGGGACCTGATTGTTCAATAGACGAGAGAGACGGGCTCACTATTTTGGACATTGAAGGTGGAGGGCAGTGTGATCTTGCAGACGGTGAAGAATGTGAATGTTTCTATGTTCGGTCTGAAAATATCCAGGACAACTTTACTTGTAATGTGAATACTTCAAAGGTATATTAAAACATTTTAATTTTAATTTCTTTGATCTTTTATAAATTCCATCGTAATTTCTAAAAGATATTACAATGCAACAACTTATTTAAGTATGGTTCAGAATTGTGAAACAAACTTTGCGAATAGATGTTCGTGTCATAAATGATTTCCTTACTTATTATCTATTAATACTTAATACCGTCTTCGGGTTTCAGGTTTGTATCCGATTGTAAATTTTATGTACACAAAACCACATAAGCCGTGTTATATTTTAACGGAATGAAACGTATCGAAGAAGTTAAACTATTCCATATTGCCCGATAACATTATTTGACCAAAAAGCACGCATGGAAGGATAAACAGTCGGATTGACAACTTCAAATCTACCAAAGAACTGTCAGATCAAAAGAAACGAGTCATTAGCTATGACGTTTCTGTTTAGCTTTTACTTTATTACACTCTACCATTCTCGCTCTATTTCCAACGTTCGCCAGTAAACACATGGATGGAACAGTGCAATTTCCACTTTGAATACCAACGATTTATGTATTTGGTCCGGATTTGGTCGGGCATTTTCCCCGTAGTTTTCTTTTAGAACAAGCCATGTTTCACACTGGCCATTTTGGAAATTGCTGAACACAGAGTTATGTTTTATATATAATTAGCTCAAGTTTACAATGCAGATAACACATACAATGAGTGGTAAAATCTTTAGATTCATTTGTTGGTACTCATTATATTACAGAAAAAACAAATTTAGCATTGGGTGAATTATGATGACATTTACTGAAAATAAAATAGAGAAAATAAGAATCCCTAAAAAAAGCCCAAAGCCCAACACAACAAAATTGAAAATGTTGCAGGCTCGGTTTGATTGAGCCTGTTCATGAACAGTGCAAACTACCGCCCACGCCCCTAGCACCGGGTTATGCAGAATTCAACATTTAACATGAATTTGTACAATTTTGAATTTTGAAACATCCGCAGATTTTACAACTTCAGCTGCTTTTTAAACGAATCGTAAAAATTCATATAATATTTCAATGAGGTCTATGAATTGTGTATTGTTTGCTCCTATTTGTAGATTTTGAAAAATGGAGCTGTAGAGCCCATTTCCTCTAAGACATTAAGGGGTGGCTTCGAGGACATTTTCACAGGTATATGCTGTGCCCCGGATAGTATAAGCGGACAGAAAGATGTGTTTGTTGCACAATACACAGTTTCAATTAGCAACAATGGCATCAATTTTGGAAACGCAGAAAGTGTTTACGTCTTCAATTCTGAATGTCAGAGTATCTCTACAAGTGAATCTGGAAGTAAAACATTTAGTCTCAAGGTACGTCAATAAAAAAGGTTCTTATTCTTTTTTGTACATTCACTGCGGTAGATGGTAATGAATTTAAGAATTATTCTATTTTCATTCCAGATTGACTGTATATGATTTTTATCAACTTTGTTTTTCATATATTATTGATTATATTGGAAATTATATTGAAAATTAAAAATTGAGTTAGTATATAGCTTGAATTAATTACATTGCCCATGAAGCTCGATTAAAATATAAAACATACATTTTCATCTTATATGCACATTTGAATTAGTTTTAATCTACCTGGATGTACATTTACAAATGATAAAAACTGAAGTTCAAAATTTCAGCCATATATCCCATAAATCTGAATAAAAAGTAATGTCTTGCAGCAAACGTATCTAATAACATGACATGCATTTAATATTTTGATTATGTTTATTTTCAGTTAGTGTTTTATGCTAAAAGAAATGTAACGATAAAATGTCTATTTATGAAGTTGGCTTTTCTTGTCTTTCGAATGAAGTGATTTATATATATTTAAGGACGACCATTGCTTCATTGATGGATATTGCTTTTCGGAGTACGATATGGCACCTGTGGGCTGTCGTGCCTGTCAATCATCAAAATCGCTTTACAATTGGACTGGTATATAATGAATTTAGATTGCACATTTAAGCTGAAATAATTAAGATATTATTTTTAATTCAAATTTATACTTCCATCCATTACTTTCATGTCTAAGAAATAAATAATGGCTAGGATTTGGCTCATGCCAGCTTTTGTACCTATCAGTCATCTGAATCGTTTTTTACTAGATTTGAATACAAGATGATGGATGACAAAAACATAGACCTTTTCTAACTTATTGGGCTTTAAAAGTGTTCTCCTTTTTGGAAATTATGACCTTCACTTTGCTTAAATACACAAACACTTGGCACTTTAGTATCTATTTTAAAAGAGTTGCTTGCGTCAGTCATCATATGTTTCAATTAGTTAAGCGTTGCTTCTGGAGTGACATCCTCATCTCAAATTCGTATCAGGGACTATTTTATCGGAATTTTCATTGACATTCAGATTATGATCCGTGTCAAAATGAAGGAAAATGTTCTGATGAAACTGCTGGGTACACTTGCACTTGTATGCCAGGTTACCGTGGCATCAATTGCGAATATGGTAAGGAAGTCGATATAACAAAGTAATTTCAAAAATTATATTTATCTATAATGTTCTTTTTAGTCTATTTTATGGATAGTAAATTAATGATAAGGCGTTTCACAGCTGAATATTCTGAAAATGTTAAGATGCATTGATGTAAATGTATTTAAGTAATAAAAGCGCAGACATGATATTTTTGATTGACAGGTATTAAATAAAATGATTAAACAGCTTAAAGATTCTAAAATATATCACATTCATGCTTAATTTATTTTCCCTTTTCATCATTAAAATTATTTTTTCAGTAGAAATAAATGAGTGTTTATCGACGCCATGTCAAAACGGAGGTGTTTGCACTGATATGTTAAATAAGTATACGTGTGAATGTCCAGACGGATTTATCGGTTATAATTGTCAAACTGGTAAGTTGCAAGTATCTTAGTGTTGCACTGCATACGATATCACTCCCACTTATTTTGGTCACAAGTATTGAATAACTCCAAATACGTCGAGCATGACTTTGAAATGTATGCTGAAAGTCAAGTTCTCATATTGCTCTAAATACCGGATCAAACAATTCTAATATGATGCATGAAATTGCTTATGGCATTCGTTGACAATTTCCTTGTGTCAAAACTTTGAACCGGTGTTAAAAAGCATAAAAAAGGAATTAATAAAAACACAAACCGAAACCCACACTTTTTTTAGCCACACCGCAAAGTGAATTAATGCCCCTTTTCTTTTGTTTTGGTACTTACCTTATACAGTTACAGCTTTCAAGTCACAAGTCATTGTCAATATCTAAATTTTAAGAATTAATTTAGTTTGACAATAACATGTACTGATAGGTTCCACTTTTTTCTGCTTATTCTTATTCTCATATAGTGAAAGTTTTCATCCTCAACATACGTTTATTGTAGTTAAAAAGTTACTACATTGTATTACAAGCAATATACACTGCATATTTCAAAGATTCTGACAATAATGTTGTTTCTTTAGATATAGATGAATGTTCATCGAATCCGTGTAAAAATAGCGCATTGTGTATAAATGACATCAACATGTATCAGTGTAACTGCTCTGATGGATATGAAGGGACAAATTGTGAACAAAGTAAGAGTAGCTTTACATTAATGTATTTACCCTATTATGAGGTTGTTATTAAAACGTTTATCGGCTTATGTGCGTAGTTAATACACTATTTTAATATTGTTGTCATCACTTTCCAGCGCAATGACTTCAGTGATAAATAGAAATGATTACTTTACAAAAGTCAGGCGATGGTTCTATATGATAAGATTCTATTTAAAGGGAGTAAGCTGTGTTAGTGGTTTAATGAGAAATAAAACTGTATAATCAAGCTCTCGCATATTCACATGGTCATGTCTGGATACAGTTGAAACAAAACTAGTCACTGTTATCTTTTTAGATCTTTTTCGTAATAAAATGAAATCGTTGCGTTACTTTCTATCCAAATGCTATTAATTTTTAGAGATGTTTTTGAACATGCGCCGGCCACTTAATTAAAAATAATTAACATGTTGTGTTTATTAAAGTTCATTTGTATTGTATGTCATGATACAAACATACATTTTGTCAATATCACACAAGCTTATCAATTTATGTAAGATATCGATGAATGTGCATCAAATCCATGTCAAAATGGCGGCACTTGTAGAGATTTGATCGCAAACTTTGAATGCGAATGCGTGGATGGATATGAAGGCATAACATGCAACACTGGTTCGTATTTATGATTTTAAAGTATTATATAAGCAATACTGTTACAGCATAATAATAATAATAATACATTGACAGTTGTTTTATTTAAATCTGCATAGTTTTGAAATAAGTTATTATAACGTAGTATTTTCATAAATTATCGTACTAGTTGCAATGTAAAACACTAGTGAAGAAAGAAAACTGACATAGACGTTTCATAGATGTATCTTTTACATTATGAACCTGTTATAAAACGGTATCTAATATCTTAAGAGGACATGGTATTTAGAAATTATATGGAAATGAATTATAAAGCTACTGAAGAAAAGTAATAGATTATAATTAAACATTGTTTAGAAATCAGCTAAATAGATCTGCATAGAAAAGTTACGTTATTTTATGAAAAGTGTTAGGCATTAAATTTTGAAACCACTCAGAGATATCAATGAATGCATATCAAATCCATGTAAAAATGAGGGCACATGTAACGATCTAGTCAACGAATATGAATGTACATGCGCTGAAGGATATACGGGTAGCAACTGTGAGATTGGTAAGAAAACTAATGTCAATATTCTTAAACGTTTCCTTTTAACATACATTTGAGATGATAGATATCCGTATCCTTTTGGCAGGCCATCTTTCATGTTCAAAGATAAGACTAAATTTATTTAGTAGATAAATCTGTTCAACGGCAATTGCTGCTTTCAACAGATGTTTTATACATTAAGATACATAGTAAAACAAAGAAAGAATATATTTATTGATACGACAGGAAATCCGAACAACTAGGCCATTTTCCCAACGACTCATTGGCGGATATCAATTTACCTGGATCTTGTATTTATTTAACTGTATACATGTATTTAACTTTAAAGACGTTATTAAATCATATAAGTTTGATTTAAGATTAACTTGAATGCTATCAGTTTTCTATCCTACTTCAACTATGTCCTTGGTTCTTTATTAGATGCATGCACCGTTCAACCCTGTCATAACGGAGGAACTTGCAAACTTGAAAGCAACAGCTACATGTGTTTGTGTGTTGACGGATATGATGGACAAAACTGTGATAATGGTACACTTCTATTACCTTGACAATATTGCCATGCTTTTATTTATAAATAACTCTATTATATTTGTGTATAGTTTTTGTCATAATTTAAACCACATTAGAATTATTTTTAATATATCCTTTTACTTGATATACTGATTTGTTTTCAACACCAAATTTGAAGCATACAACTGTCAAACAGGAGCTGTCACGCAAACGTAACGAATGCCCCCGAAAAAGTGTCTTAAGCATTGCAAAAAGGTATTTTGAAAAGAACAGATAATGAAAGTAACTAATTGTTTTATATTGTTCTTGTTAAATAAAGTGCTTTCGATAGCAAACGTACCACCTCGGTACATGGACCTTGGATGCGACACATCATCTTGATGTGGAAGACATTTATGCCAGGTTATATTAAAACACTTCAATGCATGGCAATATTACAGTGTGGAAACTAATGTGTATCTTAAATCTTAAAAGGTAGTGATATGGGCTTTAGTCGCGACACATATTTTGGATGTCGTAGGCACTTGCGCCAAGTTTGTTTTTAAAATTCCGTCAATGAATAACAAAGTTACAGTACAAACAGTAATGTGTACATCCTTCAAATTATAAGTGTGACCTTGCCCTAAGAGGGAGAGACATGGGTCTTGGACCCGACACATCGTCCTGATCTAGTAGACATTATGCCAAGTTATGTTAAAATCCTTTGATGCGTGACAAAGTTGCAGTGAATGTGTGAATCAATACTATCTAATTATGATAGCTTGAACCTTCAAAATTAAGTAAATTAATTAAAAAAAAAACAAAAAAAAAAACAAACAAACAAAACATATCCTTCTGATTATTCAACATTATTCAAGTAGGAATATTGGAACTACCCAACTAGAAAAAAATGTCGAAAAGTAAAAATAAAATATAAATATAACAATCACAACAATAATTTCTTAAAGGATCGGATATATATTTTCGCTAATTGAATGCACGGGACGACATGTTACCACCTCCTCACAGTACAAACAATGCTGATGTGGCGATAAAATATAAAAAATAGGCATATCTAAAGAAAGTCCAAAACGGCGAAATTGAAAATGTTGCAGGTTAAATTTGATTGAGCTTGTTCCTGGACCGTACTGTCAAGTGGAGACATCCGTACAAGCCCCCCTAGCACCTACAAATGTTATAGGCTGTAAACTTCACATCTTAAAACACACTTAATGCTTTTCGTGTATTGTGCTGATGTTTCTGAAATAAAAGATGTTTAATCGATTAACGGTTTATGTATTATTCATCAAACGACTTTTCAATATAGTAATTAATATAATTCACTAGATTTGATGCAATCTTCTGTAAAAAAAAACAACAAAAAAATTCGGTAGTGCGTGAATAATCCTGGAAAACATTGTTTGGTGGGTGGGGCCCGAATGATGTTTTATGATTAGCTAAAATCATGCTTTATAGGCGATTGTTTAAAAACCCATTATCAAATTTCACCTTTTTGTTTTACAATTTATTTGTTTATAAATTGACTACAAAGTAAAAGTTCTATTAATAATATTGAAATTTCACATAATCAGCGTGTTCACAATTGTGGAGTTTTTTTGTAGTTAAAAGCTAATCATATAATGCTTTTCATAGTTGTCAAGTCAGCATCTGGGTCACTTGTCACTGACATTGTACAAAAAAAGATCAAGATCGTATTTCATGTAGAGTCAGTCATAAGTGTAACGGATCCCATATTAAAAGAAGATATTACATATCAGGTATGAAACTTTTGCATTAAGCATAATTATATGTTAATTCACATTTCAAAAGTATTTATAAAATATTGATAATCAAAATCATGTTAAATTGAAATCAAATTAACTTTCTTTTGATTGGTGTTATAATTTGCATGAATGTTTTAAATGTCACTTTGTTACGTTTCTAGTTTTATCACTGAGACTCTATATGTTCCATTTTCAATCAAGATGTTTTATTTGAGTAGAACCAAGATGTCTTGAAAGCAAACATTGTGTAAAATAAGGACAATACAGCTCTACATAGTCTCTAACTGCTCATTTTTATATTGCTTAGACATACGTGTTACATGTATTATTTTATATGTTAACATTAACTATCAATAATTTGATATGAATCTGTTTTTGAAAGCTGACTGGAATCTACAAGAGAGCTTTGGGGAACAAATTAAAAGAGGTAGTCATTCTTGACTTGAGGTAACTTCAAAGTCGGATATTTTATGTTTTTAAATATTATATTATTCGATTGTAGCACAAATAATTTTTACCTTAAATAATGCATAATGTACTCTTCACACGCATGTTCATGTTAGTTGGCCACTGTTTTATTAATGGCAGATAGATTTGATTAATAAATATATTGCCTAGTAGTTTTTATATAAAAACCGCATGCTAAAGCTGAACATGTCAGTATAAACGATATTTACAGATAAAAAGTAACAGTTATTTCTCTTTCCAACTGTCTAGAATAGGAAGTCTTGTTGTTGATTTCGAAGTAATCTATGTAAAGGACTCCTCATCTGTCACTGACTTGACTGATGCAAATCTAGATCTTATAAAGGGAGAAAAGACAATCGAAGTTTTCAATGAGACAGTTAGGGCAATATCTGTATCCGTAGGGAACGTTACTGGTGAGTATGACTTTTTATACGTTGAGAATCGAGTACCGCTAAAGCTGGTACTAGGGGACGTTAGGGATGTTGAACTTTTTCATTATCCCTCATTTACAGACTCATTTAAAGCGAGTCTGCAATTTTCATGTTATTTTGATGTTATGAATGCTTCCGAGGGATCACTTTTTCCAGATAATCCTTTGGCTTTATTGAGATTTTCTTTTTGTGTTCTTTTTGTTTTGTTTTTATAGAAGCGTTAGTATATGAAATTATTTGCATAATTAAGTTATTCAAATATAAAATTCTTAAAGTGTGATACAGTTAAGCATTAGTTTGGTTACGAATTTAGTTCTATATAATATATCATGTTATTTAAAGTATTTTTACGCTGAAATACTGAAATCCAAATTGATAAAAAGTTATTCCTTGTCCATAATGTTAACTTGTTTTACACCAAGAGATCGCTTATCTAATTATTTTGTTTTAAATGGTTTTATCTCCTACGTAGGTGTTATCCTTTTTATAGGACATTATAAATTGCCAACAGGACGATTCCGTAGTTTTGCTTAACGTCCTTGCTTTTGACAAAACAGAATATTATTTCTTTTAATCGCCTCTTTCAGTTACGAATGCAAGTATAGTAGATGATGAAAATGTGTGTGCCTTTTTCACAGCCTTAAATGGAAATTGTAAGGGTAGCCTGAAATGTTCTGTCATGAAAGGCAGGCCTTCATGTTGGTAAGTATTGAATGAATCATTAGAACATTTTAACAAAATCTCCTGAACTTTCTTCAAATAACATATGGACTTCATACAGTTATTATGCTTTGTTTACATGATGCACAGGATCACGTATATGAATTGCCAATAAGTGCAATTTTTACGATATTATCTGTCTAAATTAGTGAATCGTTTTTGCGTTCGTTTTATGCAAGCAATTAAGATGTCCTAGAGCCAGCATAATTATTACGTCACATTAAAAATGATACAATGTAAAAAAGCTGTCGACATCATGACAAAATACTTTAAGTTTGTTAGAATATAATGGTTTGAAAACTAATTTTAATATTATTTCATCAAAAATATTTCCATTTATTCAAATTCACTTTAACCAATATCTAGTATATATTATATAGGATGCAATAAAGTAAAACGGTTAAAGAACTCCCAGCAATTACACGTCTTTCTAATATCTGCGTATGTGTTTTTGATATTATATAATAAATTTAATCATTGTACACCATCTTTTCGGGATGTCATTTCACCGTTGTGCCATTGTTCCTGTCACGATTCTAACTTAACATATAAACTCCATTGATGAGCGAATTTGGTACACCTATATCCAAAAAACAAGTCTGCATTTCAAAACGAGATAATTTCCGAACAATTCTACCATTCAAGTGATTGACAGGCGAACAGATATTAAATTTATTTCGAATATAAAGTACACCTATGTGTGCAATGTATTTGCAATGAAATAGTATTAAATATTTGTGATATAAAAACAACGAATATGATATTAGTCATAAAATTTAATCAGCGTATGAATGTTAATAAAAGTTTTTTTTTCTTTTCCATTTGACCAGTATCGGGCTACGCAAGGCACCGACATGTTTTGGACATGAATCAAATGACTGGTGAAGCTATCCTCACGCTAAAATATTACAGTGGATTTCATGCTTATTATTGATATTGATCCTTTGTCCTTTGATAATCGCAATATCACATTTGCTTTTTGTTGTTTCTAAAGCCTATATAATGCAATATAACTGCTAGTTTTCAAAATTGCAGGTCCGAACTAAAGGAAGGGGATGACAGTAAGTTGAGAATAACAAAACTTTATTATCTTATTTATATTTGATAAGCATAATTGTGAGTGCATCTGAATTAACGTTTAAGGTTTTTTTTGCTCCTTAGATTTACGTAACCTTTTTCAGGAATCACATTCGTATAACGTATTTTTAAAATTTATTTAAGACATGTTACAGAAGAGTTCGCATAAATACAAATTTTGACTTGAAAAGCTATGATTAAAAAGATATCCTATAAGCACACCAAAAATGTGCGTACGTCTTCATCTAATTTTAAGATTTAAGACAAAGAGATATTATCGTATTGTTATTTTGTGAGATGTGTCGTTTACATTTTTGAATTATAGGCGACCTTACCCTGCTGATCGTGATTGTCGTTTGCTTTGTGCTAGTCTTCGTCATTATTGCTGGAGTAAGCGCATGCGTAGGTTTTCATATAATACGCAAAAGAAAATCCAAAGACAAATTCTCCTTTAGGTAAAGATTTTGTTAAGTCACAGTTGGATTTAGATATTTGAAACAAACAACTAAACAGTGTTTTTCTTCCATATTCTATAAGTATTGTGTATTTAGGTAAAAAACAACATATTATGCAGTTAACATATTTTAATAATGTAATAAATTTGAGCGAATGACTCTAAAAATTTTTTTTCAGTTTGGCTAAAATGCAAAAATTGAAACATTTAAAGGGAATTCCAAAAAATGCCATATTTTTCACTTAAATTCCTATCTTTTTTGTCTTTTGTGATAAACATATCCCGAAACAACCATTTTCCAATCACAACCTAAATTCTAACACAATCTGTGGTGCTGATGTCATGTCTGACTAAATTGCATAAAGTCACATGTTGTATTTACTTCAACTCCGGCAGAAATGCCATACTTGATTAATTGTCAGATGTTTTCAGAAATACAATAAGAAACAGTTTGTTTTAAATGGAACAATGAAAATTGTCCGACTTTGACTATATCAAAATAGTCACTTGTTTAAAATAGAGATAAAAATAAAAATAATCCCAAGCAAGTTATATTTTATTGGCTACAGAGTTGTACCATTTACCGCAGTATTAGGTGTAATTAAAACAACTATTTATATGATGTACCACTAATTATTCATCAGACTTCATGTAGGGGTCCTTTCTAATAAAATCTTAATTTATAATCAAGGTTTTTTCAAATGAGGACTGTGTAAGTGATACCAACATGTTTCAATATTTGGTAATATTTTAAAGTGGGTAAGGTAAACTGGTTGTAATGATTGGGTGCTTTACCATTTTGCACCCCAGTTAGCGTACTAAGAAATGACACATTGGGCTGCCCTTTTTATACACATTTGCATAGTCATACAAATGCAATGTACTCTACATATGTAATAATATTTAGTGTATTTTTTTTTAATCTGGAAAAAAAAAACAATTGAAAAGCGTTAAATAGACTGACACAGTTGTAAAATGTTTTACAATTTTAAGAAGCCGTGATGTGTCTTGAACAAATTCTTCAGCTGTTTGAAATTAGGTTTATATTCATGGGAATGATCTGAGTTGGTCATATCGTTTTTATTGTTTTTCTAAGACAGATCAAGACTTGTTGAAAATGTACCAACCTTAGAATGAAATAATGACGATAAATGATTTAATAACCAATGTAAATTTAAAGCATAATGTCCTCTTCCATTTATTATTGGCTAATAACAGCTTAACTAATTGAATATTTGTGGATCAAGGATACATTTAACTTTAAATACGTTTTTGTTCTAGTTTTGTTTAAATGTAGTTTTTCAGCTCTTTTAATTCAGAGTAGCAGTTACATTTAAGTTACATCCATTTATTCACTGGTGACTATGGAACACTGGTAGTTATAAGTGAAACAGACCATTATTTGTGAGTTACCTTTGTGTCAAATATGCAAAGTTGAGTCCACATCATGGTCTTTTGGGGCCATAATTTAGTTACAAAATTTCAAATTTAAGCCCTTTTTTACTTACCCTAAAACGTCTTAAATATTGTCCTAAATTGTCATATTTTGTCAGAAGTTGCTGGACAGCCTGAATAATGCTATTGTAGCAATAAATGAAATTCATGACCACTCGTTTAAATAATGTGTTACATTTTTTACGTCAGGTGTTTTTAATTAGATCTTAAAGTCATGCATATTTAAAATGAGATTGATAACATTTAAAAGGATTGATAAGGACAATTGATAGATAATACATTTTTATAAAGAACAGTTTATGTTGTTGTTGTTTTAGATATGACGTAAACATAGTTGTTAATAACCCGACAATGAGAGGCTGTAATAAAAGCCGTCTAACCACTGATTCGTTTGAGTTGATGCCAGATTTCCAAGACAGCAATCCCAGTATGCCAACCGAGGAGCAAAAAGAATAACATTTTAGCCTTGGATCGAAACAATATGTTGTATACCAACACCACTATAATAATGATGTACCAAAGTTGGTAATAACTCTGCGACAAATTTAATGCCGCTGCAGCTGTTGACTCGAAATCTTAAAACGCTTTTCAGCATTATCATTGTATCGTAATCTAAGGCTGCCAGAATTTTTGTATGTTGCCATTATCGGAGGAACTATTTTATTGCTGTGATGCACGGTCAACATTGGCTTTTGGGCTTCTCACCGTAACACAAGACTTATCATTGATGAAGTTTAAAAGACGAGGCCGATTTTAGCTCACCTGTCACAATAACAATGTGAGCTTTTGTGATTGCATTTCGTCCGACGTCCGTCCGTCGTCCGTTAACTTTTATTTTAAACAACATCTCCTCATAGACCACTGAGCAGATTTCATCCAAACTTAACAGGAATGTTTCTTTGGTAGTAACCTTTGAAAATTCTTCAAATAATGTAATTCCATGCAGAACTCTGGTTGCAATGGCACCCGAAAGAAAAAAACTTTAAAAATCTTTACTTGAAACAAAACAAAACAAAAAGCTAGAGCTTAGATATTCGGCATGTCAAATCTTCTAGTAAGTGTTACAAAGTTTGTTCAAAATTGGTCCAGTCCTGGGAGGTCAATAATTTTCCTTATATGTATATAGTAAAAACTGAAGAAAAAACATCTCTTTAAAAAACCCAAAGAGTTAGAGCTTAGATATTAAACATAAAAACCGTTTCGTGATTGTTTACCAAGTTGTTCAAATGAAAGCCCTGGTGTTAAAATTGGTCCCGCCCTGGGGGTCATTAACTTTCCTGATGTATATAGTAAAAACAAAAAATGTGTTCTTTGAAAAACCCAAAGAGCTAGGGCTTATATATTAAGGATGAAACATCTTCTAGTGAGTGTATACAAAGTTTGTTCAAATATAAGCCCAGGGTTCAAAATAAGCCCCACTCAAGTGGATCATTAATTTTCCTTATATGTTTATAGTAAAAAAAAAATCTTTTTTCAAAAAAACCCAAAGAGCTAGAGCTTAGATATTTGGCATGAAACGCCTTTTAGTGACTGTCTACAAATTCAATCACTGGAGATAAAATTGGCCCCACCCCGGGAGTCATTGACTGTCCTTAAATGTTTAAAGCAAACCTTAAAAAATCTTAATAAAAGAAAACCAAAGAGCTATAACTTAGATATTAAGCATGAAACATCTTCTAGTGGGTGTCTAGCATTTTTAAAAAAAATAAAAGGCCAAATTTGGCCACGTCGTTGATTTTCCCTTTATGTATATAGTGAAATCTTTAAAACTTCTTTAAAGCACCCAAAGAACTAGAGCTTAGATATTTAGCATGAAACATATTCTAAAAGGTGTTTGCCAAGTTTGTTCAAATAAAAGCCCTGAGTTAATATAATTCTTGTTCATGGAGAGTTTTTTATATTCAGGTGAGCGATTTCAAGCCATCATGGGCCTCTTGTTTATATTTCATTTTCTTTTACAATTCGTGAAGTTGTTTAAATCTAATCGATTCTTAAATATCTACAATGTATGCATCCATGATAATTTCATGCCTTATGATTATTCATATTCGCCTGGTACCAAATTTTATTCATTTTGTAGTCAATGCTTTAAAAAATCTCATAGTTATATTATGCTCATATTTTCATTGTCAAGTTGTGCTGAATTGTTTATAAACTGTTATTATGTTAACTGTCTAAGAGTTGATAAATTATAAAAAAATAAATCTGCCTTAAATATGAAAAAGACTACCATCACTAACTGATTGAACTTATTATGTATATTTATACAAAATAATATATAAAGTTAAACTGAATATTCACATCCATTCATACCGAATTTACATAATGGAAGTAAAAAAAGTGATATAAAAATCATAAAGCAAAACAATATGAATTCAGATTATAAATTCTGCTCAGTTAGGATAACGATAGAGTGACGCACCTGTCAGGTTCATTATTACGGTGTAAAACTGTTATCATATTACTATAGTCAAGCAGTTCAGTTAGGATCGCCTCCGTGGTCGAGGGGTTAGAGTCTATGACTTCTAATCCAGTTACCTCTCTGGCGTGGGTTCGATCCCCGGGAGATGCTTTGGTAGTTAAGCGCGGAGGAAGGTAGTCTAGTACCGGTCTAACTCTCCAGGAACGATGGTTAGGAACCTACCCGCCCATATGACTTAAATACTGTTGGGAAAAGGCGTAAAATGAAACAAACAAACAAACAAACAAACAAGCAGTTCAGTTATGTAGCTTACAAATATAAAAAACAACATCAAACTGTATATATTGTATATATCTTATACATATTTCTAAAACCATTTTTAATTATCTTATTTCTCTTTTATTTTCTTAAAAATCATTTTATTACATTTTGTTTGTTTCCATGCATTTAAATTTATTACACGATGAAGAATTTACAATTCGTAGCAATGCTGGTAATTACAATAGATTTCGCTTATAAAAGTCAATATCTGGAACGTTTGTGCAACTATATCCGAAACAATATGCATAAATGTACACACTTTAAATTAACTTCAGATTTGAAGGTATGAAAAACGTGTGCACGGTACTAATACTATTTGTACTATGCATGGTAATTAGTCATGCTGGTATATTTTATATACATGTAGTTTATTAGTTTAACAACATAACAAACCTACACATGTTCGACAATATATGTACATCTGATGTAAATATAGAAAATAACAACAACAACAACAAAAAAAAAAGAAAAGAAAAGGAATACATTTTGAAAATCTCGAAACTATGACAAAATTGTTGCTATGTATATATATTCGATTTTTAAAACCAGTTTTAATACCTTTTCAGTCGATTGTTGAATATTTTTGTGTACACATAAAATGAAATGTCAACCTCATATTACCAAAGGCAAACAGTAGATGTTTACAATTGTTGTCCAAGATAGGTTGTCATAGTAACAGTTAGAGTAGCTAATGGTTACATAACTTGTATAAATATGAATAATCGGAATACCTATACAGGACATGTGTGATTTCCAATGTGTATAAAAGACATAATATCATTTACTTGCCACAAATATTTTCATTACATTGTGAAAATATCAATTTAGAGGTTTGCATAGGTTATTTCACAAAATGAAGAATTTTTATGCGCTTTGGAGACAACATAATTACAAAGTAATGTTAAATATATTTAAATTAGTGTTGTTTGTTTATATAAATAAGGAAAGTTACTTTACAACAGGAAAAAGTATTCTTCAAATTTTAGTGTTTCTACTTTTGGGTTACATTTTTTCCTTTTATTCTTAACTAAAATATGAATTCGAATGAAGAGTTTAATTGTTTTACACCATACGTTGTTAATTCAAAACATTATTTTTAACCCTTGAATTTGTAATTAAATTTAATGTTTCAATGTACGTGTGAAGTTTCGGTGTTAAGTAACCAAAATTTAGTTTCATTTAGTAAGGCTGGTAAAACAATGTCATACATTTATCAATATTATCATACCATACATTTATAGTATTATATTAACTTATGTAGAAATATATAAAAAATGCTAGTAACTCTTTATACGTTATTTTTGTACAAACGAGTAATATTAAGTCATTAATAAGGAGCATACAGTGATGAGTTCTACAAAATTCTTCTCCTTTCTAGTGTAAAAAGGAGAAGAATTTAATAAGATTAGTCTTACGTTCTTATCCTATTCTTGAAATATGAATTTATTTAAAATATGTTTGATTTGTATGTATAAATATATGTATATATGTATTTGTTTATTTTCGGGAAATAAATATGTTTAAACTAGAAGCCAGTATAGCTTAATACTAAATGACTCAATATATCCCCGCGTAGGGTATTTTCGTGGGTATAAGGACACTGTCGTTGACGTAACGGATATTTTTCACAAATTTAATTAAATGCAATTAAGTTTAAATAAACCATTCATTTACATACACAAAATAATAACTTTTAACAGATGACCTAATTTTAACATAAAAATACAATGTACATACTTTCCGGTACTAAAGCAGAGCTAGCATTTTTCTCCGATGGGTATTTTCGTGGAACATGTGATTACTGATAAAACAGTTTTTAAGAAAGAAAAATCCATATTTTTTAGCATTAAATCCCTTTTCAAGCAATTATCATTGTTTTCAACACGATTAAAATGTCAGAAAACCTAAATAACAAAAACGGCAGGAAAAGGAACAGTTCACTATTTACATTTGGAGGTCTCACATAAATAATTTTTTACAATTGTGGCATAGGAAAGTGTCCCCAAGTCTCAAAACTCTAACTTCTGAGCAAATGTCAAGTATACCCATCTATGACATATATTACATCTCCCACACTTCCTGATAGTGAGATATGGGCACTTGTTTGTGTTTTGTGGGTAGAAGAGGTGACCATACTGAATAGATATGTAAATTAATTTACTTACCACTTCCGGGTTTTTGTCATAAGGTACCATCAGTCATTTGTCAAAAAAAATTACTATGTGAGACCACTTTTCATCAATGAAAGTCACGTGACCTGTGGTTGGGAGAATAGTCAAATTGTAGCCGAACTGTCAAATATTTTTGGTGTATTTTAAGACTGATTAGAAAATTGTCAAACTTTTGGGATTTAGGAAAACAGGTAAAAATATTTGTATCTACATAAATGGTATTTCTACTGACCTTCCTACATTCCATTTTTGAAAAAAAACTTTGGCAGTGTTTACATTAAATGCAAACTTCCAAGAAATTACGTGACCGGAACCATGTGTGCGCTCAAAACTTATTTATACCGGAAAAACGGTGAAACCACGAAAGTACCCCTCCCACGAAAATACCCGACGTTGTTACATGTATGTAAACTCTATTCTGTCTGTACATAGTCTCAATTTACTTGTACATCACATCTGCAGTTTCAGGGTCCTTCAAACTTGTTTTGTATTTAACATAAAATATCAAACAAAGTTGAAATGCGCATAGGAAGTAGTTTCACTGTTATTTATATTTTGTTTCTGGTGAGTGAGAAATTTAATCAATCATTTAGTTAGATATAGAGGATAGAGAAATCCCAACCTCGGACGATCTGTTCCATCGGGAGCTCGCCAAGGCTCGTTTTTGACAGAACCGATCTGGGATTTCTCTATCCTCTATCTAACCTAATGATAGATTCTATTAATACAGTTTACCCACAACTTACATATCACTGAAAGGGCCCAATTTTTTCTTCTAAACTTTTATTTAAAATTAAAATAACATAATTGTTTCTGTGAAAGAAGTGTTTAACTTTTCAATATCTATAGACATTTAAAGACAAGTATTATATATTTCCGAGCTAATAAAATTATCACTGTATATGCCAAACATCCCTTTTATTTATATTGTATCTTTACATTGTATCTTATCGAACCGATTCATCCATATACTGTCCATGACCGAAAATATTACATGGTTTGGCACTAAAAATTAATGTTTGACCATGGTTTCATTCGTGATTTTTTTTCAATTCAAAATAGATAAAAGTAACAGTACAATAATAAACAGTACAACACAAATTAAGAAACTGGCTCCACAAATAAGATATATAAAACTTGAATTTGATGAATCAAGATTACTCTTGATTTGAAAGGTTTAAATATAAATATCACCAACACATTTGTTTCAGCCAGTCAAATTCAGGAATTGAAGGCAATAAATACACATATAGAGGCAAACAGCATTCATCGAACTCCTTTAAATGAACCTATTTGTCTTGATACAGAGTGTGGACTTCAGTATATTTAAAAAAAATTACAATACTTTTTTCAAATATATGAAACGAATTTTGAAAGCTAATTTTTACAAGAGACCAAATACTATCGCCATCAATTAGGATTTAGATATAAAGTCAACAGACAAAGTCGCGTACAGAAAATTGTTTAACAAATGAAACAAATATTGTGTTTATTTGAGAGTTGTTATTGTATTGATTTTTTATTGCACATCATAAGCTGTCAGCTTTGTCTCTAATTACTGGCTCTATGTATTTTTTCAAATTCATAATTTAGCATTCAATTATTTGACACAGTTATATAAATTGAACACCTGTAAACTAATATTTTACATGTAACTTCCTGCTAAAGTTATTTGATGTGGATGTAGATCGAAACCATTTGTTTGTTATTTTACATAATATTTAGGGGATACAAACAGTTAATGCATTGTTTAAAATGGAAATCACATTTAATGACCATGCATTAATCATATTAATTAGTATGAGTCATCAGCAAGTTAAAGCCAAATAAAATATGAATATGATAAACACGTAGTGTGTATATTTCACCGATAAACTGATACTCCTCTTTTTAATCTACTCATCAATCAATATGATTTCTTTCTCCTACATAGAAATGTTTTATATTTTTAGTTCAATATGTCCAATAATATAATGACAATGACAAAGTTTAATTGCTTCTTGGCATTGCATAAATATAAGACACAGTATATTTATAGAGCACAGTTAATGCATTACAATTAACAAATTACAAATAACAACTTTGATATATCTGGAATTGACATCATACAAGATACCTAATAACGCATATTACACAGGAAAGATAATTGTTTATGTAAGACAAGCAAAAGATTATACGAGTTTCCTCCCATGTATTGTCCTCATTAACAAATGAACATCTGTAAATGTGAATCTATGTCAGTGCCATATGTCATGTGGTATAATATCTTCTGTTGGCCTCGTGTAACACTGTTGCTGATGCCTCAAAACTTTTATCTGCATTCTTTAAAATTCATAGCATTTTTTAAATGTTTTAAGTGCAAAAAAACAAAAGAAATTTGAATTTGAAAGTTTATCATAATAGAATGTATGATATTCAGCGTGGCGTTATTACATTGACCTTTAACAATTTAGCCATTATGAAATTGACAATTCAGATGTAATAATGAAGACTATGTTTAGATGTGGAACACTGCTGTAATCGGTGCAAGAAGGGTAGGGGAGGAACTGGGACGTCAATGGTAGCTTTTTGCTTCTTACGTTCATCCGTTAAACCGACTTTGCAACATTTCAAAACTGGCCGGTTTTTTTTGCGTTTTTTAAAGAATTGTTTTAATAGTATTTCATTCAAATTTGCCACTATTAAATTAACATTTATCAAAATTGTCATAATTAGATTAGCCTGAATCAAGTTAATTTAACCTTGATATGACTGCGTGTAATCAAATAGAATAATGAATGAGTCAGCGTTTCTTTTATAGCCTTTTCAAGAAAAAAGGGACTCGTTTACGTTAGTCTGTATATCCCCTTATTTAGATAATATCTCGAACGTATAGAAAAGAGACCCATATGAGTATTTTATTTGAATGTCAGGGATTTTTATTTTACTTGAAAAGTCACATCTTAAGCATGGTAACTGTAATTTTATGTATGTTTAGGGACCATTTCTCATAAGACAATGTATGCAGCAATCTGACCTGTAACCAAGTAGTACAACTAATAAACAAGCAGGAGTAGGTTATCATAGATTAAACTCTTCAATAGGCATCTCTTGTGACAAGTGGAGTGGATGGACACTTAACTCGTTATCGGAATATTTGCTATTAATGATTAATTTAAACAAAAGAGCCACTTAATGTATCTAATACTCTCACCTTTGAACCAGCCTTGAATCAGTGTAGCATCAAGTTAAGAGGCAAGAAGTCATGCAAGGGTTTCTAACAATATTGTATTAAAATATCAGATATCTGTAGACATTTATTCAAAAGCGTTATACATTATGTTATCTTTACCAAATCCCTCTTTTTATGTTACCATGCTACCAGATGAACAATTGACTAATGTACTTTTGTTACACAAACCAAAGTACATTTACACTTATATTTAAATAAGGCGAGACGTTTTTGCAGAAATCATAGTTTGAATATTTACTTCCAAGGCCTCATCACATCAAATAATATTAGATAGGAAATGAGCATTTCAAAACAGTCTTAATGTACACAAGTCTAATAAAGATGGAATTTAGTTATTTCTTATTAATATTTGGATTATTATTCACTGGTGTACATGGTAAGAAATGACTGTAGAAAAATACGATTAGCTACTTTTTAATGCCATTAACAGGTTTTCGCACATGCAAAACTTTAGAGTTATGTCCACTAATATCACACCCGGAAAATCTTTGCATAGCAAATCAATTTGCCTTTACAAAAAAAAAAACGGCCAAATGGCATATATCCGTAATCCAATGGCCAACAGGGCCAATATATCCGTCTTAATTTTAATTAATCCAAAAATGTTGTCATTTATTTTCAAAGTGACTATGACACCTTAATCCATATGTCACAGGGTCATTTTGTCTTTGTTAGGATACTCTGTAATTCATACCCATACTCTATATCATTCCCCTATCGTCTCTTTTTCAATCATTCATATCATTATTCAACTTCATACTAATAACTTCATTTGACCTGTAACACGTTGACGGGCCTCATTCACTTCATTTTTGAATTTCGATCACGGTTCAGAACTGTTCACTTATTACGGGAGAAAATGTGTAAGTGGCCGGAAAGCTCAGTCGGTAGAGCGGCGGGACGGTATTCCGAGGGTCCCGGGTTCGAGTCCCGGTCAGGCTGCACATTTTTCTCACCCTGTGACATTTGGCGCCTAACGGGGGCCGTGACTGATATAGCTCAAAGTTTTATTTAAATTGCTCTGTAACTCTGTGAAATTCGAGGACGAATTTCAATATAGCAGGGGTGTATGTAATGGTTCAGAACTGTTCACTATTAAGGGGAGAAGATGTGTAAGCGGCCGGATAGCTCAGTCGGTAGAGCCGCGGTACGGTATTCCGAGGGTCCCGGGTTCGAGTCCCGGTCAGGCTGCACATTTTTCTCACTCTGTGACACATAGGATTACGGATATATGCCATTTGGCCTTTTTTTGTAAAGGCAAACTGGAAATTTGTCCAGCATTACTTTGTGTATTTGAAATTGTTTGTTTTTCTTTTACATTATTATTACTCTTTGCCTTTGCTTGAATAGCAGCATCCACAGAATGACTAAGGTAATCTTATAACATGATTATCAAGTGACTGTGACTCTGTGAAACCCAGTTATTTTAGGGGAATCTCCCCACAGTGACAATATTATGGAGTAGCAAAAATCTCCTTTGTAGATCAAAGTGTCTATGACACCTAGTTATATAAGGGAAATTTCCCACAGTGAAAAAAATATCAAGTCAAGGAGAAGAAAAATATCTCCTTGTGTCGGCTTAACATATTCACAATTAGGCAGCAACATTTTTGCGCTCTGACAACACAATTTATATTTTACAACTCTCATTTATTTAACTGTCTCACAAGTACGCCTTTTGGTTCCATTTCAGTGCTTTACGATCCGACATGCAAGTCAGACTAGTCAGTTCGAAAAAGATCTTTTCATGTGAATGAAAATTTAGGTAAACTGGTATTCAAGGATAAGAGGAAATTTAACACGTTGACTTAAGTTCATTAATCAAACTGAAATTTGTTTAAATCCTCTTTTTATTTTAGGTCAGAAAATTTGTTGGGACTCAAAATGGTACAACGAATCTGTTACATTGAGAAATGGGTAGGTACCTATCATGTGTCTACATTACACATTGACAATGTATAACTACTATATTTAGATATAATTGTCAAGTCTATTAAAAGATGTTCAGCCCTTTGAATGGTGACCGAGGAATATATAGAAAAATAACTGTTTCTATGTTTAAGCCAAATTGTACAACTTACATGACGCTTTGCTTCATCACTATAACCTTTGTGATAATAAATATATCATAAGACAAAAAAGGGATTCCATTAAAATCTTACATTGCTTGTGTTACGATTGTTCTCTTCTGCCTAGATTCTATAATGATTCTATTATGATATGTAGTGGTTTTAAACCTAAATTACCGGTTAGTTATTATTGTAAACATATACTTAATCTTGTATTTAAATGGATAGTTGAATGTTTTATAGATAAATAAAAAAATATATAAATAATAATGTATTAGATTAGAAAATGTATTCATAACAATTATTTGATAAAACTGACAAATTTTTATTATTTGATATAAAATATAAAAATTTGTCCTTAAAATCATTCGAACTCAATACCATCCTAACCAATATTCGACCCAATATCAGTACCTGTTGGATGCTTGATTTCCTCAAATTCAGAAAACGATTATTAAATATAACTACATTATTAGGTATAAATAGAGCTCAAAGCTGTGGACAGAACCAGCCCGCATAGGTCAATCGGTTAGAGCGCGAGACTTGTAATCCCGACATTGTGGGTTCGATTCCCGGGCTGGCAAACTAAAATTACTATTCAGTCTTACGGACGAGAATTTGAATCGAGGTCCCATGTACGGGTGCTTAAACACTTAGCATGCTAAAGAACCGGGAAATGCTTCTTGAATTGGGGCGTCTTTCTTTATTTGTGATTGCACTATCCTCCAAAATCTAAAATGACTAATATTCTTATGGAGGACTCGCCCATATGGGCAACTGGTGGCGAGTATGAATACACGCAAAAACTCAAAGGACAGTCAGTCTCTGCCCAGCTTCTGCAGTCTCAATATCACAGAAATAATAAATATGTTAGATAAATTACTTGGAATCTCACACTATTTACGAAGTATATCAATTGCATCAATTTAACATTGCGTTGAGTGTAATTGTAAATACTAAAGTATTGAAAACTTGATATCCATGTGGTTGATATATATAATATATATATTAAATAGCCTAAGAAGTGACACCTTAATTTTATATCAAGTTCAATAAGAACTTATCAAATTTAACGTTACTGTTACAAACACTAGTTAATTAAACTTGATTAAATCATTTTAATCATTTGTAACAAATCAACTGGCAAAGTAGCCATAAGAAAAAATATGTATAAAACAGCTAGCCCGTTCACGTTATAATTTTTTTTTATATATCTGTATATACATATTTGAAAAGCAACATAAAAATAAATAAATAAATGAAAAGTGCACGGATTTAAACAAACATTTTTCAAAAATGTCATGCATTTTAAATGTTTTAAACTTTTAAGCTCGTTTAAAAGGACACAAATAACAACAGAATATCTCCACTGCTTACAAAATGATGCTAGAAACGAGTTCAGAAATTTACAGAAGTAATCAATTGAAATATACGTTTGTCTTTGTGACTTTTCACATTTATAAGAATACATAATATCACTGCCGCATCATCATTTGTTTTCTTTGTTGTTGATTTAATTACTTTGGATGAACAACAGATTGTAAATACCAAACCTTTCTTTTCAGATCAAATTATGAACATCAACCAGTAAGTGTATTAGATAAGATTTGCACTCAAGGATCAGTAATAGCTGCACAGTGTAAGGATATTAAGGGAGAGCCTTTTAATGTCAATTTCAATGATACAAATAATCATATTTATGTTGTTTGTGATCATATAAACGGACTTATCTGTCATCCATATCCACATATTCCGTACGCAACTTGTCTAGACTATGCTATTAGATACGGTTGCCGGTGTCCACCAATAACATCGACCGTCGGTAAGTTGTAATTTAGTCCTGAAATCGTTGTTTTTTCACATTTTTTTCAGAAACAGAGTAACGTGTTAATGAGTTCTTACTGTATTTCATCTGAGACAAATAGTAGAAATATCAGAGGCAACAACAACAACCCAAACAAACAAATAAATAAACAACAATTAAAATAACAATAATAATATATAGATGAATAATTAAAATGAATAAATAAAATAAAAATCTAATGATTGTTTATGACTGTGTATTTCTTTAAGCCAATGTGAGTGATATTATTTATCAAAATTGACTACAAGAATTATTGTAAAACGTTATTTAACATGACCAAGAAGCATTTTCAAATATAACATATTTTTCTTGTGTAGAAATATATTAATATTCTGAAACATACTCTTATTTTCAAACAATTTAGATACATTTTGGAGGGATGAATCAGAAAAACCCTAAAGTAAGCTATAAGTTAATAAATATTCATTAAAAGTTCATACAAAAAACGCTATATTTATGCTTTATATATCCTTTTTACATTGAAACAAGAATTTTAATAATTTAAGACATTATGAATACCACAGACATATCTGAGCCTAATTTGAATCATAATCTTTTTGCAGGAAGTCATCTTCTTCTTGAAGATGCTATAGAGGTCAAGTGTACAGCATCACACTGGAATATATCTGTCAACATGAGTCGCTTGCAGATGAAGTACCATTCAGTCAAACCAACCGATATATTTTTAGGCTCGGAGAAATGTCAAGGTCATCTTGATAACTCCATTTTGCTTTTTCAACAAAGCTTCAACACCTGTTCCACCTCTGAAAAAGTAAGCACATCAACGGAAAGTTCAGCATTCTCACTCCATAATCACCTTCCATTGTTAACAGTGTTATCACGTTAATGTAGAATCTGCTACAACTTATTTGATTATATTTATATCATTTGAGAAGCAATGAATTTTATGAGAATATATCTCATTATAAATATTTTGTACAACAAAGTAGATCTCTCACACTTTTTTTATTTACCCTTTTCACATTTGGTAAAAAAGTTAACAAATAGCGAATAACAAGTTTTGTAACAAAACGGTTTTCTTTATACCTACAATTCTATTTCAGTTTAATACGGACATGAATATTTACAAAAACAACCTATTCTACATTGTTTTCGACCCTGTTCGTCCATATGTGGTTCTGAAACACGAGTGGACTTTTAATGTAGAATGTGACGTCAATGCCAATGAAGTAACGTCATCGCACGTGGAACATATTACGGAAGTACATAATGCCTCGTTTACAAGTCACTACCGATTAACTATGACGTATTATAATGACGTTAACTTTTTACACCGTATATCCGGAAATCCCCTGAAGGTGGTACTTGGAGAAAATGTATTCGTTAAAGTATACACTACATTGCCTGATTGGGATACAAAAATGATACTAGACACGTGTTACACGAGGCCATCAGGAACAAACACATCAGCTATGGATGTCACGTTGATAAAGCAAGGGTAAGGAAAAATTGTAATATAAAAAAATTAGTTAGGCAGTTCCAGATAAAATAAGAATCACAAAGGTCGCCAAAAGCAAAACGTTGAAATTGATACCATTTCAGAATAGGTTTAATCTAAATGTTTAATTGCAGTGGTATGTAAAAGAAAAGAAATACTTTAATTTGTTTGACTTGTACTCCTTCACTCTCAAAGATTTGATAATAACGAAAGTAAGGAGATTCATCGATTCCCCGTTACTAACCGTTGTTGATTAAAATTAATTTGTAAAACATGTACGTTGTTTTAGTGATTTTTTATTTACTTTTTATCGGAACAGCCAATGCTTTTAATATTGGGGAAATTATCACAAATTCTAATAGAATACTTTGAAGATTTAACAAAATTTATTGAAACATTCACCTTTTCATTCTGGAAATAATAAAATGTTTTTAGTGCTTTTTTTCATATATATTTCAGCTGATTAGTAAAAGTAAAAATAATTAAAAAATATTCAACGTTTTTTTAATGGGAAAGGGCCTTTTTCGGCCTCAATCTTTTACAAAAGAAACTCACTTTATTCATTAAATGCACTCTATTATTACTTGGTTTTAGATCAAGATCTCACTAGGTAAACTTACTTTATAATAACCCATAGCTCTATTTTGTTCTAGATGCGAAGTTGACAGAAACACACATATCATCTCACAGTCTACCCACGAGACAAGATTTGTGTACAAAGATTTCAAGTATTTCAACAACAATGGAGGACTTGACATATTCTGTAACGCAACATTCTGTCACACTTCCGACTTTTCCGCACGGTGTACCCAAGCCTGTAAACACACAGTATCGTGAAATGGATCAGAGTAAAATCGCCATTTGAAATGTATATTTCTAAATCTGAAAACTTAAATTAATATATATCAAAGTTAAAAATGTAGGTAATTTGCAAAATACGGCTCCATAAACTGATTTGTTTACGCTTTAATCTATTGTTAAGATTTATATAAGAGACCTTTGGAACATTATTTATGAGGGTTAAATTACTTTATATGTAACTGTACTGATATAAAGATTTTTTGAACGTTGATTTGTGTAGATTTGTTTTTAAATATCTCAGTCCTTGGTCATATTCTATCTCAGGACCTGCAGATATTTGATATCGGACCTAATAAATATTTGATCTCGGACCTTGGATATATTTAGCCCTGACCCTACAGATATTTTATCTCAGACTTTGGGGACTTATTTGATATCAGTCTTTGGAGAGATTGCATTAGAGATGTTTTAATCTCAGTCCTTAGTGTTATATTCATTATCTTTCCTTTCAGAGCTTTTAGCAATGATAATGATTTCAGTGTTTCTTAGATACACTTTTTGATCAGCAAAAAATGTAATTTCATTTTGTTGACTGTATCTTAAGATATATAGAAATGGAAGAACATCATGCCTACATTTGCTGCATACAAGCAAACATGAAAAGAAAATGCGGGACGTTTTTGTTTACAAACCATTTCTGCAATAATCACTCAAGCGTTAAAAATGGTAAACTAGGTAAATTCTAAATTTGTTCATTAATTACCATATTGATTACCATATTTATAATATCAATGCAAGCATGCAATACAGGAAACAATCTGAGTAATTAACGTGTGATCATCGCTTACAAAAACGTTTCTACAAATGCAAACATGTATGCATGTAATAAATAACATTGAGATAAGGTTCATACTGTATAAACATTTCAACTGGACACCTTACGTTTTGCAGTAGAAAAATAACCAAGAGTATTGTTGATTGGTAAAACCGTAATATAACTGTATGTAATCAAATAATAATGCATGAGGATGCTATTTTTGTACCCAGCCTTTTCGAAGTAAAACGGAGGATATATAAATGGGCTTGTTTATGATTACATGGTCTGTATATTCCCTTGTCCAGAGGATAACTGTGCAAGTATGAATTAGACCCCTATAACAATTTCTTAATAGTCAGGAATTTTCATTTTTCTTTGAACAATTGCACCTTAAGCATAGGAACTCTATTTTAAAGTAGGTTTAAGGGCCATTTCGCACGGTGTTAGTCTATACTGACATTAATACTGTAGACTAGCATGTAATAAATTAGTACAAATAATGGATTCAACCTGAGTATGTAATCCTAGATTAGAATAATAAGTAGGCATCTCTTGTGACAAGTAGAGTGGATGGACACTTAAAGTCGTTATCTGAAAGATTAATTCAAACAAAGAGAGCCACTTAACAAATCTAATAATCATACCTTTGAACCAGCCTTGTATCTGTGTAGCATCATGTAATGAGGCAAGAAGACATGTAAGGGTTTCTAAAATAAATTGTATTAAAATATCAGTAATCTATAGACATTTATTTAAAAGCGTTCTACATTGTGTAAAATATGTTAGTTAACCCCTCCCCCTCAGTTAATGCTACTTCTTCTTACACAAACCAAAGTACATTTATATATATTCACATGAGGCGAGGTCGTCTGGATGTTTTTCAGAAATCATAATTTGAATTTCTACTTCCATGGCCTCAACACACCATATGGTATTAGATAGGAAATGAATATTTCAAACCAGTCTTGATGTAAGTTTAATAACGATGGAAGTAAATAATTTATTATTTATATTTGGATTATTATTTATTGTTGATGTAAATGGTAAGAGATGACTATAGTCTACCATAAGCTAATTTTTTAACGTTAACAACAAGTTGTCACATGTACAACGTTAAAACTATGTATTCATATCCGTAAAATCCTTGCACAGCTAAGTGATTTTTAAACTTAGGTGTCATAGTAACTTTAAAAAATAGATATATATTTGATTTGAGGATTAATTGAAATTAAGACACATATATTACCCTGTTATCCTTAGGATAATATGTTCGCTCGGATATATGCCATTCGGGCGGTTTTTGCAAAGTCCATTTAAAATTGGTTTTTTTTTTACATTATAAATACTCTTAAAAATAACAAAGAAATAGTTACATGTGAATGACAATAAAGATATAGTGGTATTTAAAGTAAAGAGGCATTGTAAGACGTTATATCGAGAGGTTAAATGGCCTCGCAATCAATATTACAATAATTATACCTTACATAGTAATCTGAGATTGTAATTTATGTTATAATGTTAAAATTATAATAAATAAAAATAATGTTAAAATTATAATCAATAAAACATCAAGGTTTTGAGTAACCGTTTTTCTTTCATAATTGGCATTTATCATACAGTTTTGTATACCTGAACATAAAACTGTTGCAACACATTTAGCATTGGTATGAATGTTTGTTTTTTATCATTAATTGATATGTTGAACAAGTCAGTTGAAACCAGAATCCAAAAGCGGATTTTGGAATCATCAAATTTTTAGTATTAACTCGCAGAGACAAGCAGAAAGGTAAATGGGCTTAGAGTTAGATATATATATATTTTTTTAAGTTTGCGTCAAAACTTTACTTATTTCTTCGGCTTTGTACTACAGTACTTTTGGTGCCGTCTTTAACATTTAAAAGTAAATAAAGCGTGCTCGAAATTGCTTTAATTCTCGTTGCTATTCTTTATTTTAGGTCAGAAAATTTGCTGGGACTCAACATGGTTCAACGAATCTGTTGGATTGAGAAACGGGTCGGTACTTATCTTTTGTGTACATTGCATAATGACATTGTAGCATTATTCTGCGATAAAATAATTATTGTCAAGTCTTTAAAAAAACAACAGTTTCGATATTTTAAAGATAACCGAGTAAATATGTAAGGAAATATTTTTTTCTATGTTTAAGCCAACTCGAACAAACTTACCTGACGCTTTGCTACATCAATATAACCCAAGTTATTATAAATATAAGTGACAAAAAGGGCTTCCATTTAAAAACTTAAACCGTTTATGAATTATTTCTTTTGTTTTTGCTGATCAAAGGAAGTATTCGGTGCTCTTCAAGTCGTACTGCACTCAGTGATAAATATATGTTCATCAGAAATAAGTTAATTTATTTAATTTTACCTATGAAATATGGTGCTATATCAGTCAAATGTATTTCATATTTTTTAAAAATAAATATGAAATATAAATATGAAAGTGGGCGGAGTCAAAACTCATATTTATTTTAAGGGACTTCTTTGGCCATTTTGTTTTAAAAATCTGATAAATACAAACAACTTTTTGTTGAATTTTGTTTTGAAAACTATGTAGAATGATAGAAAATGGTCTAACTAAGAAAATAAATCCGAACACCAATATCTTTAAATCAGACATTAACGCTGTACAGACGTTTAAAAATTTGTTTACGTGACGTCACAATCTAGCGCTAAATATCGCGTGCAAAACAAGACGATACTTATATTTCTGCGCGCTGTATAATTGCAGTTGCGTAGCAGGCAAGGGAGTTCATAACCATTTTTCTTTGATAATGAAATTAAATATACGGGTTATTTTTTCGTTTTTCGTGAAATATGATAAAACGAAAAAATATCCTCTTAGTATAAAATATTACATTGATTGATTCAAGTCAAGAAAATATATATATTCATGTTGTACTTATATATTTATTGATAAAAATATTCATCTTTAAAATAAATTGATATATTTTTATTCTTATGACGTTGAAGTATATACAGGAGAAACACCGTAATCTGAAAGCTCTTCTTTTTTGGAGAATAACTACATATGAATTAATTCATGAGAACATTTTTTTTCACTTTCCATAATATTTGTTTTGTTCATTAATAGAATAGTTTTAACCTCGAGTAAAACATAAAAGACCATTAACAGGAATAAAATTTCACAACTTACAAAATATTGTTAGAAACGAATTCAGAAATTTGAAAAATAATCCAAACCACAGTTGATTGAAATATATGTTTTGCTTGTTAACATTGCCTTTTTATAAGAATAATAGTGCAATCAAATGAATCTCACATCCGCAACATCATGATTTTTTTCTTTACCTAATTCATTTCATTGACTGAACACGGTCTAGTACTAAAAATTAAGAGAATGTTAACTTTATTTTCAGATCAAATTATGAACATCAATCAGTAAGTGTCTTAAATAAGATTTGTCCTAACGGTCAAGTAATTGCGGCACAGTGCAGGGATGAAAAGTGGGAGCCCATCAGTGGTATACAGAACAATTCAGTTGTTCAATATACAGCAGTGTGCAATCATGTAAACGGGCTTATATGTCAACCCTATCCAAATTCTCCGACGGCATTTTGTCCAGACTTTGCTATACAATACGGTTGCCAGTGTCCACCAGAAACAACGACCGTGAGTAAGTTGAAAACTATTGTTTTGAAATCGTTGTTTTCAAACAAATTTCAGCAACAGTGTAACGTATTTATAAATTCTAACTATACTTCATCTGAGACAAACAGTAGAAATAACAACAGCAGCAACAAGAAACCAATTGGCCCAAAAATCGCAAACAAACAAATAAACAAACAAATAAACAACAACAACAACAATAACAACAACATTAATATAACAATAATAATTAGAAAAAAATAATAATAGAAATAAAGATAATGATGACGACGACAACAACAACAACAACAACAACAATAATAATAATAATAAAAATAGTAAATAAAAATAATGATGATAATAATAATAATAATAATAATAATAATAAGAAGAAGAAGAAGAAGAAGAAGAGAAAGAAGAAGAAGGAGAAGAAAAACAACAACAACAAAAATTATGAATGTTTATGACTTTTGTATTTTTAATTAGCCAATGTAGTTCTACTAAGTATGAAATATTTTGTATTTTTAATTAGCCAATGTAGTTCTACTAAGTATGAAATATTTTATTATACAAAATGGTCTACAAAAATCATTGTAGTAAGGAATTAAATATGAACAATAATAGTGTTAAAATATATTTTTGTAGAAATATGATAATATTATTAAACGTATACTCTTATTATCAAACAATTTAGAAATGAACCAGAAATACCCTGAAATAAGCTATAAGTTCATTAATATTTATAAAACGGTCATACAACAAACACTATATTAATGCGTAATATATCGTCTTTACATTGAAACAAGAATTTTAACAATTAAACACATTATGAACATCACTGACATTTCTGAGCTTCATTTGAATCATAATCTTTTTTCAGGAAGTCATCTGCGACTTGAAGATGCTATAGAGGTCAAGTGTACAGCATCGCACTGGAATATATCTGTCAACATGAGTCTCCTGCAGATGATGTACCATACAGTCAGACCAACTGATCTTATTTTAGGCTCGGGCAAATGTCAAGGGCATCTTGATAACTCCTTTTTGCTTTTTCAACAAAGCTTCAACACGTGTTCCACCTCTGAAAAAGTAAGAACCTAAACAAAAAGTCCGGCATTCTCACAAGACAGTCATCTAGTCTACAGTGTAATCATTTTTGTGTAGAATCTACTACAACATTTTTGATTACTTTTATATCGTTTAACCCATTACTTCATGAGCATTTTGTGAAAAAATGGCTGTTTTCATTGAAAAGTCACCCGTTACAAGTTCAAATTGCTATAATACTATAAAAACTGCCTCAACACTAATCAAACTTGGCACAATTGTTGACTGGACCATTGCCCTTGCAACAACATGCTCAGGCTTAAATTTTCTGTTACCATGGCAACGAGGGGACATCTCAAAATTGCCAAAAATCACTATTTTGCGTTGATTTTTTCCACCAAAATTGTTTTCAAAGTGCTGTAACTTCTCAATGGATTGAGATAGAGTCAAATGCTTTTCAGCGTTGGTTACACGTTACCTTATGATTAATCTGGGGTCATTTACAGCCTCTCACAAGTCCAAAATTTTCTTGGCGATGAGGTGGACTTTGCCCCCCTTTAAACCCCCCAAACAGAAGGGGGGCACATCCCCCTTCTGGCAACCCCCTGATGTATCTTTCGGTTGGGGGGCCGCGCCGAAAAAGAGGTCACTTTTTTAACAACATTTCTCAAACAAAAACAAGTGTTTGGGGCCTAAATAAGGCATTTTTCCATCATTTGAGACAACAAAAAGGGGGGGGGGTGAAAAAGGCGTTAAAAGGCGTGTGTATGACGTAATTGTTTAACAGAAAATGATGAAAATACTTGAAATTACCCTAAATCGCGTTTTTTCATGTTTAAAGATGGCCTGTCATATAAATTTGAAGAAAAATTGTTGTTTTGTAGATTTTTTTTTCATTAACCCATTACTTCATGAGCATTTTGTGAAAAATGGCTGTTTTCATTGAAAAAGTCTCCCGTTACAAGTTCAAATTGCTATAATACTATAAAAACTGCTTCAACACTAATCAAACTTTGCACAAATGTTGACTGGACCATTGCCCTTGCAACAACATGCGCAGGCTTAAATTTTCTGTTACCATGGCAACGAGGGGACATCTCAAAATTGCCAAAAATCACTATTTTGCGTTGATTTTTTTCCATCAAAATTGATTTCAAAGTGCTGCAACTTCTAAATGGATTGAGATAGAGTCAAATGCTTTTCAGCGTTGGTTACACGTTACCTTATGATCAATCTGGGGTCAAGTCTAAAATTTTCTTGGCGATGAGGGGGACTCCGCCCCCCTTTAAACCCCCCAAACAGAAGGGGGCACATCCCCCTTCTGGCAACCCCCTGATGTATCTTTTGGTTGGGGGGCCACGCCGAAAAAGAGGTCACTTTTTAAACAACATTTCTCAAACAAAAACAAGTGTTTGGGGCCTAAATAAGGCATTTTTTCATCATTTGAGACAACAAAAAAAGGGGGGGGGTGAAAAAGGCGTTAAAAGGCGTGTATATGACGTAATGGGTTAAGAAGCCAAGTATTTTTTTTAATCTTACTTATTATAACTATTCTGTACATCAAAAGTAGATATCTCTTACTCTTTTCATTACACATTTGTACCCAATTCACATTTGAACAAAATACCGTCAAACAGCTTGTTACAAGTTTTATACTATACACACAATTCTATTTCAGTTTAATACAGACATGAATATTTACAAAAACAACCTATTCTACATTGTATTTGATCCTATTCGTCCATATGTGGTTTTGAAACACGAGTGGACTTTTATTGTGGAATGTGACGTCAATGCCAATGAAGTAACGTCATCGCACGTGGAACATATTCCGGAAGTACATAATGCCTCGTTTACAAGTTACTACCAATTATCTATGACGTATTTTAGTGACGTTAACTTTTTACACCGTATATCCGGAAATCCCCTGAAGGTGGTACTTGGAGAAAATGTATTCGTTAAAGTATACACTACATTGCCTGATTGGGATACAAAAATGATACTAGACACGTGTTACACGAGGCCATCAGGAACAAACACATCAGCTATGGATGTCACGTTGATAAAGCAAGGGTAAGGAAAAATTGTAATATAAAAAAATTAGTTAGGCAGTTCCAGATAAAATAAGAATCACAAAGGTCGCCAAAAGCAAAAAGTTGAAATTGATACCATTTCAAAATAGGTTTAATCTAAATGTTTAATTGCAGTGGTATGTAAAAGAAAAGAAATGCTTTAATTTGTTTGACTTGTAATCCTTCACTCTCAAAGATTTGATAATAACGAAAGTAAGGGGATTCATCGATTCCCCGTTACTAACCGTTGTTGATTAAAATTAATTTGTAAAACATGTACTTTATTTTTAGTGATTTTCTATTTACTTTTTATCGGAACAGCCAATGCTTTTAATATTGGGGAATTTATCACAAATTGCAATAGAACACTTGGAAGATTTAACAAAATGTATTGAAACATTCACCTTTTTCATTCTGGAAAAAATAAAATGTTTATAGTGCTTTCTTCATATATATTTCAGCTGATTGGTAAAAATATAGATAATTAAAAAATATTCAACGTTTTTTATTTAATGGGAAGGGGCCTTTTTCGGCCTCTATCGTATGCAAAGTAAACTCATTTTATTAATTAAATGCATTCTATAATTACTTGGTTTTAGATCGAGAACTCACAGAGGTAAACTTATTATAATAAGCCAATAGTTCTATTTTGTTGTAGATGCGAAGTTGACAGAAACACACATATCATCTCACAGTCTACCCACGAAACAAGATTTTTGTACAAAGATTTCAAGTATTTCAATAACAATGGAGGACTTGATATGTTTTGTAACGCATCATTCTGTCACACTTCCGACTTTTCCGCACGGTGTACCCAAGCCTGTACTCACACAGTCACGTGAAATGGATCAGAGTAAAATCCCCATATGAAATGTATATTTCTAAATCTGAAAACTTAAATTACTTTTAGTTTTTGACAAAATATATATCAAAGTTAAAAATGTAGGTATTTTGCAAAATACGGCTCCATAAACTGTTTTGTTTACGCTTTAATTTATTGTTAAGATTTATATAAGAGACATATGAAACATTCTTTATGACGGTCAATTTACTTTATATGTAATTGTACTGATATAAAGATTTTGTGAACAACGTTGATTTGTGTTGATTTGTTTTTGAATATGTGATTTCAGGCCCTACATATATTTGATCTCGGACCTTATAAGAAGTATTCGATCTCAGACCATGGCTATTTTGATCCCAGACCCTACCGATATTTTATCTCAGTCTTGCGGGACATATTTAAACTCAGCCTTTGGAGAGATCGCATAAGAGTTATTTTAATCTCAGTCCTTAGTCATAAATTGTACAGCTTTTAGCAATGATAATGAACGATTGATTTTAATGTTTCTTAAATACAATTTTTGATCAGCGAACAATTTATTTCATTTTGTTTACTTTATCTTAAAATATGGAAGAACACCACGCCGAGTTTTGCGGCATATTGATACACTTATGCTGTCTACAAGCAAACTTAGTGCTCGCCAATTTTTTTAAGCCAATCACCGACGAGGATTTTACAAATTTTCAGGTTTCAAATCTTAATAGAACAGTTTTTATATAAACTGGACGTTTTATATTATAAAACGCAAGTGGGCGGAGCTAAGTTTCGAAGAGCGCTAAAGTGAAAAATACGCATGTGCAGAGATCTTGAAGTTTACTCCTACTAATCAATATTTATGCATCATGTTTTTTTCCGTACACGCACATGTATATCGTCACTACGGCATAGAATTAGAAAAAGAGGTTCATTGAAATGAAAACAGGCAAAATAACAGTAAAAATGTTTTATGACTTACGGAACCAGTATCATTTTATAATTTCCAAATAAAAAGTTCACTTTATTCCAACAAAGTATGTATGTAATATTTCTTACTTTTTATCTGGGACTTACGATGTCCCAGTTTTTATGTAAATATTACAGCCCGTGCCGCTGCAAAACCGAAAGTAGGGTGTTTTTATTAATTTTATATTTATTTTTGACAATATACTGCCATTTGTCCGAAGATGATATGTATATGAACATAATAAATATGTATGATGCATTCTAGTGTTCCGTGGTATACATCTTTTCTACGTGTCATACCTCCTTTCTTTATAATAATTACAATGAAACTTTACTGCATTGTTATCCATCGCTCGTTTGTTTTAAGCAGTGAATGACCTGTGCATGTTCAAAGAGGGTACCGTTTGAGAATATTTCGCAAAGAGGGTACCGATATGGATATGCACCGTGATATTGTCTGATTTACCTAGACAGAATGCGGGGAATTAGCTATGCAAAACACGTGACCCGAAAATGTGTACCGCTACCTCTTCCAGATATGGTTATACACATTTAGGCTATCGTGTGACGTCACGCAGTGTGTTAGGCGGAAAAAAATAGGCGGAGCACTAAGCCGGTTAGAGTGCATATTGGATGTTCTTCGTAAATAAGAAAGCTACAGTCGCTCCGCAAGCTCCGCTCCTTTTTAGCTTTCTTATTTACGAAGAACACCCAATATGCACTCTAACCTATACATAAAAATAAACAAAATACGGAACGTTTGTTTACAAACCATTTCTACAATAATCACTCAAGCGTAAAAAAATGGTAAACTAGGTAAATTCTGAATTTATTCGTTAACAACCATTTTTATAATATCAATACAAGCATGCAAATAGGAAACAAGCTCAGTAATAAATGTGCGAACATTGCTTACAAAAAAAAGTTTCTAAAAATGCAAACAGGTATGCATGAAAAAAGTAAAACTAAATTAAGGGTTAATACTGAATAGTTCAACTAGACCCGCAACGTTTTGCAGAATAAAAGAAGTGGAAATTGTTGATGGCATATCTTATTAGTATACACATAAATAGTAAAATTATGGCACATCCAACAGTGTAAGAGTTAAAGTCGTTATTTAATCATCTTAAAAGAATGAGCTACACTCTCACCAAAACTGAAAGTTCGAATGCCTTGTGTTTTTGTAGATATCATTTTAAATTGCACATAAAGGAAATGTATGATTTGATCAATTATTAGTATCACATCCCACAATTTAACTAAATTCTACGACAATTACTTTTTTAATGCCGATCATACATTCGACCACGCTATGAAAGGGCAAATAAAACACACAACTTTGATTCAATTTTTATGATAAGGGAGTAGCTTGAATCAAATGCACAATGTGTAAAAGAGAAGTTTTATTACAAAACTGTTTTTGACCGTTGTACATATTCTCTTTATTGTCCATATTAATATGAAATTATCCTGATTGTTCTTTAAAAAGAAAGCGAGAAAGAAAGAAAAATCAGAAAAAAAAACTCAAAGGTCTAGTTCGAACTTGTGTTGAGTTTATTTTGCATTTGTAATTAAATCATAAATCGAATTGACAATTCAATATACAAAACCAAAAAAAATCATGTTAATATCTAGTCAAAGTGGTTTCTAATTATTTTGATTTATATTTTACCTCATTGAACAAAACCAATCAAAACAAAACAAAATACCAATAAAAAGCGCATTCACCAATCAAACATACTAAAGTGCAAGAGAAAAAAGAACGTTTAGAATTAATCATAAATAGCACGTTCAAAGTTTTATATTAAGCACTCTGTCTAAACACTTAAGTACTCTTATGCACACCGTATAAACTATACAAATAAAGATATCTTAATAAAACAGTAACTTAAGAATCCTGAGTTTATTTTATTTTATACATTAATCAGATTTATGCAACCTTTAATGTAGGTCTAAAAGAAAGTATTTTAAATGAACTTGTTGAAATAGTGGGGTTTGGGTTTTTGTTTATTGCAGTATTAATTAAGATCATGGTCTCTTGTGCTTACCTAGGTAACAGATAAACATCTAAGACATAACAAACTTAGTAAAAAAGATGCACGTGATGTATTAACACTTTTGGTATGAACGGTAAGAGGTTCTGACTAAACATTTTAACCATATACACATTAACTTTTCAAATATTGCAAACATACACTTAACATTCCATTTTTATAAAATATCTACAACTATGTGAATACCAATATATTATTAAATGGCATTTTATCGAATCTACCCTTTTAAAGGTTCGACAGATCTACCCGTACATAAATTTGTTACATTTCATTTTATAAAGATGTTATAAACTTAAAAGTGTGCAAAACAATCAAAATATCAAGTAATTTTTAGATCTTGCATAAGGTCAAGAAAAACAGAAATAACACACAAGAACAATAAAGAAAGGAATAAATTAAGAAAGAAAAACAAAGAAAACAGAGAAGACAGATAGAAAGATAGAAAGAAAGAGACAATCACAGAAAAACATAAGGAAAGAATCAAAAATGAAAAAATAAAATAAAAAGAATTAAGGTAATGTAGAATGAAAGGGAAAAAGAAATAGAGAACAAAATATAGATAAAATTAAACTATCAAACCAAAAAGAGAATGATAAACTTAACAAACAACATTTTGCATTTCATTTTCTTTATAATAATGAATCGTTGTTTAAACATTTCGGGTTTTCCTTTATCTGTTGTTTTGCCCTAATGTAAAGTTAACCGAACAAATAAAGCGCACATGCACACGCAGACACCAACACACGCACGCACGCACGCGCGCACACGCGCACACACACACACACACAAAAAATAAACACCTACCTCGGGAATATATTATCTATAATTCATGTCTGGGCCTCTTGAAACTTTTGTATAGGCATTTATCTATACTTTTATAAATGAAATGTTATAAAAATATAGTTAGTCATTCCTTTTTTATCAGCAAAGAAAATATGATGGAGTTATATTTTAGTTTTTTTGCTTTGATTCTGTGTTCTTATTATGTAAACGGTAAGATAATCCATGAATGGTTCGGTAATCTTTATTTAATAAGACTCGGGTAAGCTTTAAAATCAATCAAAACAACATCGAAATATGAATCTGGCAAAATATTTATTCAAAGTGAAAGGTTTGGAATAAAATGATAGGTCTACATTAAAGTAGACTTAAAGTACATATTAAGCTAAATGTCATGTGGACTTGAATTTGTAATATAATTATTTCAAGAGATTGGTTACTATAAGGACAACTGACCCATAATTGATAATCAAAAATGTTTAGAATAAAAAATGAAAAGCTTCCTTACTTATAAGACGATCACTCCACCCCTTTTAAAAATTGAATGTCAGTGATACATATTTATAGAAATTTCCGCTGATTACCTGGACTATTGATTATTTTTGCATAGTAAAATATAAAATTGAACGCACTTAAAACAATATGTAAAGTTATTTGACTTTTTTCTATGAACTTACCATTAATATTTTTTAGATGGGCAAATGGTTATTTTAAACATTAGACAAATTTTAACTCAACGTAAAAATAAATACAACAATGCTACTTTACTTTTTTACTACCATAAACTCATTTGTAATATATGCGATGATTTAAAATAATAACTTTATATAACAAAGACATAAAAAAGACATAAAAATATTTAATTTATTTATTCTTAATAAGAATCATTTATCATATATTGTGAAAAACATAACTCATATTAGAAGCAAAATGCTCTATAAAATACTCTTTAAATAACACGCGTTTTAAATATATAACACGGAAATGTTTAACTACGAAACTTACTTAAATTCTATCGAAAGAATATATATAAAAGTGTACCTTCTTGCCATAATTGTCATTGTGTTTTACATACATTCTTATTCACTGTTTAAAATGTGTTTTTGGTTGTTCCGAACAATCAATAATTTTACAATTATAAACAAGAAATGATTTCGCCTTCGATGCTATCATTATAACACATTTTACATTTTATTTCACGTCTAAGTGTAGTTCTTATCTTGGTTTCTAATTATATTAAGAGGCATTTTCAATTCTTTCATTTAGTTAGTGTAGATATTGTTTACTTCTTACGGGATTCAAAATAAACAGGAAAGTAACCAAAATTTAGTTTTAATTTTTGATGATTTGATTTTTACCCTAAACTGAACTTAAATGCTCTAAAATTTAATTTTAAAAGAAAATAATAGCATTTCATATATTTACAGCGATTTTTTTATGTTGTTGGAAAAACACATGACGGGCTTGTCAAGAGTTCGTTAATTATACTAGTTTTAATAATAGTTTTAAAAAACAGAACATACATCAAGTCAAGCTGATATAAACAATTATAATTGTTCTTTTCTTTTGACCTTTCTGTATAACTTGATAATTTGCATTTTATTTATAACTTGGTAAAATGCAAGTATGAACTATTTTAACAACTAACCAGAGTCTTCTGGTATGTTCATTGTGTATGTAAAGCACAATGTCAATAATAGCAAGAAGGTGCAATACAGGCATATTGCTTAAGTTACAAGGTCACTCCTATTACAGTACCCTCACTTAATCTTTCTAGTCATCTGTATGCGTTTTGACTTTATCATAATGGTAATGCCAGTAAGTGCTACACAATTAATTTCCATCGTAAGAATAGTGTTTTACGATCATCGGTATAGCAAAAGAATTACTATTTATAAAATGTATTTTGGCATCTATTATATATATTTTCCTTTTCAATTCAGGCCGGTCAGTTTGCTGGGATTCTACCATATACAATGATTCTCTTACATTAACGAACGGGTAAGTTCTTTTCTCTCTACTCATCAATTGTAAGGTAAAAGTTTGAGTTTTGAAGAACATTTCCAATTGTCAAAATCGTTTATTAATAATAAAATTTAATGAAATAATTTTATGATTTGTATCATTGAAATAATATGTGTTTTTAATAGTCAAAATGAATGTTTCAAAGAAAGATTTTAAAGCTGCATACCTCTAGATGAGCCAAAATAGTTCCAGTAAATCAACCTTGAGAAAAATGTAATAACATTTAAAGGAGAGTAAAGCGATTTCTGGTTTTTAGGTATTTATCACCATACTTTTACTACGTTACTAACGCAGTAAGGTCTATTTTTTCATATTCTGTGCTCTTTCTGAAAACGTATGTGTATTGTAAGCGACGTTTGCGAATGTGTAAATACCTCTCTTCGTTCATTTCACAATACTTTACTTTTAAAACGATTTTTAAAAATGCAAGAACATAAACTGGAGGCATGCTGCTTTCACAGAAAACCTTTTTGTCATCAAATTTAAACATTTTATTCACACCCACAGATAAGTGTGCTATTGTAAGACATTTACACTTCATGACGGTGTATACACGCTTGTAAGCACATTAGTTAACTTTAAAAAGAGTTGTTTTCTTTTCATCACTGATGGCAACCTATTTATAACTTATGTAATTTGTATGACAAAATGTTGTTTTTGTCTTTTTAAAAGAAACTAGTTTTCAGCTGGATTAACATTTCAGATCAAATTATGAGCACCAACCAGCAAGTGTTCTAAACAAAATTTGCACACAAGGTTCACTAATTGCCGCGAAATGCATGGATGCTAAAAAAGAAGAAACTGGTGCGTTTAAGAATGATTCAGTTAACAAAGTCATTTTAACATGTTCTATTGTCAATGGACTTATTTGCAAACCATATGAAAATGATCCAAATGCAACGTGTCCAGACTATGCGATCCAGTATGGATGCGATTGCTCAACTACACAAAGTGGAGGTAATGTAAATCATTGCTCAAAATTAACAATTATGTTTTCTTCTTCTGTCGAGTACGAATTTAATTTTGTGAAACTGCTACAATGCATCCAAAGAAACGTTTCTTCAGGCAATAAATAGAAAATTAAATCTGGCATATTTCTGTTCATCAAAAATAGAACCATTATTTTATATGAAAATATCTTTAATACATGCAGATTTTTTATCATTTGCCATTTATAGATTTAGAGAGTTTTTCTTTGTCAACAGTACATGCATAATTATGAAAACAAATATTTTTTTTATTCAAGGGGCTGGTGTAACACCAAGCAATGGTTTGAAAACAACCCCAGTTGTTACAATCGCTTCTAGTAAAGAAACAACCCCGGAGACGAAAAATTCCATCTCAACTGCTCAGAGTACATCTCTTAAAACCACAGCGATGACCGGAGACAGTACCGGTAATGGCGGGAACGGAAGTAAATCTGCAACAAGTGCGCGAAAGCACCGTTGCCGAAACAGTGCCCAGCGTTTCAAAAACGCTGGACTGTTGTTCATTGCATCGACGATTGTGTTAAGATTAGTACTGTAGAATTTTGAATAACGGAAACATTGAGTGACATATGTTATAGCAACATTTCGGTAAATTTAAAGCTTACAGAGATTTTACTTCTGTTTTTGTAAAGATATGAAATGTTAAAATGTCATGTCATGTTTGGTAATCTTTAAAACTCATTTCTCTAGTTATCAAACTTTATTGTTTTAGTGTTATTATAAGATGCCACACACCATATAATGTAGGATTCTTCCTGTACTTATTTTTTTTTAAACCTGCGTATGTCAGATATTATATAGACTATATAGCATTGTAAAAACATTTTTATAATCAGTTTTACTTTACCGGCTAATTACGGGACATATTTTCCTTTATGAAGAAATATCCAAAAACCTACTTGTTTTTTTCTATATCTTTAAGAAATACTTTTAACACCCATGAACTTAATTATATCTATTACTATTTAATTTTTATTTTGTTTTTTTTTGTTTGTTTTACTTTGACATGACACAACATCATAAATGTAACGAAACATATAATATGGCAAAACAAATATAGTTTCATTATTCTATATAACACAAATGGACAGCAATGAAGTGTAAATTTTAAACAAAAGTAGAAATAAAGTTGTCTATGCACTAATATAGAAGTAGAAATAATACCTCACAAACCATACACACATAATGTATGTCGTTTCGTTAAAATAATCTACGCCGTTACTTCACTCATAAAAGTTTAATATTCAAATGTCATACAAATAGAGATTTAAAGATAAACACAGTCATTTATAATTTAATCCACATCTTTACACGGACCTTGGCAATAATGTATTGAAAGTTAATCCCATCTTTATCAATGCGCTTTGCGACTCTTCTCATTTCGTACATTGTTTAATCATTTATTACCACTGCTAAGGCCAAAGTAAGTGTTAAACTTTCCAATTTATTATCATTAAGTAAATACTTCAAATGTTCAAAATAATGACAATTGCTTACCCCAACAACTCGATGATTTTTAATAAAAAGATGAATATAAATTGAATATTTGAATGCCCTTCAAGTGGTTTAGATCACTGTTTAAATTATGGCAATATCATTTGAAAAATAACAGTATTAAAGAAAGCTTCTGATTTTGAAAAATAACATTTAGTATCACTTTTTGTTAGGTAACGTTCATTGTCTCAACATACTTATATATATGAAAGTTATATGTTTAAAAACTCTATGTCTAGATACAACACATTAATGTCACGTGACTTGTATGTTAAAGTTAATGTTGTTGTCTTTACCTTTACAGTTTAACGATCCATTTATTAACGGTGATATCCGGTAACTTTCAAGCCTTATTAAACAAACAAGAAATATCAAGGAAAAAAGGGTTTAAATATATTACAGATATATAATGCTCAAATTTTATAATGTTAACTATTTGTTCATATAAAAAAAGATTCTGGGAAAATTAATAAAAATTCACAATTCAAGTTAACATTTACATGTTATTTGCAATCAATCAATGAATGGTTGATTTTGCAGTATAAACAATGTATGTTTACAGATAAGGACTAGTATACAATGTAATTGTATTGCATATTTTGACCTTTACTTTGTATTTGACGTGGACTGAAAGTGCAATGTGTATATTACTTTCTTTGTACACTTGACAATATTTTACCTTTTAATACAATTTTAAAATTAGCAAGAATCTGAAGGTATGCTACTTTAAACTTTAAAATGAACAATGTGATAATGTCCGGTCACTTTTCGGGCCTCGAATTCCTTAAGATATTGGACAGATATATTGTTAAGTATATCACAGAATCAAATTCAAAAGTGTGATTTCGAGAATTATTATCATGGGTGGTCGCGCGTTTTTTCTAATAGCATTTGCAGGCTTCATTGTAGTATACGGTAAGAAATGTTTTATTTTTCTTTATTTTCATAAATTGTTCTTTTTCTTTCTGATTTGTTAATGATGCTTGTGAAGAAAGTTTTGTCTTTTTACATTTATGTAAACATTGAACATAGCTTAAAATAACTGCCAAATGAATATTTAAGGCTATATTAGAGATCCAATAGAAGTTTAATGGACCTTGTATAAAATCATCCATTTCAAGCAGAACAAAAATAAATCATTTTAAGTGGATTAATTTATAATGGGCACATTTTCCATAAGTATTTCAAAAAATAATGAAAAAATAGAAATGTATCATTTCTATTTCTTATAAAAATGCTGCTTGAATGAAAAATGTTTATAAAGTTGTAAGTGAATTAGAATTATCTTTTAACTGATGAATAATACTATTTTGTTCGAGATCACTTTTATACATGTACGTATCTGCTACATAAATAAATGTAATATCGGATCATATATCTCACACTTGCTAACAACTTCTATGTTAAATTATTTCTTTGCTTGTTGTTATGTCTTATACTAAATATTATCAGCGTAATTTTTCATCGTATTACATACACACCTTCCATTACAGATCATTGCAGTTAAATTTGCGAGCAATTATCAGTGTTTATATGTTGGTTTTATTTAGGTCAGACAACGATTCCAACAATATGCTGGGATACTAAATGGTTCAACAGTTCGGCTCCAACAAAGTTAAACAGGTAAAATACACGTTGTAAAAAAACATGCAATGGGCCGGAAATGAAATAATGTTTCCACTTATGTTACATTCAGTAGGCCAATTCATGAATGTGATTACAAAATTATTCTCGTTTTTGTTAATAAAATTAAAAAAAATATTTGCATTAGTTAAAGATCCTGTAACACAATTTTTGTATCATTCTTATGATGATCAAATTACGATTTATCAATATTGTAAGTTCCAAAAAGCATTATTTATAAATATATAACCAAATTCAACATTTCATGTAAATAAACGGAGGTAATTAGAAATTTATTTTCTATAAAGTCTTAGTCAATTTTTTTCAATAAGAAATGAATGCATATATTTTAATGATAACATATATTGGTCATTAATATTTGCAGTACATATTTTACATATTTCTCGATGTTAGAGATGTAAAGAGAGATAGTGTTATAGAAATCGAAATATCAATTCTATTTTAGACAAAGCTTTTAATTACGATTAAAAAGTATTCACTTTCTTAGTTGGCATTAATTTTAGCGGCTTTTTAAAGGACATTTTCTTGGGTTGTTTGTTTTGCAAAAACAAAATAATAATTATAATAAAATAAATAAATAATAATAATAATAAAATCAAATAAAATGTAATTATATTTTGTAAATGATCATATGAGTAAATGATAATTTTTCGTCGGATCTTAAATTCGTTGATTGATCTTTCCATGAAAATCACGAAAGTTATTGTACAACAAATTATAATGAATTACTTTTCCCTGCAATACAATTCAAAATGTATTTGTTTTACTTAAGATCCGAATACGAGCAACAGTCAGCGAATGTTCTTGATTCTGTATGCGCAAATGGACCAATAACCGCTGCAAGGTGCAAGGATTCAAAAGGCGAATCCTTTACCGGCTTCAGGAATGACTCCGTCATCAAATATATCGCAAAATGTGACATCACAAACGGACTCATCTGCAATCCATACAACACCTCGAAGGATTCTATATGTCCAGATTTTCAGATACAATACGGCTGCAGATGTCCTAGTAAGTTCAAGTGATGAAACAAGTGAAAGCCAGTGCTCCCAGTGGGCATTGACGGTATATTGCACATTCCCTTGCCACACATGTATAGGCTTAATAAAACTGAGTCTGTAACATTTACAATTTAGACGTTCTTTGCGCTCTAAAATTGTTTTTTTCTTTCACTATTTTGTGTTATTGAAATGGATATCTAGAGAACTATCTTTACTACAGAATATTGTTATGTCATTGTTTATAATTTATCGTTCATTCTATCGTTTTATTCTGCTTTATGTATACCTTATCGCTATTGTGACTTGTTAAATATGCTGGTACCATCATTTTAATCTATTTTCCGGCGGCAAGTTTTCAATCTGGAATAGTTTCTGATTATGAATTAGTCTTATATAAGTAATATAATTTATACTCATTTATACCCATGATCTTATTTAGGAGACTGACTAACTTGTTTTATTCAATAATATGATAATTATAATAACAATAAGGTTAAACCAATTTTTAATCATACAAAGACTTAAATCCGAGATCAGTCTTAAGACCAAAACTGAGTCAATTTTGTGTTTCAAAAAAGATATCCAAACTTATGAACTCTATATTATGGCTCTTTTAATTTCTTAATAGCAATGCTAATTGGCATTTACATATTGCGAATAAAACGGTATGTTATAGTATTTCTTCAGAGAAATGACTATGATTTGGAGTCATCGACTTAATTATCTGTTCCATGAGGGTTGAACGTTAAGTACGCATTTGTTTTCCTTCTCTATCCAGTCAATTTGGTTCACAAATATGAACAAATGCATTTTTATGTGATTATTGTGTTTATCTCTATTACAGGTACGACACCAATTCATTCAGGAGGCGGTGCTGTTGCGATAGGCGGTGCTGGAGGAAATGGGAGTGGTTTAAGAGGTGGTGGAAGCGGTGGTGGAGGAACTACAAGCGGGATAAATTCTTCTACGTCTGGTACCGGACACAAATCGGGAAATAGTGGATCTGGAACCGGAAGTGGTACAGGGCAATCAAGTGGATCTGGAACCGGAAGTGGTACAGGGAAATCAAATGGATCTGGAAACGGTTTTCAAAAGATCTGTGTCAACTACTTTCTTCTGTTTATTTGTACAATCCTGGAACTATGTAGAGTGTTTGCCATATAATTTCTACTTGTATAGTTTCGGTTGTTATTGGGTTTTTCATGACTTTCTTTGCCAACGATGTTTTGTTTATATAACAGAATGAAATCAAAACGTGACAGACTTGTCACATAGATATATTTTGAGTAGAAATAAAAAAGAATAGGGAACAGGATATATCAACAATACTTATAATACAAACACTCATAGCAAGGTTAATGGCAGATAATATGAAAACGGTACACTATTAGAAATCATATCCACACAACCCTTTGGAAAATGTGTATTCATTAAAGGCACAATATGTCCCAGAAATGCTTTTATTTTTATTCCTGAAAAAGGCTTATTATTTAAGGGTCTTTTATTTTTGGCAAATCACCTGAATAATAGTTTGTATCTGTTGGTTTTTGGGAATAAGTTCAGTTATGTTGTTTTATTACTTTGTATGGAGGTCAAAATACTAAATTGTTTACATTTTGCTACTTTTATGGCAAATAATCTCACATTCAGCGCTACATTCCTCGGGTAATAAGCTAGGTCACATGCTCTTAAACCAATTATTTCGACATTTTAAAACTCATGTTCAACTTTTTAAATATTTTTATTCGTTTTTGAGACATAATGAACCTTAAAGAAAAGAGTTTTCTGTCACAAAATAAGAACATATCGGATACAATTGTTATGTATAATTTCTTTTTACATTGTATTTTTTCTTGCGGGAATTGAGGACCGCAATTAATGCGGCCAATTTAACTAATGATATTTTAACACTAACTTTGCTTGAATCCGTCAAGATTGTTATATCAAATGCATTTTTAGAATACAATTGCTTTTACAAATAAATAACATGACAGTTATCAAATATGTACTATAAATGTATGTCTTAACATGTTCTTTGAGAAATAAATCCACATTTGTAAGTCCGAATAGTTTGGGCTTTTTCATACTCAGTTTTATTAATTACAGTTATAACACCCTTTGTTTTTGAATCTATTATTTGAAGTGACTTAAGCCCATTTTTATCCAAGTATATTTTTAACCAGTAAAAAATCAAGACAGATGGTTGTTATACCATTATTAATGTGTTGTCATGTCGAAACATGACACAATCATTACTCTTACATGTGCATCCAGTTTCAATGACATTTACACTCAAGTTACAATAAAAGAAACGCTGAAATTTTCCCAATGTTCTACTTTATGTACTTTTACAAAAATATACATGTCTGCACTTTTTTTGTAAGAATGCCTTCTTGAAATCATTAAATCTGGTGACGTAAGCATTGAAAAAAAAAAAAAAAAAAAAAAAAAAACAAAAAAAAAAAAAAAAAAAAAAAAAAAAAAAAAAGAAAAAGAAAAAAGAAAAAGGAAAGAAAATAAACAGCAAATTGCCAACTTGGTTATAAAGAGAATTTTCAACATCGCTGATGCTCCCTAGCACCGGTAGATAATAGAAGTATCCAATCATAAACACTAAAAATATTGGGATCTTTAATCACAAGAGAACCAGAAACATGCAACAACACTAAATAAAAGAATAAGATAATGCTGTAGCTGATGCAAATTATCTCATATTCCTTGACATATCCTGATATAAACTCAAGAAATACAATGTATATTACACCTGCCCCTTACTCCTATACAAGGTAATAATCATCAGTCCATGGTTTTCGAATTATATGTTGGCTAAATCATTGGAGGAATTTAATATTTTCATCTTCATTTTCTAGAATTAAATTAAGCCAAAAGATATGATAAAGTATTAACAACCCAGTTGATGCATATAATGGTGTGTATCTGCTATTTCATCGCAACATTTTATGATTTCATTACGATATTTGAATAATGATCTAAATACATATTCTAACACGACCCGCATTTTTCCCTATTGAACATAGAAGGACCGAATGTGTGTATTATTATGCAATAGAGTCACTGTTTGGCGTTTAGACGTGTGACGTTATCATTGTACATTTGACGTAACCACTATGAAATCCGACGCGCTGAAAATAAGTACGGAAACAAATCAGGGGCAATTTTGCTTAATAGCAGGTACGGCAGCATTTATTTGTTTATGTCGTGTTAGAATCGAAATAATATATCCAAATCGGTGATTTTATCGCTGGATAACATCACTGTTTGTCGTTCGGATGCGTAACATTATATCACTCGGGCTTCGCCCTCGTGATATAATTCCTCGCATCCGAACTCCAAACAGTGATGTTATGGAGCTATAAAATCACAGTTTGGGATACATTATTTCTTAAATAAACAATACAGTTTTCGCCGCGACTTAGATTAATTGTCATTTTAATTGTGACTATAATACTAAATCATTCACAAATTAAGAACTAAATAAACACGATACCTAATGAAAATATTTCTCAGTTCCAACGGACGTTACTTGTCTCAAGGTTAATTTTTGAGGAAAAAAACCCCGCAAATTTATGTTTCATCAAACTCCGTAATGCACGCCTGGTAAGCAATAGAGCTACCTTTTTCGAAGGTATACTGTAAATCGCTCTATCGCTACTTCCAAGCTTGTGCATGATTCATGATGAAGCTGTCCATTGCAACGCTAAATTCGCACACTGGGAAACGCCGCTTCAACTTTATTTTAAACACACATTTATTAACTCTACATTTCCTGTAAACTTTTAACAAATCTACAAGGTAAAGCATTCTTTAAATTCGATAGCTGGTTTACAAAATAAATGAGAAAAAAATGACAACCCATAACTTTAGTTGACACCTGATTTGAGCGACATTCACTAGCTCGGAAGTAGCGATAGAGCAATTTATCGTATACCTCCAAAAACGGTACCTCTATCGTTCACGTATCATCGTCATTTCGCAACACATTTCAGGTATGTTTTGGTACTAATGTTTGTATACCAATCCTCGGTGGTCATGTCGCTTCTTACTATACCTTATAACAGATACATAAACCTTTAACACACACCTGACTCTTTTTATGTTTTTTCAGCAGGGGGCTGTTTGTCTAGAAACCAATTTCATTTCAAATGCACAGGTGAGGACGGTATAAAGTAGGGGTTTTATTGGTCATTTTAACCCCTCTGTCCCCCAGAAGCACCCCTAGAAATATTTACTATTCATTCCTTGCAAACGCCTTAGATCGAGCGGTCAATTAAATAAAACAGTGACTGGAAAAAAATTATTAATATATATTTCCCCATTTTTTAAGACATGTGAAAGGCAAACCTTGGATATGCGGCAGTCATACCTCAACTTTATCAACTCTTGCTCTATAGCTTATATACCCGGGTAGTTATGATCTCATAAAAATGTAAAGTTTATGTTGATAGGACGGTGAATATTCCAGCACTTTGTTAGATAATGTTTTCACCATGAAAATAATTGCTATGTCATTGAAGCAATGAAGAATCAGGTATTAAGTAATTTTGACAAAGGAAGTAATTGCATTCTTAATGGTGGGGGACAGTAACATAAAGGCTTTTGCATCTGACATCTTAAGGAAAAAAAGACCTATCAATAATCTGTATTCAATTCAAACATTGACGGTTAAATAAAAATATGCATAAAATTGTCATTCGTCATTTCCACTTCAGAATGTCAGCCATTGTAACTAAAAATTCGAAACTTAATCCTTCTTTTATACAAAGGCCTGTGACACTGCATTAGATAAAAAGCCCTGCATTTTATATATCTATGCAATATTTGAATATGAATTTACTAAAAGAATAACGTTAAAAGGAAAATGACGAGTAAGTAACCTCTCAGATAAAGACGTTTTTACTGATTAAAGACGTGTAAATCAAATTATTAAATCTAATCAATGGTCGTCATATGACTTCAAATCACTTGCCCCTCACCGCTGTGAATTCAAATTCCGACAGGGACTTTGGAATTTTTCATTTGGTGAAAGCTATCCAGCTAGCTTATGGAACGTGGTGGTTCTACTCAGGTGCCTGTTCGTGTCTGAAATAAGGCATGAAAGGGTCTTCCTTAATCAGTAAAGCTGGAACGTGGCCATAAGACCTGTGTTGTTGGGACGTAAAACAAAATGAAACAAACAAACAAAACATATTTTTCTCGGCCAAGCAGTCTCCTTAAATAAGACATTTTAACAGCAAAAGCAGCAACAGAAAAAGACAATGACATCATTATCATCCTCCTCCTTCTCTTCTTCTCCTCCTCCTCATCACCCCAACCACCACCAGCATCATCAACATTAACATCAAATGACAACTGGAGCAGGTACAAAATGTACAACAACATCACAAACAAAAAGGCAACTTGAGCTGCTACAATATCAGAAAAAGGCAATATAAACAATAATAACAACAGCAGCAGCACGAACGAAAACAGAGCAAACAGAAGCAATACCAACAGCAAATGCAACAACAAACAACAGTAACAACAACATTAGACAGCAAGTAAGGTACAGCAGCAGCATCAGCGGCGAAAATAATGTTAACAATGCCCCAGTGCAAGATGTGGAGGAGTATACTTTAATTACACTTTATTTTACTCCAATCACATGAAAGACTTTAATAGAGAGCACAAACACTGAATTATAATTTCCAAACTTTTATTTTGCCAGCACTGTATAATTTTAAAGCCGAAAGAACACAATATGGATGAATTTTGAACCTAAATATTATCCATAATAACTTGAAATCCCGAGAAGCTCTGTCTCGTGACACTGAAATTTGACTTATATAGCAATGAAATAATTCCCGCAAAAACAAATATCACAAGAAAATCAAGAAACATGATTTATAACAAAATACTCCGCCGGATTATAACAAAGTACTCTGCCGCAGAACACATGTACAATAATATGTAAAGATTATGCCGAAGCATAACATTACGTAAAACAATGTAATGAGGTCACCGGAGAAAATTACACATTTTTGGAAAGCATGTCATATAATTTCGCGATCCTTGCGACACAAGAGATTGCGTGTATTTCTTTATGGAAGTTTGAAACGTTTGCAATTGTTTGAGACAGTCATGGTTATTCTTTTTGTATGCTCCGCCAGGGCCTCACTTGTTTTAGAATTGAATGATAAAATTCGCATATTAAGATCAGTTCATTACTTTTTCATTACATTTATGCAGTAGTCATGGAAAGCTACGTAGTACGTTTGCTAATTATTGTAGGCATCATTTTAGCGTTTGGTGAGTAAAGAATTATCATTGAATCTTTCTTCTTAATTTTCTTATATCAATGTGGTTGTAAAAGAAGGAAAGAAACATTTTAATTTCCTGATTTTCAATTACAAACCATTTTAAGATTGACATGCTATACTTTAGGAGACGTTTAACATTGAAACCAAATTAAAAAACAAATTATTTTATGGATTCCTATGAGGATTTGGTTTACATAATATGACTATATTTTCTGAAATTTGTATACATTTTTATACCATTTGATGTTGGTCTATTAAAATAACTTGTTGGCAAAAGTTCTGATCATTCGTTATATCTGTTTTCAAGAAAATTATTTTTAATGTGCAAACATATCTGATATTAAAAACTCAAATCTGGCTTAAATAAGACTAAAATTTTCAATTAAAACTGGCGTACATTTTGTCATTATCTTTTTTTCTCCTTTTAAATACCCTGGTTGATCAATTTAAGATTTTCTATATTATTATTATTGATAAGTTTAGTTCTTAGGCTTTGGGACCTCAGCTGAGTTCATCTAAGACATTAAGCAATACAATCATTATTTGAAAACAATCAAAGTTGCTTGCAATTTTGCAATTTTATATTTTGTTTAAAAAAAAAAGTCAGATAACAAACTGTAAGACAGACACTCAACAAAAAAACCACCAAAAAAATAGCATTTTTAAATACTTTCAGCAGATGACATACAAATATATGAAACCACTCTAAAATGTTTGTCTTAAACACAACTACAGTAAATCTTTATAGAATTATCAAAGTAAAATAAATAAATAAATAAAGCAGTATGTTAAATATTTTCTAGGTGATATTGAAATCCATTTTCTCATTTCTTTACTAAGAATTACGCTTCATGTGAATTACGTATTCTTTTCACGAAACTTACAAAATGGACAACTCTGCATGTGTGAAAATAAACTTATATATTTTATACTTCATATTATGTAAGAATTGATAAGTATCTCTCGAATGTACAAGCAAAACAAAACGCTTGCATCTTTTTAAAAGTTTATATAATAATATTTGTTTTATATATGCACTCCAAAGGAGCGCTGCCAAGTCAATCAGGAGGTGCCGATCCATTCACAACAATCGAAATAAAAGAACAGCTGGTCCAAAAACAGCGGCATCTACTGCTGGTCCAAAAGGGGAGATGGCAACGGCCAGTCCACGAGATGCATTGTCAACTGCTTTTCCGAAGAGTTTATACGCTACGTCTCCGAGTGGTTCAACAAATACAAATTGTGTTTGTAAGAATGGAAACAGTCAAGGGAGATCTGATCAACAACATGATAACAGTGTTCAGGGAATAAGCGCAAGTTACACTCTGTTAGTTACAGTCCTAACATTGAAGTGTGCAAACATGTTCATCTAAATTCCGTGTAAATGGATTTGTGATTTTGAAATACTTATTCCGGCTTTTAAATTTGTATCAATGTTTCAGTTTTTCAATGATTAAGAATGTGATCTTCAGAGGAGAAAGTATGACAGGAACGACGGATAAATAACAGTATCAAAGAGTATGAATCTGTATCTTATGATTTTTTGTTTTAAATTATAAAGTGTAAAATGATTTTATTATCATAATTGTGTGGACGGTTTTCTAAATAGATTTAATATTTAAGAATGTTATTTAATGCACATGACTACTGTAACGTAAATATAATAACATGTTATAATACAAAAGTATTGGAAAATATAAACTTGTGACTCTTTAGGAATGATTATATGCAAACTCTTACGAAAAAATACAATTTTTTATATATTTCTTTCAAACATGTTTTAGAATTAATCTTTTTGATAGATAGATAGATAGATAGATAGATAGATAGATAGATAGATAGATAGATAGATAGATAGATAGATAGATAGATAGATAGATAGATAGATAGATAGATAGATAGATAGATAGATAGATAGATAGATAGATAGATAGATAGATAGATAGATAGATAGATAGATAGATAGATAGATAGATAGATAGATAGATAGATAGATAGATAGATAGATAGATAGATAGATAGATAGATAGATAGATAGATAGATAGATAGATAGATAGATAGATAGATAGATAGATAGATAGATAGATAGATAGATAGATAGATAGATAGATAGATAGATAGATAGATAGATAGATAGATAGATAGATAGATAGATAGATAGATAGATAGATAGATAGATAGATAGATAGATAGATAGATAGATAGATAGATAGATAGATAGATAGATAGATAGATAGATAGATAGATAGATAGATAGATAGATAGATAGATAGATAGATAGATAGATAGATAGATAGATAGATAGATAGATAGATAGATAGATAGATAGATAGATAGATAGATAGATAGATAGATAGATAGATAGATAGATAGATAGATAGATAGATAGATAGATAGATAGATAGATAGATAGATAGATAGATAGATAGATAGATAGATAGATAGATAGATAGATAGATAGATAGATAGATAGATAGATAGATAGATAGATAGATAGATAGATAGATAGATAGATAGATAGATAGATTTATTTCGACACAAAGGTAAACATGTTACATGATAAACAAACACAATATAGATTGAAACAATTACAAAAAAAAAAATTATTTTAGTACTATGATTGAGTTAACCACAAGGCTTTTTCAATTTTAGAATTACACACGTCAAATGCTGGATGTTATACTTTTATAAGCTCATTAATAATTATTAATCAATCATGTATTTGCATTTCAAATTGCAAAATAACATCAAATCAATTTGATATATACTATTACTTTGTTTGTTTTATATAAAGGCTAATTATAATATGTCAGTTTCAATGTTCCCGGGACTTGCTGGACTTTTAACATCTGGCCGATCTTGAGTAAAAATGTGATCAGATGTGCACACATTTGTCAGTTAAATTTTAGTATTAGAGTTTTAGACTATTAAGCACGTGTATTCATAAATTATATATACTAGAAATAGTGATACTGTGTATGATACGGGTTATATCTCATTGATTGAAATCAGTATTGTATTGTTAAACATGAATAATAAATCTGAAATTTATTGTTCAAAATTGTTTTTATGAATTAAAACATAACCACTGCAAATTGTAAACTAAACATATAATAATTTTCACGTTTTAAAAAATATATATCAACTAAAGTTTCATCGAGCTAAAATGAGATAACGTATAGTTTGCCAACTTTATAGAATAAGATAAAAAAGACAATAAATAAATAAATAAATAGATAAGTAAATAAATAAAATAATAAAGACTGGAAAAGGGTGAACCCTCAAAAGTAATGAAGGCATGAATTTCACATTAAAATTTCAGACAAGTTATTGCTAAGTCCGTTCATGTGAGAAGATGTGCACATCTATAACTCCCCAAAGCAACGGGTTAAGCTGTATTCAAGGGAAATGAAAAGGGCTATGATAACAATGAAAGAGCGTTGCAATTGCATTAAGATTTAACTGAATCGATTAATATATACCTGGAAATAAGTAAAGCACACCCGACATTTTGCCTCTTTATTGTCATGACCATAACTGAAATTTTTATTTTTTATTTGGGCAATGGAACGAACCACCTGTAGTCTACCTGCAACAACGGGAACAAGCACCAAGAATGGCAAAATTTACCTCAAAATCGCATAAGATGCCATACTGGTAGTATGATGAGAAGCGTTGAGGCTATTATCCGGGCACGTGACGGTTACACACGTTATGAAAACTATGGCTGAATAATGTCATTTTAGGTTACGTAATCGTAAACATTTACTAAAAATATCCACCCGCAAATGTTTTGTAAACGCTCCAACAACATACATACAACATAAACACTTACATATTTGATAAAAACCGGCACATATGCCTTTAAATTTAAAATTTCATCATGTTGCGTAAATGTTGAATTCTGTTCCAGGCGGTGTTAAAGGGTGTAGACAATCGTTTACACTCTGAAATATAGTTTATAAACAGGCTCAATCAAATCTAACTTGAAACATTTTTGTTTTTCCGTTTTGGACTTTGTTTAGAATTCTTTTTTCTGTATTTTACCGAATATGATCTGAGGATTTAGACAAATACTTTTTTTTATAATTTGAAGAAATAACAACCGTGTATATTATCCTTATCACTATTGTTGTCCCTATCACACAGCCTTCTAGCGCGTTGTTGCTTTGATCAAGCAGGTAAGTTAATTGAATTTTGATTGGTTGAAATTCTCTTTATAATACCGGTATAAGCTTCATCTTCTCCAAATCCCTCCTGCGTACACAAGGCAAGTCAAGGTCAAGTCACCTTAAATACCAGAGACGATTGGTTGACTTGTCGTTACTAACTCGGGAGGGTGGCGCAAACAAGAGCCGGTTTTCTTATGATGCCGTTTGAAACATGGTGCCATTGAAGTATTGTCGTCTCTACTCACCACCAACGAACTAAAAACAGGTCAAGGAAGATTTAGCTTGAAAAGTCGATGCTGATGTACCAGCAAGTGAGCAGATAATCTAGCACATATGGTTAATTTCGTCGACCAGTATAAATAATAAACTTATCTTCACAATTACCCTTCACGGCAATTTATTCAATTAGCGTCATAAGTGACCCGATCGACTCTATTTACTCTATTAACAAATAGTTTGTATGCTAAGTAACCAAATGGCTGGCATTTGATTTTATACTAATAAAACAATTACAATATTAAATATTTTATAAGATATTTTGATAAAATTAAATGCTTAATATTTAATTTATTTTTTAGTTGCAATTGTTTTGTAACTTGTTTTCTAAAATAACTTTCTTTATACAAGCAATCAATTAAAAATGTATTATGAATCAACCCTAGCCATGAATATCAATAAAACCATACACTTCAAGTTTCCCTGTTTATTTTAACAACGATATAAATCTCTATTTATCATGGACACGTACTGTTTCATTGACCATTAATCCATCGTCTTACTGCATAGATAAATCTATTCATTCACTAAAATATGACATCTTAAACCTTTTATTATATATGAACATTTCTCTTTATCACTGGATTAAGTAAGTAAAGGACATACACAATAATATAATATTTGCAAATATTGTTAGATTATCATGTGCATTAATAATGTGGCCAGCATAAATAATATTGCCCGTCAACAGGGTGGAATAATATATACTTTTATGAGATTGGTTGTTGAAGCATGAAACAATGTAACGATATGTGTTTCATACAATAATATATGTATCATATGGCGATAACGAAATCGTAAAGTGGTAAAGCTATCATATAAAATGTAAATATATTTATTTCACAATAAGCTTGTAGCTTTCAACTTAATCGAACTATATAATATTCTGTATACACTTATGCATGAATTCTGTATAACAGTAAAATAAATTAAATAAATATATAAATATATAAATAAAAATCAAACAAACAATCAATCAATCATCAATCAGTCAATGAATGAATCAATCAATCAATTATTTAATCAATCATCAATCAATCAATCAATCAATCAATCAATAAAAAACAAAAACGAAACACATTCCTGAAAATTAATCTTATAACGAGAATATCTCAACATTGACTGGACAGGAGACCACACCCTGGTTGTAAAAGAATCCCATTGAGGTCCAAAAGTCTTTTTCACAACACGTATCGAGCCAATCGCATACTATTTGTCCTTTTCTGTCAAACTTAAAGACCTCGAATACAATGGCTAGTAAAAGCAGAATAGAATACGGTTTTTCTTACTATAACCTACGCTAAGATACTAAACATATTATGACATGGTATTTTAATGCTGGATGTTTATTCAAAAATACTGCTTATACTCGTATTAAGTAAATTATAGAAGTAAAACAGAACATTATTTATATTATACAGAAACTGAAAGTACAAAATGCCTATCTGTCGCAATGAATAAGTGATTATAATTGTCTGGCATATTTTCAATCTAATTTACCTTAATACAATTTATTTTTAATGTCAAATATATAAATTGGTTATACATAATCAAAGATTACATCCCCTGTTTTTGTTTACATATAAAACCACGTGGTAGAAATACTTTTTATTCGTATTAAATCCGAGGTTATTATGAATAATATCCGCGAGGTTTCCCTTGTGATCGAGCGTATGATCTGAGTTTTTGCACACAAGCTTCATATATAACGCAAAGAATATTTTCAGTCTTTCCATATCAACAAACCCTTAGCGGAGTCTGTCTCGATGATAACAGAAGTATGTTATCTTTGACATGGCCTTTGATTTGAGACAGCGTTTAAGAAATAAAACAAAACCTTTGTAAGCACTTTTGACATCTTTGATCCCTCTAGATAAAAGCAGTGACTGTAATTATATATGCTGCAACATTTAAAGAAGATACGTCTAAGTAATGTTTTATGTGCTGTCTCGTAGCATGTCGGTGGTTCTACTCAGCCACCGTTGGTATATGAAATAGTTAGAAAGGGCACCCGAGGTCTTTCTCTGTCATCAAAGCTGGAAAGTCGCCATATAACTATACAGTGTTAATACAATGTAAAAAATCAACCAATGAATAATGAATTATCCTCGACAGGGCCTCAAATTAGTAACCAACAATTTAAATATACATATGTTTAAATATCTAATAGATTAGAATGTATGATACATGTTATATTGGGGAGTTACATAATGTATTTCGCAACCGTTTTAGGCCTTATTTTTGTGTTTGGTAGGGAAATATTCTTTTTCTATTATTTTAGGTTGATTATGAATTTATAATCTTATAGTTCTTGTAATTGCTATTTAGTGTTTGATAAAATGCATTTTCATGTAGCATTATAATTAAATATAGATAGGTCTACAATCGGTAAGTATTTCAAATATTGAGGTAAGCACTAGAAATGTATCTTATTGATATTCTTATGATAAAAATCTTTAAAATTGTTGATAATTTTTTTAATGATTCAGTATGAACATTCAAATATCATGAATAGTATCTTGAAAACGTTATTAATTAGTATATAGAGGATATTGAGTATATGTTTAATACTGAATTTGTTGAACGAGTTGAATAATATTATTTTATTCAACGAGTTCAATAAATTCAGTAATACACTTACACGGATTTAAACTCCATTTATTACACAAAAAAAAATCATTAAAAAATTACCTTATTTTGAGTTTTAATATCAGCTGACCTAGATTATCTGATAAAGAAACCTACTATCTTGTCCTTTGATGTACTGCTATGACATTTGGACGATTTGCACAATTTTAGATGTAAAATTGAACTTTGATATCAGCTGAAAACTGACCATTTAACTTAATGAAAATTATTCATATTTGGACAGTACAATAAATGTAACTAGACCTGCCTAGTTAAATTTTAAAAAGGGAATTTCTTTCCTTATTTGTTTTATATATTTGTTCAAACGTTTTATTAATCTTCTATTAGTCTATTACTTTTAGAAAAAGTAAAAAAAAACAAACGAAATTTGCGATGGCTCTGATTTAATAAAGAGAAAAGAAAATAATGTACAAAGTGTTTAATGCTAATGTAGTTACTCGATTCAGGAATTGAAACTGGAGTTGTCTGCAATTTACATGTAATTTTGCTGTTTTTCATGCTTCCGAGAGATCACTTTTTCTAGATATTTCTACACTTATATTTTTATTGCTAGGTTAAGCAAAATTACTTGAATATAAAATTGTATGGATACTTTCAAACAAATTACTGAAGTTAATTGATTTAATTGAATAATATGTCATGTTTTAAATCACAAGGAGTCAAGCCAACTCGTTCGGGGGAAGGTGGAGGAGTAAGTGTCACGCCAGTCACCTATCCTAGTGCCTTGACACCTGTGAGTGCACAATTGACCAGTCGTACACCGGCCAGAGCAGTTAGCGTTCGTATAAGTACAAACCCATCAGTGGTGAGTCAAACAGTGTCAAACGCGGCAAGATGCGTGTGCGTGACCGAAAATAGTGCGGGAAAAACTTATCAGCAACATGGCAATGGATTTAAAAAATACAGTGTTAGTTTGGAACTGATTGGTACATGTATAGCTTTGCAATTAGTTAAGATTGTACAATAATTGAGTTTCAAACGCACTGTTAGTCGTACAAATATTATGTACTTTATACGTTGTCTCTTTTGTAAGAAAACTTGATAGACAATATAAATGTGTGTAAATTATTTATCGGAGTTCACTTTTTCAATATTAATACATACAATTTATCTGTTAATGACAGCAAGACCAAAATCAAGCATGTGATAATAAAAGAAATTCAAAACAGTATGTCTTTCTTAATTTGAGTATTTTCATTGTTTTTACTAAGTGATATAAATATTAAAACACAGTTATTTATCCTGGACAAACCTAGATTGAAGCGATGTTTATCACAAAAAAGTATAATTTATTTTCCTGTCTTTAAGCAAGCTAAGTCAACATTTTATGTGAAACTTTGCGACTTTCGATTTGACATCATTTTTCTAATGGAGGATGTACTCATTTCACTATTTGAGGGATAACACAAAATATGACAATTAAATTCTTGATTACCATCATATGAATACGTCTTCTGGTGTTTCTGGACCATGGTCTTGTTAAAATTGATATGGTGCGATAAATTGCATTTCGTAGCGTTTTCAATCTTGATGTGTTTGACAAACTTAAATGTTGGAAGTTTGACCATTTTATAGTAAAATGTTCAGACATAAATACTTAAATATCAATTAAAAACAATAATATTCACAAATGAAAATATTGTTCTTGTAAGAGATTCGGTCTGTTTACCTTTAAACTTTCCTCGTAAAAGATATTTATTTATTCATAAACTTGAAATGAATTTGACTTCAAACAATCTCGTTGTTTGTGCCAAAATGTTCCGAAAACGCGGAGGTTGCACGCGCAAAACCTTTGCTTTACCTTATAATAGCATTTATTAAGTGAGGCGCCATTTAGTAAACATTTAAACAAACAACTGACTCTGAGGCTATTAGGCCACGTGGCAGTTGCACACGTTAATAAAAATTTGGCTACATAATGTCATTTTAGTTTACGTGATGGTCAGCATTTAACAAAAAACATCCACCAGTTAATGTATTGTCAACGCTCCAACACTATACTTATAAACACTTACATATTTTGGTAAAAACAACACATTTTATTATGCTTCAGTAATTTGGTTAAGAATTAACTAAACTCATAAATTTACTGATTTATGATTAACTAATTGGTATCGCTACTGATTACTTTACTATTTCTTAGCTCAATAAAGTCGTCACATCATGACAGTGCTTTCAATAAAAAAACAGGGTGCGCTTAACCTATTTCCAGGTGTATATTTTGAGAGTCGAGATGTAGTAGATGTATACACAAATAATTGATTAGCGTGTAGCGTGATAATTTACAACCGTTGGTACATACAAAATGTTCCAATAAGATCAGACAGTAGAAATGAAACCTGAACGTATATATATTTACAATAGCCAACGGAAAACTGAATGAAGTAAAATGTGTTCAAATTAACAAACAAGTGAAGAAATTTGAAAATCTTTATATTAATCAAAGTAAGAATATTTACAATTTCTTCTGTTAAGATGTTTATGTATTTATCAATTTTCTTTTTTCCTTATACTTAATAAATTCTGTCAGAATATTAATATCTATAATTATTTTATCAATCCTATTATTTATAACTAAAAGATATACTTTTCTCAAATTTGATATCAGAAAATATTGATAATTGCTACACAGTCTCTTTGTTAATAAATAAACATGTTTTGGCTTCACACAAAGTAGATATGTTCAAAATACTACACACTACCGGTATATTTTTGGTCACAATATTGTGTCAATAAAAATTGTAAGTTTTTTAAGACACTACTTTGCCAACTTTATTTGAACAGTTAATGGGAACGCAGGGAACGCAGCTTCCAATACATAGTTTATTCATTCTTTTATGCAATTAAATATATGCGGCCATGAATACAGATAACAAATGACGTAATATTTTCAGTTCATTGTATTTAGAACCAATTAAGTTTTTATGTACTTTTCTTTAAGTATATTTATTCCTTTATGCTAATATTGTACTCTATCAAAACAATATCTCTGGCGACAACTTGATGGTAAATCGACGAAACAGTAGGCCATGAACTGTCCACAGTTGATAGCGGACAGTCTGTAGGTACGAAGACAACAGGTGTCAAAGTCTCTTAGGCAAGAGGTCCTGTTTACCAATCCTTCTTCTTGCCTTGGGTTCTGACCTGGGTAAATTAAAGTTAAAACAGTTAAGATTTGAAAATTTGTTTTATTTAATTTATTTGAGTTAATGTAAAAAAGAGATTAGAAGACGCATTAGCGTATTTTCCGTTTTGTTTTATCAGACGTGCAAATAACAACTTCTTGAATTTCAACCTGGTTATAAACATTTATGTCATAAAGAGGGCAAAACTGGAAAATGATTAAAATCAAATTTCAATGTAGCATGTTAGTAACAGTCACCAAAGAATAAATAATTATCTTCTTTGTCTACTTTTTATTATTAATAAATTAAAGGTATTTATGTTTATACTAACCATTCATCCAAATGGGGTACTTTGTTCCGCACATGTACATTGACGGACATTGTGAGGTCATGGGGCTGTCACTTTTGTACCATTTATTTGTGTCAATCGCATACACGTCACAATACTTCCAGTGAGATAATGTGTTTGTGTAAAGAATTGATGGATCTCTAGATTGTAAGTCCGGTATTTCAATCAAATTATTGTTACACAAATCTGAAATTAACATGTTTTTTCTTCTTATTTGAGGTAAATGTAATTACATGCTATGTAAGTGATGAAATGTTTCATCAGGAACAAAAATATACTGTGGATTTAACAATACAGACACAGATTAAAGCAAAAATATAAATACTAATTATAATAATAATGATTTGATAATGATGATGATAATGATGATACTCTTAATTATAAACGCTATGTAAATACACATAATATTAACAGTAATTAAAATAATCTATATATGAGCCTCGCACTGACAAAACATATAAAACATAATGCGTTTGCGACCAGCATGGATTCAAACAAGCCTGCACATTCGCGCAGGCTGATCTGGATCCATGCTGATCGAAAATGAATTGTGTTGGCTCATATGGTACAGCATTTTTAAGGTAATCTACATAAAATAGAAAAGACAGTACATGTGCCTTACATAATATTTCAAGGAACTGTTACGGCATACAAAAAGACAACTTTACGACCCTGTTAATGATAATGTAAGATAAATATACGTAGCGATACTTTATTACACAACATTCTCCATTAGCCATTTCATAACTAACAAAAATAATTGAATTGCTTTAACATAACGAGACCACCATAACGGTTTTATAACAAGACACGTGTAAAAAATCAATAAAAGCGTAAATGCATTCATTAAAAACTTTTTCCTCATCACCTTTTAAAACATGTTGATACTTTGTCATTGAAAGGTTTTCCAGAAACTTTTAATAACGTACATTATACCAGTTTATTACATGCTTTTCGGTGGTTTATAGAAATATATCAGTGATTTAAAACTGGTTATTTCACTGTCTGAAACAGTGAAATTACCACTTTGATAATTTCACTGTTTTGAATTTATGCCCCTTACGTTGTTTCAGTGAAGTACCTGCGTGCACAGAACTGGGTACCAACTTAATGACGTGACGTCATAAATGACGACACGTTGTATTATTTTTTGGCGCGCTTTTCATTCAGTATTAGGTTTAACGTCTTTTTTAAAACGTTTCTTTGAATATGATAAAAAGAAAATTTGTTTAGTTTAATGTAAGATCGAAATATATTTTACCTTGTGAACATCAAAAATTCATATTTCACTCGTGGCTGCGCCACTCGTGAAATATACCTTTTGGTGCTCACTCGGTGAAATATATTCCGATCTTACACTGAACTAAACAAATATCCTCTATATCAATTTAATTAATTGATTTCTTTACCCGTATTTTTATTTGAATCAATAACGAACACAACATGTTCGATGCATTACTATATAGATTGATATGATTGAATTATTTTACATTTTATGTAAAAAAAGCGTAAAGTTTATATTCATTAATTAACAGCCTGAGGTAGCTTAAACACCTGACCAATAATTCTTACAGAGAATCAAAACTTACCTGAAGGTGGATTGTAACAGCTCGATGCCAGGTAGCCTGAAATTAAACAATAATAATTTTTTTCATTCGGTAACTTCAAACAATATAACTACATAGATGTGAAGTATGGATAGGTCGTTTCTTTTAACGTGATTTGGTCTACAATGGACCCTTTTTCCGCAAGTATTTCAATCTTGATTGAAACAAAAGAAATGTATAATTTGGATATTGCATAGAATATTTTTACATCACACTTAGAAACAATATTTATGCCCTACCCTATTCTTACACGGTTTGTTGCCACGTATGGTTTTTAATACTATCAGCATATTAATGGTATAACAGACATTCCATTAAGGCTTAAATTACTTCAAGCTGATTGTATAAAATTTTAACTCAGCCAGGCCTAAGAATGAATTAAATTATATACTGTTAAACGAGAGTAATACAATCCATCATAGGAATGCTGTTATGTTTATTCTGACTTTGTAAAAAAACAAACGTACCTGTAAAATGCACGAGGATCGATTCGATAAATAGCTGAAGAAACGTTTTAATTGACGGAAAAACATATGAATCTAACATTTGTGACGTTGACCACGAGATATACAAGGTTTAAGACACATAAAATCATTCCTTGGGAATGGATTCCTTTGAAAATGACTTGTTTTTTCAATAGAACTCATGGTTTTTAACAATCAGTATTATTTATTTCAGACATTATTTGCTTTGGCCTGATAATATGAGTTACTTACAGCATAATAGTCAGTCTTCATTGCTAGTAACACTAGCGGTTGTACAAAATTATTAGTATGACCGCTAGGCGTCTCTATTGTCTCAAACAAACTGAGCCTGCAACATTTTCAATTTTGCCTTATGGGCTTTCTTTAGCGATTCTTATTTTTTCTATTTCGTAATTATTAACTTGCATAATAATTCGAAGTTTTTTTTTTTTTTTTTTTTTTTTTTTTTTTTTTTTAAAAGCTTTTCATGATTTTCTTTATGAAAGGCCTTATTTGTTGTTTTTATGTTGTGATTGTAAAAAAGCTATATATTACATTTCAGAATAGGATAAAATATTCAAAAATCAATTTCAATGTAACATTGAATAATGCTTAATAAATAGAGGATATTCAAGTTTTTTCTATAAATACATTATTTATTTTCATCGAGTGGTATGAAAATAAATATTTCATGAGTGGCGGTAGCCACGAGTGAAATATGGTAATTTTCATGCCACAAGATGAAAATAAATCATGTATTTATAGAAAAAACTTGAATTTTCTGTTTATTATATATATATTTTTCTTTTTTGCGATAAAATTTGAAATACTTTCCCTTAAATTTTGTGTACTGGCAGAATTTAAAAGAAAGTAGTTCGGCAAGACACCAGTGAAAATACGGAAAATATGTTTCACTGCAGTGAAAAATAAATTTTTACAGTGAAAATACGGAAAATGAAAATACGCATTTTATTTCATCAATATTTCTCAATATTTCATTTATAAGTATATAATAAAAAATTTGATTTTTTTCCCTAAATCATTAAATTTCTAAATCTATATATATCTTTTAAAATATTTCTTGTGATAGTACCACAGTCTGATGTCTATCATAGTGCAAATACCGTATAAACACTTATTATCCTTTTTTCAAACATAGAACTCATTGATTATGCGTTTGACCTTAGTTGACCCTTTTTGAAATTGTAACATAGAGCTACATCAAGTTAGACCAGTTTTGCTGACAATTTATCATGGAAATTCCGTGATTTATAAATGGAAAGCTGATCCAACTCAGATCATTTCAAATATATTTTTATTAAGTGATATTGATTTATAAAACTCCTTCTTAATATAATTTAACTTTTAAGAATAAAGAGATCTAAAAATAGTAACATAAAAATCAAATTCATAGAATTTGTAAAGTTTTTATAGCCTCTGCAACATAGGGCTAAGTCAAGTTAGACCAGTTTTGCTGACAATTTATCATGGAAATTTTGTGATTTATAAATGGAAAACTGATCCAACTAAGATCATTTCAAATATTTGTTTGTATTAAGTTAAATTTATTCGCAAAACTCCTTTGATATATATTTTTTAAAACTTTTTTAAATGAAGAGATCTAAAAGCAATAACAAAAATATCAATTTTATATAGAATTTTTAAATTTTATAGCCTTCTTTAATTTTACAAAAATCAAGTTAGGCCAGTGTTGCGTTCAGCCGTCGGTATATGTAAAGGAAATTATCTCTCAAAAGTACTTCGACCTCGCTTTTGAGAATGTATGAAATGTCAACTTTTTAATTAATGCATGTTTATTTCTAAAAATTAATTTTGATAATTCAAAGGCTGTCTTGAAAGTTATCTATGTTACGTAGTAATTAAATGACTAATTAAAGTAATAAGTTTTCTTATCATCATGACTTTGATTAAATAAAACAAAAACAAGAAAAAAAAATCAAAAAAAAAGAAAGAAAAAAAAAACATTCAGAACAAAAAAATACACACATACCCGGCAGAAATCCTAATAAACACCATATCATTGCGAAAAAGAAATACATTTCTCAGTTTCTCAGTACACTGTTTATGCCTATGTCTACGAAATTGTATTTCGTTTGCAAAACAAAATCAACATATGTAACATTGTAAACGTTGCTTTACAAATATAACCAATATGCAGTCGAATGACATTTGAACTGAGATAAAAAACAATAATAATCAAAACTCATTTAAGGCCGATTATGTCCGCGACATGCTATCCTTTTCATATTTCTTTTTCTAATTTTTTTTTATTTAATTTTCGGTATCTTATTATAGTTTTTAAAATAAATAAATATTGGCCATATAATATAACTCATGTTTTAGTAAATATTTTATGGTTTGTGGAGCTATAAATGGCATACATGTGTAGTAAAATTTGTCAAAAAGAATATAAAAAACAAAAAAGCACACGCGCAAGCACATACACGCACGCATGTTCAAATACATACATACATACATACATACATACATACATACATACATACACGCACGCAGACACACACATGTATGCGCGCACATATTTCACTCACACACACGTGCGAGCGCACCAACGCACACACACTCGCATACGCGCACGCACAAACTAAGCAAAAACACAATAGCAAACGAGAGCACCAATAACGGTCATCCTAACTTATGTACCGAAAAACGCATCTAGCGCATCCAGCAGATTTTGTACAGTGAACTTTTCTGGTGCTTTAAAGATTACTTTTCTAGTGCTTTAAGTAAATTTTGTTAATTCTGTCAATGTTCTGTTTACATCTTATTCGTTTTTTTTGTGTAACATATTGACACTTATGGTTGATTAATTGTACATGTTTTAATTATCTTATTTGATTAAATTTTTTTTTGTTTTTATTACAAATTTCAGTTCATAATTGTATGTCAATATAGTATACATTTCTACGGAATGTTGTTTAATAAAATTTGAAAGTTTATCTACATATACATTTCTGGCAGTGAAACAAAATGCAAGCTGACGGATGTTGTTTACTGCGATTATGGTATTTCAATATTTAAGAAAAGTTCGTCAAATTAGAAGTTAAAATGACAATTAGATATAAACCATTTTCATTGTTATGATAAATGTTTGTCAAAATAACATAATTTGAATATGTAAACGGGCTTACGATCGGTTATAGGGTGTATCATAAGTTTGTTATACTAAATGTGATTGGCTACTTTGGTATGTCATTTAGCTGTTAGAAGCACGTGTAAAATCATTTTAAAAATTATTGCCGGTGGAATTTTGTTTTGGTTTATGGTAGGAGCTGTTATTATTAGCAGTCAATGTCATGTTGTGTTAAATAGTTTTATTTTTGATTCGTAAAAATCAAGTAAACAAGTTTTTTTTATATTTGTATTTAATTTTAACAGTTGGAGTCTCTCGTAGTGCTGCCCTTAAATGATTTAATTTATTTGTCAGTGTTAAGCACAGTATATAAATAAATTCACTATTCGATCGCTCCGTTTTGTTTGTTACTTACTTTTATAACGTAAGAGTTATCATATTAGGTAAAAATGAATTGACTAAAGAAATTAAATGTTTCGGTTTTTTTTTTGTTTCGTACCGGCGTCGATGTGTTTTGCTGAACATGTTTAAAATCATAAAATTGTACGGAACTTAAAACAAATTTGGCGAATCATCTCTATTTATCCAATTCTTTCACAGTAAAGTTAAAACATTACAACATTCTAAAATATTTTAGTGTACAACAAAACAAAAGCAACATCAAAAAACATGAAAAAACTGGTTTGACTCAAAACTTTTCCCCAGCGAGTCATTGACTGGTAAGATTCCGTCCCCTTTTTCGTTAAATCGGGGTTAAAGCGTATCTTGTTCATTATAATTGTTTCCGTATTTACATATTTTACATTTAGTAATTTGACTGCCAATATATACATATGCAATCCCATGAAAAACAAGAAATAGGCAAAAAATACAAAAAGTTGAAAACAAAACATGGAAGAAGTTCTAGACTTGAATATGATATAATAATTATAATTCAATTTCCAAGTCTGCAGAATAGCTCTTAACGAATAAATATTTCATTCTTTATAAAGGAAAAAACATAACTTTTATAACGTTTGAATAATGCTTTAAGAGCAAGTTAAAATGTCCTTGACGTTTTTAACCTTGTCATGTCATGAATGTTTCCGTTTATTCTAGCACTAGTTTGTACTTTACTATCGAGTGCTTCAGAAAAAAAAGTAATGTAAAGTGTAGATATAAAATAGATTTGAACAAGGTAGATACAAAGCTAATAGACAAGCACATGTGCAACGGAAGTAGATAAACTGAAATGCATCGTTTCATTGCCAGCGGTTTGAATTGTTCGAATATAATAATCCGCCCATTTTGAGTACATAATCCGATGTGGTTGAACACCAAGGTAACGTTAGATATTTTCCTATTACTTTTATAGTTTTATTTACTTTCACAAATTACATCAATACAAAAACATTTCGAACATATCAATAAAAACACACAAAAAAGACAGAAAAAAAACAGCAGGAATTACCTTTTTTTTTATTCAACCTTATTTTTTCTAGTTCAAAAGCTGACAAATGATCGTGCTGGTATTTTCAATTGTATAATGTAAAGGGTACTTGAAATTCGATGCTGATGAAGTACTTTATGTTATATCTAATGAACATATTCAATTAAACGGAGACTCCAATATACACTTTTACGCTTTGAGTGATCTCCCTTTTTCCAGAATTTTGATAATGATTTTGGCCATTGTGTTTAACAAACCTGTTACAATTTCGACTTTTTTATAAAATGTAAAAATATAATACCATATCATATAATCTGCCTAGATTAATTAGATAAAGCAAGTTAGAAAATAACATTAATTTTAAAAAAAGGTAAACAATGATAATTTCGAGGATAATTCATGAATACAATATAAAAATATTTAAAATAAGTTGCATAATCAAACCGTCACAAAATGTCCGCGTCTTTCTTATTGTGTTATGTATCAAGAGTCTAAAATTCGAATGTATTTAACATCAATAGTCATAAAACAACCACATCAAATGACAAAGTAATAATTTATCTATAACGAATGAATCGTAAGAGCAATATTGATTAAGTTACCAGAATAATTACTGCGTTTAGTAATTGATGTTGCGCAGATTTCTTGTTGCTGGGTCGTGTGGGGGCTGCGTTTATTGAACGCCGTCTTGTATATCAGATTTTTTTTTTGCAAATCCATTTTTGATGCGATTCCTAGTCATACCGTAACAAAGAAATTCGAATATGCTCAAACTCAGCAATCATAAAAGAACCATCTTAAATGAGAAGACAATGATTTATATATGTAAAGAATAAACAACTTCGTTTAAATCAACTTTAATTAGGCTAATGGACATAATGCTAAGCAAACCTTTTAAACATTTCACAGACTTTATTTTCAAACAATAATATATGCATAGATATATAAGATAATAAAAGACAGAAATCAGAATAAATACGAAACAAAAATTATTGATAATCACTGAAATCTGAAGGATAATGAATGCACCGATACATGATATTTTTCATATATACAATATGTACATCGATTCTATTTATACTTCAGCCAACTTCAATGTGCATCACAAATCCTAAAGCATATATACTAGGTTTAACAACTAAAATGTTTTAATCATCGTGACTACTTTTTGTATTTCTTTTATTAATGTTCACATCACAACGTTTGGGTAATAATGTATTTGGAGCTACTCTATTATTTTCAGGAGATTCTATATCAAACTGTTTGAAGTAGGTAGTTAACAGTATTAACTCTTGTCGAACTGTTTTCTTTTTCTTCACCAATTGAACAATCAAAGTTAATTTTGAATTTAATAATATGACTGATAAAAATCGTTTAAACTGACACATGTTTTATCTATTTGCTTTCATGTTATCTACATGTCTGCCATAATGGCCTCTTTGTTTTATTAACAGCCAAAGCCTTGGTTCCCTGTCAATTGTCTAAGAAAAATATACATCTATAAAAAAGTGATATATAAAACATCCCAGTGGAGCACTTCTGAATTTAGCTAATGATAAATAACCCCTGAATGCAGACACAAAGTTGCCTCCAACTCTTGAGCGTGTCCGTTACACTTGTCATTTTCCATTCAAAAGCTATTGATTTTTCTTATAAGCAAGTTATATACAACTAGCAAACGGTTATATAGAAAACTTATAACGTAATGATGTAAAAACACGCTAGAATACCTTCAAACCGAGCATGATAACGGCAAAGATAAAACTAGCGGATGGCACTAAAATTTTGGAGACCCCATTACACAGGTTAGATGTACAATGGCAAACATTGGCTCCAGCCGCCTCTTCGCACGAATCCTTTTTGAGCAGTGGAAGACAATTCCTTACAGCAGCTGAAAGAAAAATGAAAGCAAACGTATTCGTTAAAAGGATTAAACAGGGATATTAATCAGTTGTGTATGGTAAGGACTTCCTTGTACATGTTGGTGTCATATCACAATTTAATGATTCTTTTATAAAAAAGACACTTTTTTGAATGTAAGGATTAAAATAATTATCTAGATTTCCTAAACTACGTCTCTGATTGGTAAATGCCGGATAGTCAGTCGAGTGTTCTTCTACATTAAATTTTCTAAAAGCTGCACGTCTCTAGATGAGCCAAAATATTTCAAATATTTCAAGAAAATCAATATTGAGAAAAATGTACTAACCCTTTAAGAAAAGTAAAACTATTCATGATACAAGCTATATATTTGGCATGCTATGTGCGGTTAAAGACTGATTTTGCAATATTGTATTACCACATTTCTACTGCGTAACTAACGCAGTAAAGCTTATTTTTGCATATTTTTTTACTTTTAAATATATTTTCATTTTACTGAAAACTGGTTTTGACAGTATTTCATGTCATTTACATATATTTGTATAACGAAAATACAATAATTAAAGAGAAAGCCGTATATAAAAAGGGATAATAATTAAAATTTGACTATGTAAGTAAAGTTTATCGGAGTCAATGTCACAGGTCAAAATAATATCAAAATTCAAGGGTTCAAAGTATAAAAACGGCATAATATGATAATATTTGATCAAAATTAAAGTATGATGTTAAGAGACAGTCATGCAAACCGGTCAAATTACCCAGCACAACGCTGTCATCTAATGACCATAGTAATGAAGAATATTTAGGCATTTCTAGATGTTTTGAAATTTGTAATTTCCATGTTTTGTTTCTGCTAAACTTGGTACCAGGGAATATGCACGGTATAAGCAATTACAACTACCGTCTTTGGCTCAACCAGACAGGATCTGTATCATTTTCTTTTTTAGTCTTTCTGTTACAACGTCACTTAGTTTTAGATATGCTGTTTTACATGCGGGTCCATAGGAACAAAAACATTTTTTTGTACTGTTCAGTTTTGTTTTATCAACCATAATAGCACATTAGGGTAATGTACAATTTTCAGTTCCAATGTTCAAATGCAGAAAACAAAATCAAATGTTTTGTATTCAATGCTTTGGATCATATTATGCTAATATTTGCAAAGGAACCAAAGTTATTTAGGATATAACCTAGTTATAATAATAAAAATTGTTATAAACTAATTAAACAAAAAACAACAAAAAACAAAGTAGAAAAAAACAAGTACATCTTTTCTGCCAAACTTACTTCCATCTTTTTCTGTCTTCATACAGGAACCATCACATTCTGATTTCTTTACGCCACTGGAATCAAATGGGTCATTGCAGTCTGTAAGGCAGTCGTAGCACTGTATGGAAGATGCATAACGAACTGAAACAGAGACATTCGTATATTAATATTTTTATTCAATGAAGGTTTGGTTTAGATATGTAACGTTCTGATGTTATATGTATATATAAAGTTATTTGTTCATCAACGTTTGCTATTTATAAACACATTAGTTCTAACCTTAAAGATCCTGTAACGCAAATGTTTTATAGTTTTATACTATAAATCTGATGCTCAATATTGTAAGTTCATAATGCATTTGCAACGATATTACCGAATTTACATTTCATGTAAATAAAGGAAGATTATCAGAAATCTATTTTCGATAAAGTCTTAGGCAACTTTTTCAATAAATAATGAATGCATTGATTTTAATGATTACTCATAATGCGAAAAATATTTGCAGTATATACTCAACATATTCTTGGATATTTGGAAATTGTTTCAGGAGAATAATGATGTACATGTATACAATTTTACTTAAGTGTTGTTACATTCTTAACAACAACATACAGGATCTATAAGCTGTTGCTTCACTGAAGTTATATATATATATATAACGCTTTAAATGTTTTGCAATCTTTTGTTGGTTCAGCAAAGTTTGTTTTTTTCTATTATGAAAAAAAAGTTAGAAATCTCGATATTTACACAGCTGACGGTAAAGTTTATAATGTTATAGGCTTCAAAAAAAATAATTGTGTAAAAGTACTACTGACAAAATATCTATATAAGAAAAGATGTGTTTGTAATCTCATTTAAAAGAAATGTTTATGCACAAAATCGTTTCTAAGCAGTAAAAAATCTTTCTTAAGATAGCAGCATAATATTTTTTCGAGATCATTTAATTCTGTTCACATACGATATTCATACTCGTATATGTAAAATAACACTAGTTGTTCTATGATAAAACTCTTTAAAGATCCTGAATGTTGTTATTAAGGTTGCAACCACACTAAAGCGAAATTTCAAATATGTATACAATTATGCTTCTAAAACAGTTTTCAAACATCGAAGAACCTGTAAAACATGTACTGCAAATATTTGCCCACATTAAATGTAATTATTAAAATATATGCATTCATTTCTTATTGAAAAATTTGACTGGGACTTCACAGAAGATAAATTTCTAATTACCTGCATGAAATGAAAGTGTCGTTACATCTTTACAAATAATGCTTTTTGAACTAACAATATTGATAAATCTCCATTTGAGCATTATATGTATGATATAAAACCATAAAAAAATTGTGAAACAAGATCTTTAAGATTATAAAAACAACATAATTGTACTTTTATTATTTTTTATAATTTGTTTCTTTTAAGATATAGCTCTATACCTTTTTACGTATTAATATACTTTCGTTGTTAAAGAGGTCTTTACTTTACAGGAAGACTATAGAAAGACTAAGCTTTGTGTTCTGCATTATGCCTAATAAAAATATTCCTTGTGTTTTAATATGTTTATTTCACTTCAAGAAATAACATAAAATTACAAGAAAACAAACTGATTATGCAACTAAATTTTACAGCATTACAGTTTTTCAGCAATATGTACAGTTGTGTCGACAGTATATTCTTTTCTATCAAATTTCCATTCTATACTTTGTTGTATTCGACCATTTGTCCTTTCCTTTAATTGTCGAATTCTATAAAATGTCTTTCGACGTAATGCCGTGCACCGGTTGCTTATATATTATTACTTAATTTTCATAAGAATAGAAAATCAATATCTATTTCCCTCTGTAGTTTTGTATATCACAGTTTCTTCCAAATAAATGTCATAATTTGACAAGAAAAGATAAATTGCCTAAATCAGTCTATTCATATCGTTTCTCTATTCGCAGTATTGAGTTCTATGTCCAGAATTGACTAGAAGCCAAATGGCGCCAGTTTTCCTCCTTGTTCCCTCGATATTTTTTAATGCATGCATGGCTTGATCAATGCAGCAAGTAGACGCTACATGGAGTCTCTTGTTGAATCATAGTCAATACGATCGTCAGTGATTTTTAAGAACGGCGATGCTCGATTTAGGAATATCATAAGAAGTCATTTACGCCTTTTATTGTATTATATTATAAATTAATATATCTACAAGGTCCTCAAGATAAATGACATATAAGTGTTTTTAAAACAATGAATTCACCATATTTACAGGGCCTATTCAGTGTCTTTTTTCTTGGCGGGGGAGGGGGTCTTTTTATCACTTTGAACTCATTTCAAAAATAAAATTATATTTGCTTTTCAAACATTGTGTTCGATTAATTTTCAAAATGAAAATCTAAAGGATGCTGAATATATATATATATATGTAAATATTAACTTAACAGTGACATTATTAATTTCTAAGAGACAGAAAATAATAACTTAAAATTAGAACTGTAAAATACACGACCTAGAGGCAAATGATTAAAAAAAGACTGATAGAAAAAATCCTTTAAGGGACATTATGGCATTTTCATGGCATAGAGTGAGTCCACTTGATTGTTTGTTGCATTTTACGCCTTTTCCAACAGTATTTCAGTCATATAGGCGGGTAGTTTTCTAACCATCGTTCCTGGAGAGTTACACCAGTACGAGACTACCTTCCTCCGCGCTAAACTACCAAAGCATCTCCCGGGGATCGAACCCACGCCAGAGAGGTAACTGGATTAGAAGTCATCGACTCTAACCCCTCGACCACGGAGGCGGTTTTTAGCTCCACTTGACAATGAAAATAATAGTATAATGTCACTATAATGACAAAGATAGTATATACCTTTATCAACCGTTTCAGTTTGTGGATCTACAGGAAAAAGATAATTCAAACTATTATTATTCATGCAGTCCAACTTGGCCGCAGGTAAATGTCTGTGTTTATCTATCCATTTCAATACAAATCGTCTAATAAATTTAAATTCGAAACATAAACTGTAAAATACATGAACAAATTATTCCTGTAAGTGTTTGACTTACCATTAAATACAAATAAACAAAGTCCAACTAATACATTCATTATTTCTCTTTAAATATAAACCGTGATACAAAAAAAGAATCACTCAACGACTGAGATAAAGTTCCTCCCAGAGAAATGGAAATAATCCAATATAGATTATCTAACCAGACTATACCGCTGCCACACAGATATTATCTCTTGCAGGAAATGCAATATTCGCTTACGAAAGCACAATTATTATTATTTTTATGTTTCAATATTATAGTATATCTCAAATTTGCGGCACACTCCACCTAGTTTCGCGAAAAATCAAGAAAAATGATAAAACACGCTTCGTAACTTCTCGGCCATTTCCGTTTGGCTTCGCTTAAATGCATATAAATAAAAGCTTTGCAACTTTCCGGTCATGTATCGAGAGAGTTAAAATCTTACTAATTTTATCCTTCTTTTTGGCCATTTCAGTCTCTCTTTAATCAAAATATATAAAAAAGGCAATTTTACTATGAAATACTTGACCAATGAAATCACCCAAATAGCCACGTTATTTATGCAAGCTCTGATGAAAAGAACACGTCGACAGGGGAGGAATGTTTGATGGGGGTGGTGTGGTGGAGGGGCAGAGAGAGAGTGCAGAGACTATGTCATGTCACATTACTGTGATTCAAAGCCACATTGTCTGTCCTATATCTGCTTTGGCAAACATTGACATACACTCTCATATCTCTTTGTGCATTGGACACCATACTAAAATTTAACAATTGTCTACGCATCTATCGTTCAACACAATAAATATTATAGTCTGTAATGAATGATAATCGGAGAAAATGGCAATTTTTAACATTTTAACAGCGCATGTGCAAATTGCTCAGTGACAGCGCATATGCAAATATTCAGCAGTATTAAATGATTTATTTTATTATCAACATTTATCACTGTGAGATTACTCGTTTGCTGGCAGATATCGGCATTTTACGCTGCCGGCCATCAACCTTGATTTCAATTAAGGTAGAACGCGAAACTTTGCGACGTGATCTTTCTTCCCCTCGGTACGCGGACGTCGTTGAGAAGACGCAGAGAATGGGCAGAAATCTGAAGAACTTTTAACGACGAAAAATGAAAAACCGAAATTTGTATCGCGGACCACCTGCCGATGTCGTGACTGTTGCCGAGGGGGTGGCCTTCACAACAGGTAGAAACGACGAGGAGGTATGCTAGGATGTATAAGCCCCTAGCACGGTGTTACGGCTTGAGAAGCAGGCATTACCTTGACACCAACAACCCTTTTAAGGGAAAACCCCCTTTTTCATATTGTTTCGGGTTACTGTACGTTTAGATTATTATTGAGTACCATATACTGACCTACTTTTAGCTCAATACACATAATTGTCTAATAATCCATTATAAGTGACCATTGCATTGGCATAAAGTTATCACCACTTTGTTCTTCAAAATAAACTCTTAAAGGACATACATGGCGACATGTCCGGGATTCGTACACGACAGCCATCGAAGGCCTCTTTGTCAAATGGGTCCTCATTAACCATAAAACTGCATAAATCGCATAAAATGCATGAGTCGCGTTTGTTACAAGCATGCGTATAAACGGGATGATCTGCTTCCCTTCCTACTGTACTGCAATAAACGTTATAACAGCGACAGATAACCAAGACCAATCAAGGACGAAGTATGTCTAGAGTGAAGTAATTGTATGTATGTGTTCAGTTGATAGGCACTAGTATCGGACCTGGTTTTTGACACATTTAAGTTGAACACAGGTTTTCATTTAGAAGATAAGAGTTATCTTGCTCCAGTTTAAAAAGATGGACATATATGCTATAATTAAATTTGTAAATCAACAAATATAGAGGATACAAACCGATAGATGGGATATAGGGATATATTCTTAAAAGTAAGTGATGCAACTAATTCTTTTCAAATGATTTTTATTTTATACAATAAACAGAATCCTAGGAAAATATATCAAAATATTTTAAGAACAGGTTTCTTTATCATTTGATTTTATAGCCGATATAAGGGTCATATTCACAAATAACAATTTGTCTAAATCCAGGTTATATTTCTACCGTCTGGTGGTATTGGTTATATAAGTCGTTATAATAGTTATATAACCCGCCGTTTAATAAAAAGCAACATATAAAACGAATGTTAAATGATTAATGTACTCAACGCTTTTAAATTAAAACTGACGAACATCCCAAAAATGACTAAAACAATTTAGGCACAGGGCCTCTAATCTGAGAGTGACAATAAAAATTAATGATGAACTTTGAAAACATTTAAATTTAAGGAAAAATTAACCCATTCAACAAATTACTGATGCAAAAAAGATATGGTGACTGATTTGTGCCATTAAGTGTTCTCGCTCCTCAAAAGTTGAGGAAAATCTGGGAAATTCTGGAGCAATAATATTGATATCTAAGGTGTAAGTTTTACGAAATTCTACAACAATAATGTTGATATCTAAAAGGTGTAAATTTTACGATATTCTACAACAATAATGTTGATATCTTAAAGGTGTAAATTTTACAATATTCTACTGCAATAAGTTTTTTTTTCAAACGTTGAAGGCGAAGACACGTGCAAATATAAGAAATGTAAATACCTTTAGGGAAAGTATGAGCATATTATTACGAAAGACCGGTAGGGCCATTTCAACTTCATGAATTCCCGATTTCATCTTCATGAATTCAAAACTTAAACTTCGTGCATTCCCGTTTTCAAAATACGGAATTCACGAATTCACGATTCAGCTTCATGAATTTATGACTTCAACTTCACGAAATCACGATTTCAACTTCATGAATTCACGATTTCAACTTCACGAATTCACGATTTCAACTTCATGAATTCACGATTTCAACTTCACGAATTCAACTTCGTGAATTCACGATTTCAACTTCAAGAATTCACGATTTCAACTTCATGAATTCACGATTTCAACTTCACGAATTCACGATTTCAACTTTATGAATTCACGATTTCAACTTCACAAATTCAACTTCGTGAATTCATGATTTCAACTTCACGAATTCACGATTTCAACTTCGCGAATTCACGATTTCAACTTCACGAATTCACGATTTCAAGCACTGAACACCAAAATTAGATGTCGTGAATGCATATTTTATGGTTAAGATTCTTTTCCATTCCGATATTTTAAGATTTTAATGAACGTTTTGTCAATTTATGTCACCCGGAAAAAATAATTTTGGCATGAAGTACGTAAAACGTGATTTGATATTCATAATAGTTAGTATTAACTGAGTAGCTAATTCTACATAACATTTTTACGTCCTTAATGGGGTACTTCCAGTTACAATAGCCTTGTTTTTTTAAATTTTACAATGTGTTTCAGTGGACATGCGTACCATATTAGTTCTTCTTTGTGTATCTGGTCTCGACGCACTGCGATGTTACAGCTGTCACAGAGTAATAGATATTGAACAGTGTACACGTATTGTGAATTGTGACCTAGGTGTGAGTCATACTTTATTCTACTGCATTTATGTTAAGATTTAAGGTGTACGTTTCTCTAAATTCTACTGCAGTTATGTTAAGATTTAAGGTGTAAGGTTTACTAAATTCTACTGCAGTTATGTTGATATCTATGGTGTAAGTTTTACGTTATTCTAAAGCAAAAATGTTGATATTTATGGTGTAAGTTTTACGATATTCTACAAAATTAATGGTGAGATCTAAGGTGTACGTTTTACTCAATTTCTAAGTCATTATGTTGATATCTAAGGTGTAAGTCTTACGATTTCTACAACAATAATTTTGATATCTAAGGTGTAAGTTTTACTAAATTTTACTACAATAACGTTGATATCTATGGTGTAAGTTTTACAATTTTCTAAAGCAATAATGTTAATATATATGGTGTAAATTTTCCGAAATTTCACAAAAATAATGTTGATATCTAAGGTGTAAGTTTTACGATATTCTGAAGCAATAATGTTGAGAAATAAGGTGTAAGTTTTACGATATTCTAAAGCAATAATGTTGAGAAATAAGGTGTAAGTTTTACGATATTCTAAAGCAATACTGTGGAGATATAAGGTGTAAGTATTACGATATTCTAAAGCAATAATGTTGATATCTTAGGTGTAAGTTTTACGATATTCTAAAGCAATAATGTGGAGATATAAGGTGTAAGTTTTACGATATTCTAAAGCAATAATGTTGATATCTTATGTGTAAGTTTTACGATATTCTAAAGCAATAATGTCAATATCTAAGGTGTAAGTCTTACAAAAGTGTTTAGGTACCCAGATGTCACGACAATTGTAAGCTATTTACATGCGCTAGTGCGCAAGTATAAAATCAGATTCTAGATAATTCAGTCGATATGCTTTGATTTTGCTTTACTGCTTTCTTTTCCTGTTATAAAAATCAGTTCTTCTTCCAAGCACAGTTGGTGTTATAAATAATAATTCAACTGATCATTTCAAACTTATTATTTTTTTAGAGCAAGTGTTTATATAACCAGCTGTACGAGTCGGGCATTAAAGTATGGCAGCTTGGTTGTATGAGAGAGGTGGTAAGGTTCAATTTTAATTTCATGCGTGTTCGCTTTGTCAACAATCTAAGATCATTACAATAGTTTTTTTTTAAATAAATGGTAAAAATGTAGAATATTTTCATTTATCAATAAATTTGAAAATATTAATACATTTTAAAGAAATTTGAAGTATGTTTGAAGTATTTAATGAAGTACATTAAAAAACTTAATATTACAGAAGCCACATCATAAACGCATGATATTGTTTGACAATATTGGCCTGGGACATTTGAATATTCAAAGACCTTTTGTCGGTAAATATCGGAATTCGAAGTAAATTATACGGATTTTAAAGTATGGCATAGCAAGCTTCGGTGATAATGAGTTAAGACGCTTAGTTTCAAATCGAAGGTTGTAGGTTCGAGTCTTAATAAAACATTTATCATATTTAGCGAAACTTAACTGCTAAGTTTTGGTTCAATCCAATCACCCTTAATACGACTTTACGAATTAAATTTATGAAAAAAAGTATCAAAGTTACAATTTTTAAAAGAAAAGACACACGAAATTAAAGAAATGATTCATCCACTTATGCTGCATATAATTAAAATAATAAAAATATCTAAAAATGAAATTTATTGATGATTCCAACTTGCAATTTCGCAATTGCTATGCAATCTTAACATATTACCTAACTGATTGTTATGTTTTGTTTTATTTTTATTTTTTGGTTTCTCAAACATTTGTTTAATTAAAGCAATGCGCTGCAGTGGAACATTTCGCCGGATTATCTCAAGTAGATCATCCTATAGGCTGTTGTGATGACACAGATTTATGTAACCGTCTTCATGCAAACATATCCACAAGTAGGTTATGAACTATATAGGTTTTTCGTGTCTGCAATTTTCATATTACATTGTTGTTTTCATTGATTGCGAGAGGCAAGACGTTTTCCAGATTTTAATACTTAAGAATGTGGCCAAGTCAGTAAACCTTTACCTTTTAACTCACTTCAGTGTTGCTATATATGTCTGGTTCTTTGGGATCATCGATTCAAGCCAAATTAGTGTTGAATATCGAATAGACTACAGTTGGAAGGGGGGGGGGTGGTGAAAAGTGTAACATTTTCCCCGAATGGGAGCATTTTGCGTAGTATCCTACCATTGTAAACCGTTCTGATATATTACAAAGATTTTAGCCCTTAATACTATAAGTTGTGCGCGTTTCTGACGTCACGTTATTCTATTCCCTTTAAGCTAATCCTCATGTAACCACAACGACCGGGCCAAGAACGACAACTCATCAACCTAAAATCGTTATTAACGCCCCTGATCAAGCTGTTTACCAGAGTATGGTACAGTTGTCGTGTGTGACGATTCCGCCAGCTGAAAAATATTCTTGGACATTCAATGGGGTAAGCTGTATCAAAAGGATTGTAATTTCTTATTTATCAAATTATAATTTTATAATTTCTCGATATATTTGAACATTCGTTCCATTATGTCTCATTAATGCTATCATTTTTATTTCTGAAAAATATTTTATTTTTTAGCTCACCTGAGCTTGCTCAGGGTGAGCTTTTAGGATCGGTGAATGTCCGTCGTCCGTCGTCCGTCGTCCGTCCGGCCGTCCACAACTGCTTGTGAACACTCTAGCGGTCGCATTTTTGCCTCAATCATCATCAAACTTGGTCAGGATGCTTATCTAGTTGAAAGCTCGGATGAGTTCGAACATGGGTCATCTCGGATGAAAAAGTAGGTCACAGGAGCTATAAATAGAAAAACCTTGTGAACACTCTAGTGGTCACATTTTTGAACCAATCATCATCAAACTTGGTCAGAATGCTTGTCTAGTCAATTGCTTGGATGAGTTCGAACATGGGTCATCTCTGATGAAAAACTAGGTCACAGGAGCTAAAAATAGAAAAACCTTGTGAACACTCTAGTGGTCACATTTTTGACCCAATCATCATCAAACTTTGTCAGGATGCTTGTTTAGATAATAGCTCAGATGAGTTCGAATATGGGTCATCTCGGATGAAAAACTAGGTCACGGGAGCTATAAATAGAAAAACCTTGTTAACACTTTAGCGGTCACATTTTTGCATCAATCATCATCAAACTTGATCAAGATGCTTGTCTAGGTGATAGCTCGGATGAGTTCGAACATGGGTCATCTCGGATGAAAAACTAGGTCACAGGAGCTAAAAATAGAAAAAACCTTGTTAACACTCTAGTGGTCACAATTTTGACTCAATTGTCATCAAACTTGGTCAGGAAACTTGAATAGGTCATTGCTTGGAATAAATCGAAACATGGGACATCTCGGATGAAAAACTAGGTCACATGAGCTAAAAATAGAAAAATCTTGTTAACACTCTAGTTGGCTACTGTTGTGATCCAAATATTCTGTTAATTGGTCTGAAAGTTTTTTTTGATGATTTCTAAGTCAAGATCAAACATGGGTCATCTTGGATGAAAAACTAGGTCACACCGCCCAAATATGGAAAAACCTTGTTAACATTCTAGTGGTCACATTTTCGACTCGATTATCATCAAACTTGGTCAGGATGCTTGTCTAGGTAATTGCTTGGATTAGTTCGAAATCGCATGTGAAACTAGGTCACCGGAGCTAAAAATAGAAAAATCTTGTTAACACTCTAGTTGCTACTGTTTTGATCCAAGTATCCTGGAAATTGGTCTGAAAGTTTGTTTTGATGATTTCTAGGTCAAGTTTGAATATGTGTCACCTGGGTAAAAAACTAGGTCGCACTGCTCAAATATGGATAATCCTTGTTAACACTGTAGTGGTCACATTTTTGACTCACCTGTCATGAGACTTGGTCAGAATGCTTGTCTAGGTAATTGTTTGGATGAGTTTGATAATTCAGGTGAGCGATCTAGGGCCATCATGGCCCTCTTGTTTAAGTATCTTACTACAGTCTATAACAAAAGCAAAAGTCATTTGCCATACAGATGAAATATATTTTGCGTCTTTTGCTCTGATGGCAATTGGTATAATTAAAATGAATTAGTATTTTGTATGGATGTCAAAATACTAATTTCTTTACATTTTGCTACCTTTACCACGCATTACTGCAAATTTAGTGCTACTTAGTGAGTCATTAAACATCTAACATGCTCCTAATCCATAATTAGAACATTATTAAACATATGTTTGACACAAGAATTAAAAGACATAAGGATTAATGAAATATAATGCACCTTCAAAGGAACTCAGCTGAGATAAAAAAAAGCCTCAAAACGTAACATTTGAATTTCTAACATAGATCAGCTAGGCCACTTAAACAGAACGAAATGATCATTAAGAAATAACTCAGAAATTACAAATTGCAAATTGTATTTTTGTATTATTTTTAGCCCGATTTTGGCAAAAAAATCTGCAAAGCTTTTCGATTTTGTGTATTTTTATACATTTAAAATACTCATTCTGACAGACCGCACAATGATCTGAAATGTTGCACACATATTATCTGTCTTGACCTACATCAAATGGAACATAAATCTTAAGTCCCGTCCTGTCAAAAAAAACGTCAGTGGAGTACCTTAAAGATTAAAATTTGTAACATATTATATAATTATATATCAGACAACGACACTCCCTTCCTCTGTGACAACAGTACAGTATACCCCTACCACGGATGCACTTGCCGGAACTGATGTTTTGACAATTTTGAAAATGGATTTAACATCGTTTGGTACATATACATGTACCGGAACCATTCATCGGATCTCGGTTTCAGCCTCCCATTTTATTCACATAATGCCAGGTACTAGCCATAGATTTTTACATCTACATATTAGATGCATTTTCTTATACAATTCAGATAAACATCAATGTATCCAGTCATATTCTTCTAGTTTTCTGAATATTTCTGCCATAAAAAGTATCTTAATGGAAAATGAGCATAAACTACATTTTAAGTAGATTTAACTCAATACAAATAAGAAACACGCTTAAAAGAGCATGCCTCCAATTGCAAGCATTGTTTTCATGAATATTTTGAAAATGAAATTAAAAGTAAAATATTGTGAAGAAACATGGAAATTTAATTCACACTTTGCAAAAGGCACTAACAATCTACGACAGTCACCAAAAAGATGTCTTAATATGCAAAAATAGTCCTTAGTCACGCAACAGAAATATGCCATTATCTGCACAAAGCGTGACAAGTAATAGAAAGAGCACCGAAACACGAGGCTATCTGATTTGTACGAGGGGGCGTAGCCCCCGAGTATAAATCAGGTTGCCGAGTGTTTTGGTGTTCTTTCTCTTTTGTATCATAGTCAGACATAAAAGCACGTTCCCTGTTGTCACAACATGAAACCCCGGCAAAAATGAACCAATGAACGAACATCTGAATATGAAATTTCTGTCGCTTTCCCTTTCTCTGCCGTCACAATATGTAAACCCCAGCAAAAATGAGCCAATCAATGGGCATGCTCTGGAGTGCGGGTAACTAATACCCGCGCTCCAGTTAACGCACTGTGCATGTATATGTATATGATTTAACCCTGACACATTTTCAACAGAAAGGTCTCCGAACTATGATACAACTATTACTTAAATCGCGAACATTTTTACTTTCTAAAATCTCAGTGCTTTTTTCATTCTAAATATTTTGACTCACCCGGAGGCATGCAACTTCAATTATTCTTAATAACGAAATAATGATGTTGCCACTCAAATAAACCATATTATACATGTTATAACAGTTATACTAATATATCATGTTTCAAAGTAAATATCGTTGAACTGACTGTCATCTTTTTGTCAAATATTTTTGACTTGAAAGCAGAATTTTATTGATGAGTATGTTTAAATTGTGTTCATTCATATTGTCTATATTGCAGAAACTATACCTGTCGGGCTTATAGGATAAAGTGCTTCAGAAAAGAATTGAAATGAATTAACTGTATTAAAACTACTTTTAAAAAGTTTTGTTTACATGTTTTGTATCATGCTTGTGTATAGGCTAATAGTCACTAGTAAGTATTTACAAACTTAAATTGAACAATTAACACTGTTAATCCCAAACACTATTTATCCGTATATTTACAGACTTTATATTGATAATAAGCAAGATGTTCTGATTGGGAAAGTTCTCGCGATATTATAAAACTATCAGGCGAGAATCATCGGTAAAACGAACAACAGATTTCTGATTTACAGTTACAATATAACGTTTATTAAGCGTAGGGTCAGTTTAATATTCTTTATTTGATTCACACATTCACATTTACTTTAAAAAAACTACTAAAATGGTCTATCACCGTGGGTTTCTTCAGTTTAACTCTTCTCCCTGAGGATACAACCGGGCTTAATTCTGTGTTTAAAACTACAAAAATGGTCTTTAATCGTGGGTATCGTCAGTTTAAATATTCTCCATAAGGCTATAATCAGGCTTAGTTTTCTGTCAAAAACTACTAAAATGGCATATCACCGTGGGTTTCGTCAGTTTAACTATTCTCCCTGAGGTTACAACCGGGTTTAGTTTTCTGTCAAAAACTACTAAAATGGCCTATCGCCGTTGGTTTCGTCAGTGTAACTCTTCTTCCCGAGGCTACAACCAGGCTAAGTTTTCTTTTAAACGAAAAGGGCCTATCAATGTAGGTTTAAACTAAAACGGACTATCATTGTAGGTTTGTTCTGTTTAACTGTTCTCCATGAGGCTACAACCATGCTTAGTTTTTGTTGACACTACTAAAAAGGCCTTTCACCGTGGGTTTTCTGTATTTATCTATTTTGTTTAGTTAAAATCCTCTCCCTGAGGCTACAACTGGGCTTAGTATTTTGTTAAAAACTACTCAAAGGCCTATCACAGTGGGTTTCGTCACTTTAACTCTTCTCCCTGAAGCTACAACCTGGCTTAGTGTTCTGTTAAAAACATCTAAAATAGCCTATCAGAGTGTATTTCGTCAGTTTAATTCTTCTCCTTGAGGCTACAACCAGGCTTAGTTTGCTACACTACTAAAATGGCCTATCACTGTGGGTGTCGTTGGTTAAACTATTCTCCATATCTCCCTAAATACTACACTGGACTATAGGCTATCGCCTTAAAAACCACAGCAGACAGTATGCTATCTCCCTTTAATACCACAGAGGCTTGTAGGCTATCGCCCTTTAAAACCACAGCGAACAGTAGGCTATCACCCTTTAATACCACAGCCGACAGTAGGCTAAAATAAACAACCATTTATATAGCAGCGGGGGAGGAACTGTTACACGAAGGATAAAGTTCTTATGATAACTTGTCTCGACTTCTTGTCATAACTCTCATGGAGTTCGTCGGAAAAAATTTGTATATACTATAAAAATTCTCATCAAAAATGGTATTGTTTTCTTTAAAAAGTGAGATTTATGTGTTAAATTAAACTTTAATGATTATGTTTGTCTTAAATCCTTTATTATATGTCAAAAACTAATTAATGTACCATTTTTCATTGCCTCTTAATTAAAAAATGGTACATGTTGTAGTTTTGTGTAGTTTACCAATTCGATCGCACATAAAGAACTAAAATCTCCGTTCTTAAAAATGATCTTAATAGCGAGGTGGTCTTAAATCTGAGTTGGTCTTAAGTCAATGTAAGTAGGGAGTCTACTGTATTTATTAATAAATGACCTGTTTCTTTCTGGTCTTCATCCTTGCCATACATAATTACCTTTTAATAATGCTCTATTGCAAACCTAAAGCCCGGGCTTACAAACATATACCCGATTTTTTCAAATGTCCTGGGGTTCTTGAAATAACTTAGAGTTCTTCTGCTGGCAATGTGTTTCTTGCGCACGTTTTATTGTGTTTTTGTTGTTATTCAATGAGATTGTAAATCATTATGAAATGCAGTGCGCTCATCCTTTGCACAAATAATCATGATAATGTGGATAAAATGTTTGTCATGGGTGTCTGCAAAGGATAAACAGGTGATAGGCTATTATCTACAGTAAAATGTTATATAATGTAATGAGAACTTCAGCCCTCGTGTAACAGTATCACCTGTCAAAATCTGTATAACTAATAATATGTTACAAACCAGGACATTCATTTGAAATATTCAGGGAGCTGCACGATTACCTGTAGAAGGGGCAAATCAACTACTTTACATTACTATTTTCATACTTGTTAATGAGATTACAGTATTTGCATTTCGTTAACTAGAAAATATGATTATGATTTTTTTTTAAAATAGTGTCGAAACATATAACTAGCTTCTTGAAATCCCGTGATGCTGTATTGATTAAAATCACCAGACCGGGGTCGAGTGATTAAGGTAGTTGACGTCAAACTACTTGCCCATCATTACTGTGGGTTCGAATCCCGACAGGAACTTTAGATTCGTTTATGTGGGGAAACTATTAAGCTAGCTTACGGAACGTCGGTGTTTCTACTCAGGTGCCCCTTCGTGCCTTAAATAATGCATGGTAGAACACATGAGTTCTTCCTCCACCAATTAAGCTGGAACGTCGCCATATGACCGAATAATGTGTCGGTGTGACGTAAAACCCAATAAAATAAAATAAATAAATAAAATCATCATAGCTGAGAAAATGGGCAAGTAACAACATTGTAGTCTCATTCATAGTAAGATGAGCATAACTATGCTTCAAAGTTAAAGGCCCGTTTTGCCTCAGAATGACTTTTATATTTGTTATGTCTCAAAAAAAAACTTTTGATTTTTGGTTTACTTAAATAGTTTCCAAAAAAGTACTAATTGGCCAATTACCTGGTCAGCTGCTTTTTTGTTATAGCGATTTAGTATTTCGTATGGAAATCAAAGTACTAACATTTTGCTTCTTTTATGACACATCATTTTACATTTATCGCTACATTCTTCATGTAACAAGCAATTATCTTGCTCTAAAACTATTATTCACACGTTAAACAATTCAAGTTAGCCATCCTAAAGAAGTAAAAAATAATTCGTTTGCCTTTAATGTACAACACCACAGAACATTCAGCATTATACGTATGTATCACTACATCAACATGGCTCATACCTGTATAAATCACGGTGGTGAACAGACTCGGACTATTTTTTATTATAACAGCGTTCTCAGATTGTCTTTGATCCAGCAAGGATTTTTTAATTAAAGTCATCACATCAATGGTCAGTGCTTGTTAAATTCTGACTGATTTTGACATAACAACACTTAAATTTGCAGATCATAATTTCACGGAGTATTGGCCTTTATAACCTAAATATACCAAAAAAGTTCTTATATCTTGTACAATATCAAAATGATAGAGTTAGCACATTGATAATGAGGAACGTACATCACTATCGTTTCGAAATAAATCGTTCATTATGACATGTAACAGGGCCAGTAATCGGGATGTATTTATATTTTGTAAATTGTCAGAGTTGTTTCCCTTGGACCTTAATGATTGTTTACATACAAATCAATTTTTACAGATATGTTCAATACGGCAGTGATCATGGTACCGTCGGTGTGACGATTCAGTGTCTAGGATGATCAGTTGTCGTTCTTGGGCCAGTTGTTGTGATCACATGAACATTGGCTTAATGGGAATAAAATAACGTAACGTCTGAATGCGCACAACTCCCATTCGGAGAAAATGTTACACTTTTCACCCCGTCCTCTCCCCAACTCCCAACGGTAATCTTTTCAATATTCAACCCTTATTGAGGTGGATTCGATGATCCCAAAGTACCAAAAATATATAGCTACTCTGGAGTGAGTTAAAGGGTAAAGTTTTACTGACTTGGACCACACTCTTAAGATTTAAAATTTGGAAAACGTCTTGCCTCTCAGAATCAATGAAAACAACAATGTAATATGACAATTGCAGACACTAACAACCTATATAGTTCATAACATACTTGTGGATATGTTTGCATGAAATATGTGTCATCATAACAGCCGAAAGGGTGATTTACTTGAGATAATCTAGCGAAATGTTCCACTGCCGCGCATTGCTTTAATTAAATATAATTTTAGAAGAAAAAAAAAGCAAACAAAAAACATAACTCTAAGTTAAGTAGTTGGTCACGTTAGTACAGCAATTACAAAATTGCAAGTTCGAATCATCAATAAATTTCTTTTTTAGATATCTTTATTTTAATTATATGCAGCATAAGTGCAGGAATCATTTCTTTAATGTCCTGTGTCTATTCTTTAAAAACTTATAACTTTGATATTTTTTTGTTCGTAAATTTATTTGTACAGTCGTATTATGGGTGATTGGCATGCCCAGAAACTTAGTAGTCTAGTTTCGCAAAATAGAATAAATGTTCCATTAAGATTCGAACCTAGATATAAACCGTGTATGTATACTGCTTTACAATACTTTAAATCCGTATGATTTACTTCGAATTCCGATATTTAGCGACAAAAGGTCATTGAACATTCAAATGTCTCAGGTCAATATTGGCAAACAATATCAAGTTTTTATGATGTGGCTTCTGTAATATTTAGATTTTTTAATGTACTTCATTCAAACATACTTCAAAACACTGTAATATCAAATGCCTTTAAAATGTATTGATAAATGTAAACATCCTACTGTTTTACTTTTTATTTATAAACATTTTGCTATTTTAGTAATCTTAGACTGTAGACAAATGTGAACAGGCAGGAAAACAAAATTTAACCGTATCACCCCTCTCATACAACTAAGCTGTCATACTTGTATGTCCGACTCGTTCAGCTGGTTGTAAAAGCACTTGCTCCAACAAAAAGAATAATGAGATTTTGAAATTATAAGTTGAATTATTATTTATCACACCAACTGTGCTTGCAAGAAGATTTGATTTTTAAAACAGGAAAAGAAAGCAGTAAAGCAACAACAAAGCATATAGACTGAATTATCTGGAATCTGATTTTATACTAGCGCACTAGCGCATGTAAATAGCTTACAATTGTCGTGGCAACAGGAACTTAAACTGGGTATCTTAACCCTTTTATAAGACTTACACCTAAGATCTCAACATTATTGCTCTAGAATTTCGCGAATCTTACATCTAAACATTATTGCTTTATAATATCGTAAATCCTACACCTTAGATCTGAACATTATGGCTGTAGAATTTCGTTAAACTTAGATATTAACATTTTTGCTTTAGAATATCGTAAACATTAGATCTAAACATTTTTACTTTAGAATATCGTAAAACTTACATCTTAGATCTCAACATCATTGCTTGTGAATATCGTAAATCTTACATCTCAACATAATTGCTTTATTGCTTTAAAATATCGTGAATCTTACACCTCAGATCTGAACATTATTGCTATAGATTATCGTAAATTTTAGATCTCAACATTTATGCTTTAGAATATCGTAAAACTTACATCTTAAGTATCAACAATATTGCTTTAGAATATCGTAAATCTTACATTTTAGATCTCAACATTATTGCTTTAGAATTTTGTAAATGTTACGTTTTAGATCTCTACATTTTTGCTCTTGAACATCACAAATCACACATTTTAGATTTCAACATTATTGCTTTAGAATATCGTAAATCTTACATTCTTGATCTCAATATTATTGCTTTAGAGTATCGTAAAATTTACAATTAATGTTCTGAACGTTATTGTTGTAGAATTTCGGAACACTTTCTCGTTAGTTCAACATTATTGCTGTAGAATTTAGTTAAACTGTCACCATTAATCAATGTTAAAGAATTTCGAAAATTAACACCTTTGATCTAAACATTAATGCGTTACAATATCGTAAGACTTACACCTTAGATATCAATATTATTGCTGTAGAATTTAGTAAACCTTACACCTTAAATCTTAACATAACTGCAGTACAATTAAGTATGACTTACACCTGGGTCACAATACACTGTTCAATATCTACTACTCTGTGACATCTGTAACAACTCAGTGCGTCGAAACCAGATACACAAAGAAGAATCAGACTGATACGCATGTCCACTGAAACAAATTGTAAATTTAGAAAAATATCTTTGACAGTTTTTATTTTATCTGGAAGTGCTAGACACAGCGATCTTAAAGACGAATAAATGTAATGTTGAATAAGCTACTCACTTACGACTATCTATTACAAATGTCCAATCACGTTTTAACGTACTTTATGCACAAAATTTTTACTTTTTTTCCGGGTGATATAACTTGACAACACGTTAATAAAAATCTTAAAATATCAGCATGGAAAAGAATCTTAACCATAAAATATGCATTCACGACATCTAATTTTGTTGTTCAATGCTTTAATAATGACACTTAACCAACATTCATACAATTTACTAAAGATATATCCGAGTGACGTATTTCAGCACGCTTCAATGCAAGAGGTGGTTAAATAATACTTGTATACGAAGGTTCTTTTGTCAGAATCGAATGCATCATTCAGGGTTTTCAAATATGAAATACTCTGAAATAATGCGTAAATGCGGAAATGTTCAAGTTAAATACATGTACTTCAATTCACCATTGCATATGTAAATCAAAATAAACTATTATAAACTTATGTTCTTAATCGTTGCGTTCCGTTTCTTTGGAAATACCGTACTGTTGCTTTTCAAGTGAATTAGTCCAATTATGAAAGGACTGTTAGATTGTGTTGATAGTATCTAATACAATTCTTGACAATAAAACATGAAATATACTATAATATACTCGTACTATCTCTAAAGGTATATAAGTTACATACATATGTATATGCACGTGTCTTCGCCTTCAACTTTTGAGGAGCGGGAACACTAAACGGCACAAATTAGCCACCATATCTTTTTGCATCATAAACTTTTTGAATTACTTAATTTTCCTTAAATTAAAATGTTTTCAAAGTTCATCATTAATAATTATCGTCACTGTTAGATTAGAGGTCCTGTGCCTATATTATTTTGGCCATTATTGGGATGTTCGTCAGCTTTAATTTGATAGCATTGAGTACATTAATTATTCAACATTCGTTATTTATGTCGCATTTTATTAAACGGTGGGTTATATCACTGTAATAAAGACTTATATAACCAATACCGCCAGACGATAGTTATATAACCTGGATTTAGACAAATTGTTATTTGTGAAAATGACCCTTATATCGGCTTTGAAATCAAATGATAAAAAACCTGTCCTTATAATATTTCGATATATTTTCCTAAGATTCTTTTTATTGTATATATAGGTCAACTTTATTTGCATTACTTACTTTTAAGAATATATCCCATTTATGGTTTATATCCTCTATATTTGTTGATTTACAAATTTAATTATATATTATCGCATGGCTGCGAGCTTTTCCTTTGTTCTTTCCAACCAATTATACTCAGTACACTTCAATGAGCATTTCAAAACTGTATTGATATATAACAGTACAGTTTTTTCATTGATTCATATAGGAAAAAAACTGTACTGTTATATATCGGTCTAGTTTTTTTCGCACCTTGTATATATCAATACAGTTTTTTCATAGAGGCTCCAATGGGGCAGTGGTAACGACCATTCCCATGCAGTAGCAAAAAAACCCATAAGATAATAAAAAATGAAATCAATAAAATGAAATAAAATAAATATATAAATACAATGAAAAATATAAACAAAGATAATTAATGAAATGAAAAAAGCCCTTTAATCTTAAATCAATCTTGGTAACAGTATACAATCCGCCTCTTATATTGGATGTCTTTTGTATATTTTTTTTGCGGCAGCGAAAACAACTTGAAAAACTGCCTTATGATAAATAACTGTAATGTAGCTAACGATTAATTTATTTATTTGTTTCTATACAAAAAAGAAAACATTATGCCATTGCGATAAAACAGTTATAGTATATGAAACTCGTTAGTTACGGGGGTATAACACTGGCTGGGGCGACATCTCGGGATGTTTCTGCAAAAAAATGTCTCGGCCTTACGGCCTCGCCATTTTTTAGCAGAAACACCCCCTGATGTCGCCCCAGCCAGTGTTATACCCTCGTAACTAACTCGTTTCATATACTATAACTATTACATATATGTCCGTCTTTTTTTAAAATGGAGCAAGTTAACTCTTTTCTTCAAAATATTTCAAAACCAACAAAAAAAAATACAAACATGACAAATTATGAGCCCTTTTAAAATATACGATAAGATAGGATATTTTCTTTTGTTTATTTGACACATTTCCCCGATACTCGTGCCTACATATTAACTGGACACATTACATACAATTACTTCACTTTAGACATGTCCCTTCTTTGATTTGCATGGGTTTTCTGCCCCCTGTAATAACGGTTGTTGCAGTGCAGTAGCCAAGAAACCAGACTATCCCGTTTATATACATGCTTGTAACAACGCGACTCATGCATATATGTATTTATGCAGTTAATGGTTAATGAGGACCCATTCGACAAAGAAGCTTTCGCTGTCGAGCACGAATCGTTAATTCTGAGGAACAAAGTTGTGATAACTTTATCCCAATGCAATTGCCACTTATAATGTATTATTAGAAAATTATGTGTATTGAACTAAAAGTAGGTTAGAAGATAGTTTTCAGTAATAATCTAACTACAGTAACCCGAAACAATATGAAAAAGGGGGTATCCTTAAAAGGGGTGTTGGTGTCAAGGTCATGCCTGTCTCTCAAGCCGTAACACCGTGCTAGGGGCTTATGCATCCTAGCACTTTTCCTCGTCGACATTGTAGGCCACTCCCTCGGCAGGTGGTCCGCGGTACAAATTTCGGTTTTTTATTTTTCGTCGTTAAAAGTTCTTCGAATCGTCTGACCATTCTCTGCGTCATCTCAACGACGTCGACGTACCAATGGGAAGAAACGGGCTTTGATGGTCAAATCTGACGTCTTGTGTACAAAAATTTGCTGAAACTATTGGAATAAAGTCAACGGAATCTAATCAGAAATATGGTCAACTTTTATTCATATGCATTTAAGCGAAGTCAACAAAAATGACCGAAAAGTTGTGAAGCGTGTTTTGTCATTTTTCTCGAAACAAGTTGGAGTGTACCGAACAGTTGCGAAATACAATTACATATATATGTATATTGAAATCCATTTATGATAATGATAATAATTGTGCTTTCGTAAGCGAATATTGCATTTCCTGCAAGAGATAAAATCGGTATGGCAGCGGTATATACCTGGTTAGAAACTCTTTATTATAATCTTTCTATTTTCTGGGAGGAACTTTTGCCTCATTTGCTGAGTGGCTTTTGTGTATCACGGTTTACATGTTAAGAGGAACAATGAATGTATTTGTTGGACTTGGCTTATTTGTATTAAATGGTAAGCCAATCAGTTTTAGAAATAATTTCCATGTATTTTACAGTTTATGTTTCGATTTGAAAATTAGAGACGATTTGTATTGATAAGGCTAGATAAATAGACATGTAGTTGCGGCCAAGTTTGGCTTAATAATTACTAAGTAAATTAATATAAATTATGTTTGTCTGTAGATCCACAAACTCAAAACGGCTGATGAAATGGGTATCTTTGTCAAATTAAAGTGACATTATGCAATTTGTTTTTCTTTGTCAAGTTGAGCTGTATTGTCTATAATATGCAACAGATGGACTTATGATGTGAGTTTATGCGAAGTTAATTATAAAATTGAAGGAATTATAGTTTGATCGTCACCTGTTCACTCACTATAAGTCATGGCAATGTCATAATGTCACTTTCAGCTTTTTTTATCCGTTCTTTTAATCATTTGACTAACGCTGTCAATAATTGGACAGATATTTACCTACTTTCGTGTGTTCTTCAATTCGAATTTTAAATTAGTAGTTTCTATGTCTTAGAAATTAATTATGTCCCTGTTAAGCCAGCATTATATATACATATATGTTCTGGTTGTGATTAATATTATTTTAATTATTATAATGATATTAATTATATTAATATTGAAAACCTTTATGATAGAATCACACCCATTTTGAACACTTGTGAAAATTAAATCTCGAGTACTGAGAATGGCATGTTTTACAAACTGTTTTTTCCTCGTTTTCATACAACACTGTAAGTAAATTTTGCTTGTGAAATTTTATATTGGTGCGACTCGTTTTCAACCTTTAATGAAATTAATGTTTTGTGTGGTTTAAAGAAAAAAAAAACATGTTTTCAGAACTAATGTTCATGATTTGTGGGTACCTTGATTACAAAAGATTCTTAGTTCGATTTGTGAATCGCAAGTGCTGAATCGTGGATCGGATTGGATCGTCACTTATTTGATCCTCCTAACATACATGAATACATACAAAGCTTAGTCTTCCTAAAGTCTTTCTGTAAAGTAACAAAGAAGCGTAGTGTATTAATACGTGAATAAAAGCTATACGATGTATCTTAAAGAAAAAACAAGAAAAAAAGTACAATTATGTTGTTTTTATAAGATCCTGTAACACAATAATTTTTATGTTTTTATAACTCAAATGAAGATTTTACAATATTATAAGTCCAAAAAGTATTATTTGTAAAGACATTACCGCTTTAACATTTCATGGAGGTAATTATTTTCTGTATAGTCTGAGTCAAATTTTTAATAAGAAATAAATGCAAATATTTTAATGAGTGCATATAATGTGGGCAAATATTTGCAGTACATATCTTACATATTATTCGATGTTCGAAAACAGAAGCATAATTATATACATATACAGTTATGTATAAATTTCATTTTAATGTGGTTACAACCTTAATATCAACATACAGAATCTTTAAAATTGATTGCCCAATGAGCTGTTACATAGAATGTCAGTGTTACTTTCAATATACGAGTATGAATGTCATATGTAAACAGAATAAATGATCTCGAAGAAATATTATCCTGCTATCTTAAGTAAGGTTTTTTTACTGCTTAGAAACGATTTTGTGCATACGCCATTTCTTTTAAATGAGATTTACAAACATATCTCTCTAATACAGATATTTCTGAACTAGTATTTTTACATAATTAAATTTCTTTTGAAGCCGATTAACTGTATAACTTTATACACTTTACCGTCAGCTGTGTATATATCAAAATGTCCATTTTTTTCCTTTATAGAAAATAATAAAATTTGCTGAACCAACAAAAGATAGCAAAATATTTAAAGCATAATATATGAATAACATAACTTCAGTGTAGCAACAGTTAAAGATCATGTTTGTTGTAGTTAAGAATGTAACAATAATTAAGGGAAATTTTATATATGTAAATAAAGATTCTTCTGAAACAATTTCGAAACAAATATATATATATTTCTTTATTTCATGTATTTCCTTTAGTTTTGAAGAGTACATACATATACAATACAGTTCTTACAAAAAGTACATAAATCTATGCATTCATTATTCATTGAAAGATTTAGCTAAGATTTTATCAAAAATAGATTTTTAATTACCTTCCTTTATTTACGTGGAATGAAAATTCGGTAATATCGTTGAAAATGCTTTCTGGAACTTACAATATTGATAAATCTTCATTTGAGCATCACATTTATGATATAAAACCATAAACAATTGAGTTACATGATCTTTAACGTTATAACTTATATGTTTTTATTAAAAACAAACGTTGATGAACAAATAACTTTAAATATGCATATAACATTAAAAAGTTACATATCTAAACCACACCTTCATTTGAATAAAAATATAAATATACGAATGTATCTGTTTCAGTTCATTATGCATCTGGTATACAGTGCTACGACTGCTTTATGGGCTGCAATGACCCATTTGATTCCAGTGGCGTAAAGAAATCAGAATGTGATGGTTACTGTACGAAAACAGAAATAGATGGAAGTAAGTTTGGCAGAAAAGATGTACTTGTTTTTCTTTGATTGTTTGTTTTAAATTAATAATAATTTTTATCATTTTTACTTGGCTTTATTCTAAAAAATATTTTGTTATGGTAAATAAAAACAAATTATCGTGAGGTGAACAAAAAAGTAATTTACATCTTGCAATCGGCACTTACAATCCAAGAAAATTACCAAAAGTCGTCATCATATGCAAAAAAAGGTAACGCAGTAAAAATATGAAAATAACATACTGCAAAGTCAGTCTTAAACCGCACATAACATGTCAAAAATGTCATTGGATCTTGAATGTTTTTACTTTCCTTAAAGTTTTAGTACATATTTTTTAAATTGAATTTCTTGAAATATTTTGGCTCACCTGGAGGCGTACAGCTTTTAGAAATATAGTAGAACACTCGACTGACTCGCCGGCAGACATTTACAAAGCAGAGGCTAAGTTTAGGAAATCTAGATTATTATTTTAATCCAGACAGTCAAAAACGTGTATTCAGTTATATTAGAATCATTAAATTTTATAATAAACGAACTTGTCCAAGGCGGTCCTTTTTACAGATGTGATGTATGCGTAAATACGAAAAGTACCATATTAATTTAAGTTGCTAGTCTTATATAATTTCAATCCACAACTGATTTATATCCTTTTACCGATTACGTTTTACATTTATTTTTATTTTAGATGTTAAGAGATCATGCTTTTCTAGTAAAGTCAAAAAGGATTCATGCGAAGAAGCGGCCGGTTCCAGTATGTGCTTTTGTACATCTGACCTGTGTAATGGACAAAAAAAATTCAGGCCCATGCTATTTTTTCTTTGCTGTTATATCTCGGTTTGAACATATTCTAGGTTTTTTTTAACATTTAATTTTTAATTTTTTGTTTTGATCTTTTGCTGTTTATATAATTGCAATAAGAAAAATAATAGTTTGTGAAGGAAAAATGATGGGCAAGTTTTCGGGGCGATTTTGGTTGCATTTAGGGGTTATTTCTCATCGGCTAAGTTCGGAAGGTGCTCTACTTGGATGTTGTGTATATTATTTTATTTATACATGTATATTTTTTCTTAAACAATTGACTGGGAACCAAGGCTTTGGCTGTTGATAAATCAAAGAGGCCAGTATGGCAGACATGTAGATAACATGAAAGCGAATACAAAAAATTAAAGAATGGTGTCAGTTCAGTTAAAACGGTATATATCAGTCAGGATCTTAAATTCAAAATTAAATTTGATTGTTCAATTGGTGAATAAAAAGAGTTTTAATACTGTTAACTGCCTATATCAAATAGTTTGATATAGAAAGAACTGAAAAAAAAGAGTAGCTCCAATATATGTATTATGACACCAACGTAGCGATGTGAACATTTATAAAAGAAATACAAAATGTAGTCCAGGTGATAAAAACATTTTAGTTGTTAAACCGTGTATATGTACTTTAGAATTTGTGATACACATTGTAGTTGGCTGTATTATTTTATAAATAGAACTTATGTACAGATTGCATATATAAACGCATTCATTATCCCTTAAATTCCAGTGGTTATTAAAAATTTGTTGTTTCGTATTTATTGTGATTTCTGTCTTGTATTATCTAATATATCTCTGCATATTGTATTGTTTTCTTCTATTCTGATATTTTGAAAATAAAGTCTGTGAGTCTGTGAAATGTTTAAAAGGTTTGCTTAGCATTATGTCCAATGGCCTAATTAAAGTTGCTCTAAACGAGGTTGTTTACTTTTTACATATATCAATCATTGTCTTCTCGTTTAAGATGGTTCTTTTATAATTGCTGATTTTGAGCATATTCGAAATTCTTTGTTACCGTACGACTAGGAATCGAGCTTAAATGGAGTTGCAATCCGCGCAACATCCATTACTAAGCGCAGAAACTATCCTGATAACTTTATCAATATTGATCTAACCATTCATTCTTCTTAAATAAATTATTACTTTGTCATTTGAAGTGGAAATTTTATGACTATTGATGTTGAACATTTTCGAATGTCAGATCTTGATACATAATAAAGTAAAAAAGACCCAGGCACTTTGTGATGGTTTGACTATACAGCTTAGTTCCAATACACACAGTATCTATCACTTGACATTATACAATGTTCTCAAAGGAGTTAAGATTATTCAAATGTAAGCTTCACATTGCGGCTTTTAATCGCTTCGACTATTCACCACTCCTTGCACAAGAAATTACATATGTATACATAAATAGCTTTTTATATGTACTTCAAGGGAAAACTCTGTGATCCTAGATATACTGCTTGTTGGGTATTTCATTATACGTATAAAAAAAGTCAAAAAACATTACGCCATTAGAATAAGTAAAAATATATTACTGTTTTGAAAGTAGCACTTTTTTGTTAAATGCCTGTTGGTATCCTGCATCATGTACAAATGAACAACATTCCAATTTGGACATTTTTTCATGTTCACAGTGGAAAACTTTATATTGTAGATAATGTCATGTATATTTTGTTTCTGATGCAGTGGCACTATGCCATAAAGTATATTAACATAAACTGAGCGGTTTATATTCCGGATAAGTTCCCTTTCATGTAATTATTTTTCATTTTATTGATACCAATTATTTAAGCTCGCTTGTAAAATAAGCTTTTTGCTGATACAAGTCACTCAAGGGAACATAACCAGTTCCAGGAACGTTCTGGTGTTAGGTAATGAAGCATTTACTAATGGTTATGGTTTACCGCTTGGTAAGTAAGAAAGAAACATTATGACATTCTTACACTACAAAAAGGGGGGAACATATTATCGCAAAATCTTCATATTTCACATAGTGATTGGTTATAATAAGTAGATGACCTCTATTGATTTTGGGGTCACTAGGTCAAAGGTCAACGTCACAAGGGCCTTAAATGTCAGAATTGTTTCCGCAGATTATCTTGAAAAGTATTCATTCAAAAGTTGTCATACTTCAGATAGTATTTGGTCATTACTAAAAGATGATCCTATTGCTTTTGGGGTCAAAGGTCAAGGTCACAGGGACCAGAAATATCAAAATGGTTTCCGCTGATTACCTTGGAAAGAATTCATCACAAAATCGTCATATTTCACATAGTAATTGCACATATCTAATAGATGACCCTATTGATTTTGGAGTCACTAGGTCAATGTTCAAGGTCACAGAGGCCTTCAATGTCAGAATGGTTTCCACTGATTATCTTTAGAAGTATTCATCAAAAAGTCTTCATATTTCACAAATAGATTGGTCATAACTAGTAGATGACGCCTATTGATTTTGGGGTCATTAGGTCAAAGGCAAAAGAGACAGTGGCTTCAAATGTCAGAATGGTTTCCGCTCATTATCTTGGTTACAATTGATTAATCGTAAAATATTCATATTTCACATATTGATTGGTTATAACTGGTGGATGACCCCTTTTGATTTTAGAATCACAAGGTCAAAGGTCAAAGTCATTGGGACGTTAAATGTCAAAATAGTTTCTGCTGATTATCTTGACAAGAATTTATCACAAAATCGTTATATTTCACACAGTGATTAGTCACAACTAGTAAATGATTATTTTTAATGATGAATTTGAGGTCACTAGGACAAGGTCACAGTGGCCTTGAATGGTTCAATGTATAGATGTATAGATGTTACACTTTTTATTTAAAATATATAATATTTCAATCATATCAATATATAAAGTAATGTATTGAATGCTATTATTTATGTTGTGTTCGCTATTGATTCAAATAAAATACGGATAAAAAATGGATTAATTAAATTGCTACTACGTGGAATAATGTACATTATTGAACGCTTTTGAAAAACCTTTCAATGAAAAAGAATCATTATGACTTTAAAAGGTGAGTACTATTAGATGAGTTAAAAAAAAGTTTATTCTAATCAATGAATATACGCTTTTGTTGATTTCTGAGTCACTTGGAGAATGTTGTGTAAAGTATCACTACTTATATTTATCTTACACCATCATTAACATAAGCGTAAAGTTGGCTTTTTTTTGTTGGCTTTTTGTATGCCGTACCAGTTCCTTTAAATAGTATGCAAGGTACTTGCTATTTCTATTTTATGTAGATTACCTTACAAATGTTGTACATACCATATGAGTCGCGCCATGACAAAACCAACATAATTCATTTGCGGCCAGCATGGATTCAGATCAGCCTGTGCAAACACTGTTGTCGTCGTATCTACAAACTGTCCGCTGCCAACTGTGGACAGTTCATGACCTACTATTGTGTTGATTTACAATCCAGTTGTCGCCAGAGATATTGTTTTGATAGAGTACATTATTCGCACTACGGAATATATGTACTTAAAGAAAAATACATAAAAAGCTTAATTGGTTTTAAATAGAGAGAACTGAAATATAATGTCATTTGTAATCTATATTCAGGACTGCTTATGTTTAATTGAATACAGGAATGAAGCAACTATGTATTGGAAGTTGCGTTCCCTATGTTCCCAATTAACGGTCAAATAAAGTTGGTCTTGTCTTAAAAAAAAACTTAAATTCTTAATGACACAATATTGTGACTACCTAACAAACAACATATGTGTTGCCATTATTTACAAATCCAGTTCTTCATGTTACTTGAGTAGCTGACGGAGTGCTAATTTTTCTAAAATTATTCTTAAATTCGAATTTCATGCAACAAAGTACTAAAGATATAACTTGCCTCTCAAATAGGTTTTTGAGTCATGAACTTATCAAATAAAGAAAAAACATTTCAATCAAAACGTTTCGTGATTGTAATTGTATCATATAGATCTATTATTTCCGGAAGCACGAAAAAAAAACCAAACGGTGTGGTCAAACCAGGCTTTAGTTTGTTTGTATGTATCTATTTTTTTCTATTTCGCAAATGAAACCCCTATAATGGTATATAATGCTATAATGGAAGGTCTGAACTCAATAAAGAAATAATTATGTTGATATTACTTAATACCAGACTTAAAAAGATACCACAGAAATATTATATATAGTGCAAAGTCATACATAAACTTATAAAGCAATTATTTAACTACCCTATGACAACATATTATTGATTTCATTATAAAGATGTTCATACTATATCACTTGGAACTTTATCAACATTTTTTTTTCAGGCAATATTTTGTAAATATAATTTCTAAAATTGATAGAGCTTTAACATACATGTATATGTTCAAGCTCTAGACCACTTGAACTACTTGTATGAACCACTTATTGACAATATAAAAAAAACCTACACATATCGGACAATTCATGTTCATCTAATGTAAATACAAGTTAATGTTGATGCTGCACATCAAGACGCCGCCAAATGGTGTGAACAGTCAATCAGCATTGAAAATCGTTCTCTTTTACAGTTGAATATCCGAAGCACAAATCAATTGTTTTCTCCATGTATGTGCTCGTTGTTAAATGATAAAGTTGCACATTTTTTTGTGAAAAAATAGAACCTAATGCTTAAATTCACAACGTAATGCCATGTCTGAAATTCTAAAATGTTTTTTTTTCTGCTGCGAAACGTCTGGACGAAGCAACATGAATTGGATAACAAGTAAAATTGAAATAATTGGTATACTTAAAATGAATTCAAGGCAATATGTGCCGAAAATATATACATTTAAATATTGGTAGGAATTGTACAATTTTCTAATGATTTTGAGGACGAACTGTTCTCACCTTACTGGCCGTAGCGTAATGAGTTAACGGTTGCTGAAGAACCGCATCTCTGTTGTGCGTGGTTAAGGCTTTGTGACTTATAATTCAATGATTCAACAAGTGATATTGATCAAAGTTGTCCTGGTTCCC